AAGCTGGTTGGGGAAGATGTCGCATGGGGGATGCCACACAAATGGAGAGAGGCCCCCCTTGTCATATAAACTTTGTCGCATCGCTCAGTATCTGGTAAAGTCAATGCCAAAGTCAACCGTCTACAGTCGACAAGACACATTCGGGGGCCAGAGGTGGTACAGATTAAATAGACAAGGCCAATCGACTCTAAATTAAATACCGCTCGCTTTCTTCACCTGTTGCATGGTGCAAAGCTAAATTGCAAACACTAGCCATGCTACTCTCTCCCCAAAACGCCACACTAGCGATAACGGGCGTGGACTGACTCGAGAAGATGGAGGCCACTTTACTCGAATTGAAATGGTCTGGCCTGTTTGCTCTCAACTGGGAATTAACGAACGTCTCTACATATATGCCCGTGGAACTTTTGTTCAAATGATCTGCATCCTTCGTCATTTCTTTCCCTTCCTTCATGAACTTTTGATCTGAGACAGTTTACCCATTATGGTCCAAGCTTTCCCCATCTATCTGCCTCGGCAGCGGGAGCTGATCGCGACTTGGGTAATCCTGCCCATGTTGTCGAACATTACCGTTGGGCTTCGGTTTTACGCAAAGTCCAAGACAAGAGGCGTTTATGGCTGGACTGACTGGATGATCATAGTATCTGCTGTATGTAAACTGGTCCCATAAACTATCTATTATGATGTTTGTCTTCTCACATTCTCGACAGTTCTTCACTACCCTCCTTTTCATCCTCCTTCTTCTAAGTAGGTCTCCCATTCTTCCCCATAAATTCGGCAGAAGATACTCGTCCGCACTTCGATGGCTAACATGTACCTCGTCACCAGTGCTCGTATATGGAGGCATTGGCATCCCTGGATATCCATACACTAGTACTACGGAGCCAACCGACGTTTCGTTGATCCATGATCAGGTACGCCCTGTTTAACAACACCTGTAGTGCTCTTTTGGCTAACAAGGTTCTGGCTCATTAGATTGGCTATGCAAACAACATCGTCCTCGTGTTCGCAGTCTACTCCTGCAAAGCCTCGATCCTTTTCCTATATCATCGCCTCTTCACAGGTCACAATGGCCCAATGACAATTATAATATACGTAGCATCGGGCATAACCTTTGGATGCTTCATGGGGAGCTTCATTGGCTATCTCGCAGCTGTTCGGCCGATCGAGAAATGGTGGGCTTGGGGCGATGCGACGGCTGAGCAGTTCCTCGCCATGCAGAATATCAACATCGCCTATGACAGTCTGACGGTTTTTACCGACTTCTTGATTTTTGTACTTCCACTCAAGTCAATCTGGGGACTGAATATGAACCGCGGGAAGAAGATTGGTATCATTATCTCCTTTTGCTTTGGGTTTATGTAAGTGGCCTTTACCCCTGACACATAAAACACGCCCTCTGTCAATCGACTCTACTCAGGGAATCGCTATTAACAACAGATAACTAGCACATGTTTCATTGCTCTTGCTCGTGTCGTCTTCACACATGGGTACCAATGGAAGAACCTCTACGATGAAGGAACCTTGTGGTCCCTTGCAGGCGTCGAGCCAGTAGCGGGGATCATCTGCGCATGTCTCCCTGGCCTTCGTCCACTGATGCCCAAGACGTTCAAGATGACGTCTTACGGCACTCCGGCAAATCCCAGCAGATTCAGGACTACTGGTACCACAGCGACGGACAATGCTAAGAAGAGTAGTAATAGGGAGCCTAACCCATTCAGGGTCCTGAATGATGACAGCTCGGTGACAGAATTCCGAAGAACAGTCAGAGAGGTCCCATCGAGATCGGAGATAAGCGACGAGTACATTGAGCTCGAAGAGCAACGGCCCAAGGCTTTCGATACATAGTGAGGAATTATAAGAAGATGACCCGAGACATGTATATATATTATTTTATTCCTACTGCGCATTGAAGCCTTTCTTCATATACACCAAGCTGTTCCATATGTCAAGACTTACTCTACTTGTGGACCTATGCTCAGTTCCAGCAAGGAATAGTAGGTATGCCCGACACCTTATCCACTCTATCAGCTCTCATTTGAACATGAGAAGCACACACAACTCCATCAACGGGCACTCAGTATAAACGGATAACTTGGCATACTCTGATACAGCTAAAAGGTGATAATAACTAAACTGGCAAAACGACCTTGACTCCCATGTACTCTCGTTGGTGCATGAGCTTTCCGTCAATCAGTACCTGATGAGCACCAACTCTGTTGTTCTCAGTATCTGTAGGATCCGTACATGTCGCAATTTGGATCTCTCGCCATTCTCGGTTAGTAGGAACGAGCTTGCCCTGCTGCGTTCGCTTCTTGAACTCGGCGTACACTCCTTGATCTTCGACACAGCCCTCGCGCTGGATAAGAGGAGATTCTGTTACATGGTCAGTAAGGTGAAGTTGCGGCAATTATTGCAGTCAGCTTACCAGCAGCTGGTGTCATGCGCAAGTCACCAACGGAGCTGTTGAACAACACCAATGAGAGACGCTCATAGTTGCGCTGGTCAACTGGGGGCTTGTAGACACGGTGGCGAGTGGCCTTGAAGTGTCCCCCCGAAACGATCTCGAGAGTATCACCAATATTGACGACGAGAGCACCCGGCTTATAGGGGGCATAGTACCACTTCTCATCCTGGCCCCAGATCTGAAGGCAAGAGACAGGAACAGAGAAGAGCAGAGTGGTGAGACCAAAGTCTGTATGACCATGCATGCGAAGGCCCTTGGAAGCCTCTTCTGTGGTCTTCTGCACAGGCCTGAAGAGAGCATGCCTGAAGTAACCCTCGCCAGTTGGGCTGCCATGCGACTGAACGTTTTCCCATAGGTACTCGTCTGGGAGCTCGAGAACGTGAGAGAATAGAGTTAGGAGACGACGGTTGACCGAGCCGGCGAGGTAGTTGGCAAAAGCCTCGATCTCATCCATGAAGGGATGGAGACAGGTAGGCACACGGTTAATGTCCTCCCAATCGGGCCGGTACCAGTTGAACTGTTCGATACCATCAGGAGGTCCACGGTGACGCTGTTGGATGGAAACAGTCAGTCAGCTACTCCAATTGAAGAAAATATTGCATCATTGTTGAGGGCAGAGATCTACCTTGAAGCCAAATGGGTGTTTGTAGCCAGACCAGACACCAGAGTCAGGGTTGAAGAGCAGACGTTCCTTGTCCTCTTCCGAAATGTTGTTGTACATGTACTGGGCGATAGCAAATTGGCGGTGGAGCTGCAATATAAGAAGTCAGCGACAGTGGTCTTTTGCCTAGGAATTGACTTATTGGTGGTTTATACCTGTTCTAGTGATATACCATAGTTCTCAAGGAACAGGAATCCATCCTCGCGAATAGCTCTCTTGACTTGGTTGACCAACTCTTGCACAACCGCAGGATCATCAGAGTCGAGCAAGGACAGATCAATAGAAGTGAGTTCGGCAAATTGCTCCTTTTGCTGTGTCACTGGCGGGGGAAGCCACTCAGGGACAAAAGGCTTGCCAGGCAATTCGGCTGAGGGAGGACTAAATGAAGCGGCTGGCGACATGCTGAAAAGTTTCAATGATGTTTAGATAGAAAGATAGTTGTTGTAGACTATGATTTGTTATTCCGATGGAGATTATGGTTGATTGTGCTGCTCTTATACAGCTAACAGCATAAGTTGTTTGGTCGAGCTCCGCCTCTCGGAGATGTTGTAGGACAGAGTCCGGCTCTCAAAGTTCAACAACGTACGATCTACTCACGTGCTGCAGCTATCTAGCTCCAACACTAATGTCTGTTCCGCTCAGTATCAATGCTGCATCGCTTGCTGATTGATGGTGTCTCATCACAATCAGTCAAGCTCCTCCCGAGACGGTTGAAGCCGGTGATCGCCCCGTGCATGCACCTGATTCGGATTAGGGTTGGAGGACATCGGGAGGAGCTAGCGCTGGCTGTGGAGGGGCCAGACAGGGGACTCGGGAGGAGCTCCTCCCAGATAAGCGGCCAATTAGCGAGTCTCAGTATTCACAATGAACAAGAAATGAATATGATAAGAATACGGGTATTTACTCAGTACTTGGATATCAATCATCATTCAAATCATTCACAAGTCATCAAACAATCTCCCACAACATCTACCTCACTATCCGCCTCATTCTCTCTCACAAACAACCATGTCTCGCCAACTCATTTCCAGCGATAAGTTCCCTACCAAGCCCCACAACTGTAAGTCGCCTAAACCTCAGACCCTCCATCAGAAGAAAACAATACTGACACCTTTCTCCCTTTTGCAGGCCCAGCCACCAAAGTACCTGGTCTAGTCTTCTGCGCCGGACAAACTGCAACTGGCGAGATTAAGCAGGCAACAGTACGTTCTTGAAGACCCAATGTAATGCGTCATGATCTAACCTATTGTACAGAGAACTGTTCTCCAGAATCTCAAGGAGGTGCTTGAGCTCTCCGGCTCTTCACTCGAACAGGTCGTCAAGTACAATGTCTACCTGGCTGACATGAAGGATTTTGCTGCTATGAACGAGGTGTACATAGATTTCCTGCCCCAGCCTATGCCTTCGCGCTCGTGCCTACAGGCTCTTCCCCCTGGTGACGGTACTGTTATTGAGATTGAGTGCATTGCGCAGGCTTAGCAGGGCTTCACAAGTAAAAGGATAGACCAGGTTCCAATGAACTTATAGATATAGAATGATACTGTTAGCTTTATAACATGGTGCACTAGTAGAACATAATTGACAGGTGTACCTCATGGGACTGTTTGTCATCGGCCGAACCCGTAGGGTGGTGAATGGTGCAAAACCGCATAAGTACTAGCAAATACGACATTCCAAGCCCATTTGTAAGCTATCGGACCATTTCGAATCAGTATCTTACGATGAGAACCATGTATGAGCCGATCCTACCTCGCATCACGCAGGAAAGAGAAGTAGCAAACCCTTAGTCATATGGAGCTTGTTTATCTTAATCAATACATCTTATTTTACAGATATGTGGAGGGAGACTCGCTAATGCATATAAAGACTTGTTCATAACGTGTCTAGGCACGTTATGATAATCTTGCCGAGCTGCCATCGTTGCCTTCGTCCAAAGACTCCTCTGGCCCACTCCAACGCCCCATTAGTATCTCCATCTTCAACACCAACAACCTGCATCGTTCCTAGCGTACTGCCCTTAATCAACTGCCAGGCAATCACAAACGCCTTGAAGGCGTACAGCATGATCCAAGGTGCCTCCGAGTCCGGTACAAGCGGCGAGTCGAGATATGTGAGAAACCAGTCGATATGAGGTTTGATGACTTGTGCAGTGTTGGACTCGCAGAGGAACTCGCATGATGGCGCCAGATATGTTGTCTGCTGCAAGACTGCATCCATGGTCCCACCTACCATTCCACACGTATGCGATGGTGACCATATCCGCACGTCGATCATGGCAGACCGCCATGTCGCCTCACACAACGCTCCGCGGAGCCAGTTTGAATGCTCCAACTCTTCCGCAGACTGGACAACAGGACCCAATGCCTCGAGGGACTTGCGCAATGGCTCCAGCCTTTCTGTGCTGATCATCCCTGTCATGGCGCTCCAGCCCGAAGTTTCTTGGGCGCTAGATGCGAGGAATTGTGTGATGTTTATGGCTCCATATGGGTCGAACGAGGGAAAGGAGCTGGGATCCGACGATAATGACAAGAAGAGTCGTACTGCATCAGGGTACTGTACTGGAGGTCCAGGGACGACGGCAACTAATCTTTTATGCGCCCACTCGGCTGCTGAGGGCGCCGCCCACTGCTCTTGAGGGCAGGGCAGCTCGTGCTTGATCTCGAGGTGGGAGAACTGTCGGGGTATAGAGAGAAACTGATACCATAACGTGTCGATCTGATGGGCAGCGAAGAGCGTCCTCTTGTGCGACTCGGCCTCGATGAATGTGCGCCACAATGAATTGAGGCATGGGGTTTTTGACGTGAGCTCGCTCGGTAGAGGGATAGACAATCCACTTGATCGGGCAAGCGAGATCATCCTGGTGTGAGTCTTGAGTCCATACGCCGAGTGGTTTCCGCAAAGATACATCATGGCGTATACCTCGAGTAGTATCAGAGATTGAATAAGCGAGAGGGTACGTGTTGATTCATCTGGCCCATTATCGTCGCCAGACACGAGATCTCGAGCGCGATGGTAGCATCTCTCAGATAAGCTCACACCAGACCCTTGCTGATCACTACGATCTGGATCTACGCCATACTGATAGGCTATGCAGAGCATGCTGAGGAGTAAGTGACTAGGGACGGAGGTCGCATCGAATGTCGGCTGATGCAGGAAGGGCAGGTAGTGGGATACATGCTTGAAATACAATTGACAGCCTTGGGTAATTTGGGTGGCTGATGGTAACCAGTCGTTCTGGACCTGGCTGAGATCAATTGACCCATACAATAACCGCTCGGGACTTCCTTGGTCGAGGCTAAAGTTGAGAAGACTCATCCCAGAAGGCGAGTTCGACATGTTGAGATTGCATGATGGCTCAAGAAAGTTGACGCCTGCCAAATGGGAGGCAGTCGGACCAAGCAGCATGGATGCTTGCGATGAGAATGACGTGGCGAGAATTTGAGGGTCGTCCAGATCCGAGGGCAAGCTGCTGGAAAGGGTGATAGTATCATCACCAGCGGATGCTTGTTGAAATAACCGACCGGCCTCAACATGGGCCTCACTTGTCTGCGACGGTGGCGTCGGTGCCTGGCGGTGCAGGTCGCTCTGCGGTGAGTTACCTCCACGCGGAGCCCTTTGCATATGGTCCAGATGTTTTCGTTTCATGTGCCGGTGACGTAGATCGAGACGCGAAAAGGTGGCAGGGCAGAGATGGCAGGGTATAGAGGCATTGCTGGAGGAGCGAGAATGTAGCGCAGCGTGACGCTTCAGATTCTCATGGCGGGTGAAGCGACTTGAACATACTTGGCATTGGAAAGGTTGGGAGGATGGTGGAGAGATGGCTATGCTGCGAGTACTTGTTGAAGCCATTCTGAGCTGGTTTGTAGGCGGTTGTATATGTATGCCGATATACGGAGCATCAATGGCTGGGTTGAGTTGGACAATTTCCCCCAGACAATCCCCTTCCCGTTCCAGCTGTTCCCTCTCTCCCCCGCAATCTGCAATCGAGTGTGGGTCATCATTATCTTCAGGGATATGATAGGCTCCACTAACTTATCTCTGTCGCCACGCTCGTTGATTGAGCCCGGTTATGATTGGTCTGTCGGGACGTCTATCACCAACGGACAATCACGGGCTCCAGTTTTATCTACTGTTATCTTTATCGGTTATCAGCTTATCTTACTGAGTGCCCATCCACTCTCTAAAACATACCCTATATACTCATGGATGACATTGTAGGTTTTTTGGACTGCAATCCTTCTCATTGAGTGATATCCTCATGCGTCACTACTTTAAATATTGGAGACTACATTTTAATAGTTAAATATAGATTTATACACTAGCGCAATATTTATAGATAGATATACGCCGACAATCTCAACGCCCCTTCAATTCGCTCTTCATACACCTATAGAGTTCATTCTGTTCCATGTAACGCACCACTCGCGATAGCTATCAGTACATCTCGTAACGCCATCCGAGCTGAACCATCTCCTCAGTAACGCCACCTCTGACAACCTTGGCTATCTCTTCAGGATCACCAGAATCCAGTCGCTTATTCTCGCGCAAAATGAGCCAGCGGTAGAAAGTAATAGTACCGGCAAAGAGAAACGCGCAACCCATAAGAGTACCAAATGCTGCATAAAAGTGAGGAGGAGCATAGTACAAGTATGAAGCCCAGATGTTGGACGTGCCACCAATAGCATTGACCAGGGCAGATGCTGCAGCACGCTTCGAGACAGGACGTGCGAGATGAAGGTTGATGGTTTTGTAAAGAACAAGCTGAGGACCAACGGACGCAAAGGGAAGAATCATCATGGAAAAGTAACGTGCAGGGACATTAAGTGTAGACATGGGAATGATATACATGCCAATGGCAATGGCGATGCATCCGATGATAATGGGGTATGCTGTGTTCTTCCGGTCGCTGTACCACATCAACACCCAGTAGACGGCCCCGGCGAGGACGTAGGGCGGTGCAGTAAGAAGCAGACTGACAGCGCTGCCAAAGTTGAGCGAAGCAATCAGAGTCGGAAAGTAGTTGGCAATGGAGCCCTGTGCCTGTGAAAGCAAGTTACACAGAATGAGAAGTAGAAGCTTGGGATCAGACAGGGCCTTCCCGAAGCTCTTGAGAGTGCTCTCCTTCTCGGAGCCCTCAGCTGCACCAGTTGTTGATTCGATACGCCACACGGCAAGGTCTCGTTCGGGCTGGGAAAGGATTCGGCTGTTGTAGGGAAATTCGGGCATGAAAAAGGCACAAACGACACCAATTCCAACTGTGGCAGAACCCTCAATGATGAAAAGCCACTGCCAGCCCTTGATTCCATGTCGACCGTCGAGCTGGAAAATTGCTGCGGCAAATAGGCCACCGAACGCGTTACCGACCTGTTGAGCGATATAGAGACTGGCGATTCGTTTTCCGAGCTCGGTCTTGGTATACCATGCGGAGAGGTAGTATATGGCTCTGGAAATTGTCAGACGTTCTTCTTATGTCGAAGGAAGTGAGCGATTCTTACCCCGGAAAGAAGACGGCCTCAGCGACACCGAGAATTGCTCTGACCGCTAGAAGCTGGCCATAGCTTTTGACCAGAGCCGTGCAAGCTGAGATAGTTCCCCAAATGACCACAGCAACACAGATGTACATACCCGGCCGAGGAATCCTTGCAATGATGAGATTGCTTGGGATCTGGAACGGAAGGTAACCAACGAAGAGGATCGATATAGCAGTAGCAAATTGCTCCGTTGTCATGTTGAGATCATCAGTGATGCCATGGAGTTTTGCAGCGGCCAGGTTCTGCCGATCGATGTAGTTGAGAATGTACAATATTCCGATGATGGGCAGAATGATGGAGTCGATCTTGCGAACTAACTTCTTGTTCATTGCAGCGATCTCTTCTTCGTTAAGGTGCAAGAGGGTTTCGGGCATCCTCTGGTAGGCAGTGCTGGTACCCTCGGCATGAGACGAGGGAGACCGCTTGAGGGATTCATCCACAGGGACGGTAGCCATGACGGCAATGTTATTCGAGTCTTGAAGTGTTGAGGGATAAAGAGACGAGGATGGCTGTCTGGGATTTTCGTTCCAACACTCGTCGGGAGACGAGGCTATAAATCCACCGACAGGCCGGACATAGCGTTATCTCGACATATACAATGAAGTCCTCCAAGGTCTCGTGGCGGACGACGAATGACGGCGGGCTGATTAGAATGCGGGGATGAATTGCGTTAGCTCGGCGACGCGACTCAAGCTCTAAACTGAAGTTGAACACTGTAGATACCAGAATCCGGGGTCCAGCCGGGAGTTGCCGTTACGGTTAGTGCGGTTTGCCTACCTGATTAGCAGTCTTATCGGTTGGGTTTACCGATTGCTCGGAGGAGGAGCTCACTGGACAGGGCCTGCAGGAAGATTAACCATTCCCCTGCAGCCGGGGGGAGCTCCTCCCTGTGGATCCAGCATTACACGACGGTAGCAGAGGCGTGCAATTGGCATTTTTGAAGAGAAATTGTAGATAATAGATATGGCTATAATTGGAAGAATTAATTAAAGAACTCAATAATCTCGGAGAACATTATAACAAGCATTCACTGTGTTATCGGCATCAACAACAGCCCATTATATTATCTTCCCGCTTATACAGCTGAAACGTCATCAAATCTCTTTGCAAAGCCACAAAATAACCATGACTCAAAAAACATATCCTACGGCCCTCACAACAACTATCGAGAATCCTCGATTGAGGTTTCTCAACAAAATCAAGGCTGGGGAGTTTCCCTTGATGACCTTTGTTGCAATCCCCAGTGTGCGCCAAGCTCAGATTGTCGCTTTGACCGGCCTGGACGGCATCATCCTTGACTGTGAGCACGGCCACATTGGTGATGACTCGATGCACAACTCGGTGGCAGCGATTTCAGCTCTTGGGGTATCACCTATCATCCGTATCCGCGGGCCTGCCCACGACATCATCAAGCGAGCACTTGACACCGGCGCGCACGGCATCATGGTTCCTCAGATCAACAACGCAGACGAGGCGAGGCAGATCGTCGCGTCTTCCAAGTTTCCCCCTCAGGGCGTTCGGGGGCAGGGCTCTGCGTTTCCTGCTATTGGTCATGGTCTCACAACACCTAAATACATGAAGTCTGCCAACGAGACCATCATCACCATGATTCAGATAGAGACTCGCGCTGGTGTTGAGAACGTCGATGAGATTGCTGCCACTCCCGGTGTGGACATGCTGTTCATCGGCCCTAATGATCTTGCTCAGTCATTGCTGGGATATACACCTGCGCGAGGTGATGAGCCTGAATTTGTTGCTGCTATTGATAAGATTATCGATGCTGGTCGCCGACATGGCAAATGGGTCGGTCGTATGGTTAATAATGGCTCGGCGGCGAAGGAGCAAAGGTCGCGGTATGACACTGTAGCTATCACAGGAGACACAAAAGCTATTCAGAACTGGTATATGGCTGAGTTTGACATTGCTCGGTCTTGAGGAGGAACGCTATAGATTCCAATTATTAGTCTCAACCCTGCTACCCTATTGAGCCCGTATCTATAGCGAAAAGGTGCCTGGGAATGCTTTAAATTCTTTTACTGTAAAGAAACTCGATGATATAATTACGTGTTTGATAAATTGCCGTATGTCAATTGAAGATGGCGGTGATTAAGGAAGAAAAATCACCAGCGCTCTCGGCCTTAGATCTCGTGAGGCAATGCCTGTAACAGACTTTGCAGACCTTAAAACGCGATTTACAATTAGTAATTAGCAAGAAACAAACCTCATCCATTATTGTAGATCTCGGAATTTGACGACGAAGAGATACGATTGGCTCCTCAGAGAGTGACAAGGGCTGGTATCAGTTGTACCTGAGCCCCTGGCTTCTCACAGTCCACTTACTGAAATGGGTATAGCGTAAGCTGATTCTGGTCAATCACAGACTCAAGTTCAAGTAATTCGACAAGGAACAAAACAGTCCAAGTGGGCTATCCGCAATATCTCAACTTGGAGCCAATCCAGAACATTCACTTGGACTGAGTCTGACAGGGATGCAGCAACTGTGACAACTACAGGGGGTTTGTCAGTGGGCGCAGCATTCATAACGTTTTATGTTCAAAATAACCTTATATGAGTGGTTTATAGTTTGTGTGGCGAATCGCACTCCAGATATGGTCAAAACGCGTTTTGCCGTTTTGTTTAATCAAGAGGCTGTGCTCTTCGGTTCTCTCGGGAGACGATGTTCCCGGGTCTTGGCCGTGAGGGTCATAGCGATATCGAAGCCGTTCAGTGATATGTTTGTAGAAATGTGGTTAATTGTGAAGCTCTTGTATGTCTCATGGTATGTCTTGTATTCTCTTGGCTTGTCTCTTGTGGTGATCTGTGTATGTCGAGATGGTAAGAAGAAGGCAAGAGGTATTGCGACAGTTCTCTATAAAGATGACCATTTCTCTTCATCAATATTCCTAATCATCAACAGCCTCAGCATCCTCAGATCATCAGTTTACTCTTCTCCTACTATCTTCACTTCCATCTCCTGCCGGTCAGGTCTTTAATTACTCCTCCAAGTTCTCAAATCACACAGATAAACTTTCCTACTTGACCCTCCTCCACAACAACATTCACAATGGCATCCATCAAGAACATTATCTTCGCTCTCTTGGTCGCTGCCGATTTTGCAGCTGCTCACAGCGTCATCACAAACGCGGTTGGAGACGCCGGTGGCTCTGGCATGGCTCTCGGTGTTGACACCTCCACTCCTCGCGATGGTACCAGACGCCGTCCCTTCCAAACCGATGCTACTCGCTTCCGTGGTAGTGCCGCTGACACCGTTGGCGAGACCCTCGCTGGTGGTGACAACCAGATTGAGCAGGGCACCCTCGACATCATGGAAGAGACTGGCAGTCAGCTTCCTCAAGTCAACCCTGGCGGCAGCCTCGAGATGACAGTCCATCAGGTCAACTCCGATGGCGCTGGGCCTTATACCTGTATGATCAACGCTGATGGAACTGGCACTTCTTGGGATAACATCCAGGTTACTACCAACGTTGAAGGCAATGAGCGTGGCCGCAACCGTGATGGTGAGATGGGTGACTTTCCTCTTGTGGCCTCGATCCCTGCTGGACAGGAATGCACGGGCTCGGTTGCTGGTGAGGAGAACGTTTGCCTTGTTCGTTGCCAGAATCCGGCGCGGGCCGGTCCTTTCGGTGGTGTCATTCCGGTTCAGATGGCCCAAGCTACCGGCAACAACAACAACGCTGGCACCGGTAATGCTGGTAACACTGGTAACACTAGTAACACTGGTAACACTGGTAACACTGGAAACGCTGGAAACGCTGGAAATACGGGCAACACTGGCAGCGCGGGCAACGGTAACGGGGACGGGGACGCCGATGAAGAAGATACCCAGGACCAGAGCGACACCAACACCAACACTAACAACCGTAACAACCGCCGCGCTACTCAGTTCTCTGCATAGGAGTCTGGCGATTGTGTATGGAAGATGCCTGAGATTGACAGAAGATGGAAGCATATGGACATGAAAATGGACTGAAAGGCAGATAATGGCTGGGTAGCTATGAAGTATAGTATATAAAGAAGGCAGTGTTCAATACATAAATATGTTGGCGGACTCAATGTTCAAATGTGTTGCCTCGAGTGTGATCAGTCAAGAGTTTGACTGCTGTGACAAGTGTTATATTTAACTGGATAGCTGATGTTTTACCTTCATGTACGTCACATATCTAGCGGCTTTTGTTCAACTTGACTCTGTAGTAAAACTTGGAGTGATCTTGGCTGAAAGGAACTGTTTAAGCAACGTCGTAAAAGCAATACTAAATGTCACTCTTTGGTTGATTGGCTTCTGAATACATGCAAGATTCTGTATGAACCTGGACTAGTCTTATTGGTGCTCTTATAGATTTCTATCAAGCGGCGGTTGATATTCATTAGACACGCATAGTGACTGTAGTTGAGCCTCCTGCAAGCCCAGATGACATGGAGTACAGAAAGGTTGCATCTGAAGCTAACAGTATACTTGCAGCACTACTCAAATTGGACCTAGCACACACTTTACCAGTTTCTTCCCTTACTTAAGCTTGCCTTATTTTGAACATAGTACTACAGGAATACTTTTCGAGCTGCTTACTCAGAACAAAGGACGATGCGATGCAAGCCAGAAACCACCAGCGCCGAATACTCAGCCACGAATTCCGCGGAGTTCTCCGCCTGTTGGCAAATTTGAGTCCAATGTCTAGACTCTTTGTAAAACCAACTCGAATGGCTTCTGATGATATCATTTAAGCCGAAGGCTTGTTTAGCGTGCCCAGAAATCTGGCGGAAGACGCGGTTCAGCAATCAACGGTCGACTTGCAGTTTACGCCACCCTTAGGGGAGGGTCCGAGAAAGTTCGCTTTCAACCCTATCAGCGACTTGCATTGACACTCTTGGCTCTGAGCCTTACATCCTTTTGCCCTGGTGAGGGTCCCCAAGGTCCTCATTGCCTGCCTCCTCGACAGAAATGATTCAGTTCGGTTCGAGATGACCCTGGTTTGAAAAGTCCAATCACATACTATTGAAAATGAAAGCACCAGTGACAGCATTCGAGTCACATCATTGGTCAGACTTAACACGTCACGCTCTTGGCGTTGGTGGTATGATGGGCAATAGCGCAGTGTAGCGTGGTATAGCGCAATATGTCATGTTGGTTCACGGCGCGGGCCTCGCGGTGACCAGGGTTAGGGTGCCTGCAGCAGCTGGGCTGGCTTAACGATGGTGCAGTCCGTAAAATATCGGGGAGCTGATACCGCGTGAACGGAACCCGACGGATTAAATCACTCATTATTTGGGTCGTCGAGGTCCAAATCGTTTACGTGCTAGATCTAAGACACGTACTACATAATTGCGGACAGTGAGACGCTCACACAAGACTCGGCGCACGCACTTGTGAAATCGCCAAGTGCTGACAGCAGAATGACGTGGCAGACGACACCATCTTAGCCAACAGAACGCGAACTACTGCCATGCAATATCAAACTCAAACTGACTTTGTTTCTTCAGATAGCTGAGCAGTTGGTGATTAGCCATGGTTGGTGTGGAGTAACTGAATTTTCGACAAGGGGTTCTATCATGTCAGACGACAGCCACGCGAAGCTAGCCTGTAGATCCCGGCACTATTTGACCCAACCGCAGCGTCAAGGCCCAATGTTTCCCTGATTGCCTTCTTTTGCACTTGCAACTAAACTGCTCTCATTGGTCACTGCCCCAGGGAATAGCGGACGTGCCGGATCGATCGAGGCAAAGAATAGTTTTCTTGGTAGATTGCGCTCTGACCAGTGATGTATCAGATATCCAGCGGCACGACAACATGTCTCAGTTGACTATGGAGAAAGTGAAATAGCTTGGGACGAATATGGCAAATATTGCCTCTTTGGGAGATGAAAATACCTCATGGCTTCTCAATCCGTCATGATCCGTTGATTTTTGGCACCTGAACTGCAGCCGGGCGAGGGAGGTGTTCTTCAAGACAAGGATTATACGGACCTAGGACTTGGGATGACATTAGACACACGGCAAACCTGCATGTTGGTTCATTCGACAAATAGAATTACGGGGCGATCTACAGTACAGAATTCAATCTCAGCCCAACCAGGTTGTCCCCCCAAGCACGGCGCGAGGACCCGAGCGCAAGGAGCTGCGCCATGCAAAGCAACCATGCCAACACTACCATGCATCCAATGACAAACACTCCAAAGTACATGAACTCAAGGGGTCTTTCAAAGAACCACAAACGCCCCTCGGTGCGGTCGTTCTTCTCCTTTCCCTGGATCCGCCCATCCGGAACGTATTTGAAATCAAGGATGGAGCCACCTCCGAGACCTTGGTTACTGTGGATTATAGCGCCATGCAGCGCCTCCCGACAGAGATCAATCACCTTATCGTCCAGGGCAGGGATCCATCGCTGCAGGCTAGCCAAGCTCCACACCAACCAGCAATGGCCTCTGAAGCAGGCATATGAGTACCAGCTGGGCCGTCCCATACCAAGCTGGTCGCAGATCTCGTGGCCATTCAAGACGCGACTAGCAGCCTGAATGAACCCATCCGAGATGTTGATGGGTGGCAGATCCTTGAGGGCCTCAACGAAATTGTACCCAATGACAACAGAAGTGGGTGTCACAAGGAGCTCGTTATAAGCTAAGCTTTCCATCACAGCCTTAGCTTGCGTTGCTGATGTGAAGTACTCCTGGGGCGCCCCAATGACATGGGCCACGTATCTCCAAAGGGCAATGTAATCTTCTACTTCCTGTTTCTCGGGGGTGATCCCCATAAGAGGGAGCTGAAGCCAAGCGTGGTTGCAGCTGAATGTTGCAATGGCATGTATCGAGTCAAGGGTGTTGATAGGAATGCCGTGTGTCTCCTGATCAAAGAACCGGCATTTCGATGCGGCTACCTTGAGGATCTGCTGTCTGACCATCGAGTGCAGAAGACGGACTCGCACGATGGATCTATGCCCAGGTCCACCAGGCTTCACATGATCAAGAGAGTGCGTGACTTGGAGAACGAGTTGAAATGTCTCAAGCAATCGACGTCTCAAGACACGAGTGCTGAAGCCACCAGTACGAGCAAGTACTTCAACGACGCTGGTAGAAGCAGAGTTCTCGCCAACAAAACCTTGAAAGGCAAAGCCGATAAGGTTTGCGAGGGCATAGCGGTAGAAGAATTTCTGTCCTCGGGCGATCTGGTCCCAATCTACCCAATAGGGGACAGTATGGACTTCAGTCCAGAGCTGAGAGAGGACCTGGCTCTGGTCATGGTGATGAGAAAGTGTTTCAAACAGGTCTGCTCTGCCGACTTGATGACCGTCTTTCTTTTGCTGAGCGTGGATCTCTTGGATCTCTTCGACGGCAGCAGCTCCAAGTTCATCACATTCGTGACGGAGAGGATCTGTGTGGGATTTGGGAATGTGGTTATTGGTCCATGTGAAAGTATGGTTACCAATGGTTCGAAGCTCTTCTCGAGCTGCGGCTTGCCCAAAGAACTTCATAGTGAAATGGATAAAAGACTAATAAAAGTTGGAAGAAGAGACTTGGTACGAAGCTGACCTTCCGAGAGAGCAACGGGACAGACATCATCCATTTTAAGCTGGGGATGTCCAAGTGTACCTGAAAGGAGACTCGTAACGCCTCATCTTGTTTCTATCCCTTGGCTCGAAAGGTACATTACATGGCGTACTCTTGTTTCTCGGAGGTGATTTGGTGGTCCGCGGACTTCTCCATTCGTCGAACCCACGATCGACATGACGAGGGGGTGTTCTGTTGGTGGACTACTTACTCTTAGTCCTCACTCCATGATTTAGAACTGAACCATACCCACGGAGTGTGTGGCCCATCTGCCAATAATTCGTAAAAGAGACCCCTGTCCACCCATCATCTGGCATGATATCGTCACCCTAGCTTGCCCCAATGTCTGGGAATTGTGATTCCATCATGGCTTAGTATGTGTCTAGTGTCAAGCTGAAAGAAAATGACGCGGGATGAAGGGAAGCAGGCTGATTGGAACATCTGCGAAGCTGGCTTGCGTTCTTTGTTTTCTTTGGGATATTTGAGTACTCGTGACGCCCAGCAAGCCTCGAGCTGATTTCTGCATGTCAAAGCACGCAGCTGTTCCCTCCCTATCACTCCCTCCCCATTACTTCCTCCCCACAAACCTGTACCTGCAGCACAAGCTATGCAAGTGCTCACTACCAAAATGGAGTCGAGAAGAACTGTTATTCTTCCCGACATGTTCAAAGGTTTCGTGGTGGAGACTCCGCCTATGAATCCCAACTATGAAACAGTCAAGCCCATATCCGAGCAGTGGCTTGCAGAGTATGTTGTCCTCGACCTTGACGTATGCCCATACTAATGCACTATCAGGAAATGTTCCTTCTCACCTCGAATGAAGAAGAGGGTCGAGTTCTGCGACTTTGCCATCTTTATCTCTATCGCTGCTCCTGATGCTCCATTCGACAAGCTCAAGACGATGTGTGATTGGGGGAACTGGGTGAGTAAATCTTGTCTCTGCTTGTGTTGCTGCTCTCTGACATTTCTTCCAGGTCTTCCCTTTCGATGATAGTATGTACTATCACTCACAAAGTTTGATTGTGGAAGCTAACAATAGTAGTGTTTGATGAAGGATCATTAAAGTCTGACCCGAAACGGTCGCAAGTCGTCATTGATAGTCTCATGGCAGATATGCTAGACAAGACTTATACCAGCCCAAAGAGCGCTGTAGTCCAGGCCCATGACGACATTTTCCGACGAGTCTCAGAGGTAAGTTCAGCTCCACGACATAACATTATCGAGATCTGACATACGATCCTCATAGGCCTCGACTGTTGGCAAGTTTCGCCAAGTCAATCTTGACGTGGACTTTACTAACAGTTTTAGGTGCACGGAGAAGATTTGCTCTTGCAATGAAGCAATACACTGACGGGGTAGTCCATCACGTGAAACAATTTTCTTCAAACAGTATTCCTAGTATCCAGGAGATGCTTGATACGAGACGGTTGTCGTCGGGAGTGACGCCTTTGTATCATCTGATTGAGTATGCTCACGATATCAAGTTGCCAGATGAAGTGTTCGAAAACCCCATTGTCCAGAAATTAGAGCTTCTTGGTGCAGACTTTGTCTTGCTGTAAGAACTACCTATTCTTAGTTTTTGTTTCAAACGACTAATCAGCGTGTAAGATCCAATGACATTTTGTCCTACCGGAAGGAAGAGGTAAATTGGTCTATGTTACCCAACACCGCAGATCACGAAAGCTGACATGATGTAGAATGACGACTGCCCTTTTAGCATGGTAGCAGCTTGTCGAATGACCGGCCAATCTCCACAAGAGGCATTCGATACAGTCGGGAATCTTCTGGAGGAAAGATACCAAGATTGGCAGAGCGCAATTGAACAATTGCCAAGTTGGGGACCCGAGATTGACGCGAATGTCGCTCGCTACATCCAAGGCATTCAAAATGTAGTGCAAGCCAACATCACGTGGAGGTACGAGATTCCTACCAGACCGCCGATCAAATGCTTACATGCGACAGCTTCCGATCGGGGAGATATTTTGGGAAACAAGCTCCCGAAATTCGACGGACGAGAATGATTGATGTGATGGCCAATCCGCCGTTTTTGCAGGCGAGACAAAGTCGGTCTGGCTGGTCAAGATTTGTTATTGGACCATTATTCAGACGATTTTTTGGGTCTTTCATCATTTGTTTTATGTTTGCTTTTTATTTTACCATTCTGAAGGGTTGAGGGAGGGGAGGGGACTCTCGAATTCGAATCCCTTCTTTCGGCGTTAGACCGGCTGTAAATATTGACCATAGACTGCATAAAAACATCAAACCTGAGTGAGACAATTCATCAGCTCCGTGATTAAGATTTATCAGTGCGTCCGATCCGCTCGGCTCGAGCGGGAAGCCTTTCAGTAGTGAAAAGTCTGTGTGTCCAACTGTAAAATACTTGTGCGTCACTGAAAATCCCGCTGTCCAGGGAGAGCTGACAGGCTGATCACTTCCCTAATCGTCCTCTAGCCTGCGACATGGGGCATGCATGTCAGTGGATCGAGAGCTTCCCATCGGGCGAATACATTTCTTATTCCCGCGTTCCCAGCCAGTGAGAGCCCCCCTGCTGCGAGGGGAGAAAAGAGCGGGATCCCGCTTTGTGGGTGTCATGCTAATTATGCTGTTGGTGAGGCCGTATCACTTCACCTTATGCACTCTGTCTTCGGGCGTCATGCCGAAAGCTTTCGGCCGATGTATTTCGGCCACCACCGACTTTTACAGTGCAGTGCAGTCCTCCGAAAATGAGTCTGTTGTCTATATCATCAACCGGTACTAATGTCCAAATTTACCTTTTTACTAACCTTTATTTTGGGGTATCTATTTTAAAAAAATGTCTACCAAACCGCTGACTAAAACACCAACCCTCAAACGGTCACGAGTCCAAGCAGAGGACCAAGATAGCAATTACGATTCTTCAGAAAACACAACTCTTAGCCATTTGTTACATGCAAATGAGGGGTTCCTCGATGATGGATTTTCCTACTCAATAGTCAGTACTCCGCGCCTCATGAATAAAGTCTTAGCGATAGTTCTGACTGTATCTAACCTTGCCTACAGCATAACAACAAGGACCATCATGACCAAGCAATTCTCGATGCTAGCGCTGACTCTCAATTACGAAATGCACTCCGCTTCCTCCCAGCCAAGCCTCAATTAGGTGAGCATCTCGTAATCTGGCCTTATCTAACATCTGACTTTCTCCAAGACGCTCTGATTGAAGCATTCTTCAGCAATGTCAATCACCACTACAATTTCATACACCCACCGGTCTTTATACGGCAATACGTAAATTGGTCGTGCAGAACGCAACAGCGATGTCTCCAGGATCTTCAACTCACAACCCTCATCTTCATGATGTGCGCTTGCGTCACGCAGCATCTTGACATTGACGCACAGACAACACTGGGCATACATCTGACCCAATCACCAAAGGATGTTTCCAAGGCGTATCACGATGCTGGAACAAGGCTTGCCGAGGCAATATCAGCTGGGTCATACCACCTGATGAATCTTCAGTGGAAAGTCCTCTCTATCTGTTGGTTCAAAGGCGAGGCCAAATTCACTGAGGCCTGGCATATAATTGGGCTCGCTGTGCAGGAGGCATATGAGCTGGGTGAGTCAATAACAGGAATAGGTCAATCAGACTCTTACTAAATATCTTATGCAGGACTACACAAGTCGCGACACGGGGCGAGACAGGATATCGAGGTGCAGATTGGTCGGCGAGCCTGGCGCGTATTGTACTGCTGGAACTGGTGTGTTGGCCCCGGACAATGACGACGAGTCGTCCAGTAACTAACATCACACAGGCAATTGTCGTCGATACTGGGTCGGCCATTTATAATGAACGACATCGATTCGGAGCCTGAACAACCCAACTTGAAAGCTTCCCCGCCAGCACCAACACTCCATACCAAGCTTCAATACCAACTCATATCATCTCTCGCCAGGCGCTGGCAAACACCACAAAACATCAACTCACCATCCAAGGTCCGCGACTACAAGGCGATGGTAGAACATCACGTTTCCACCTTTCCAGCTGTGTTTGCTCTGAACAACCCAGACACTTCGAAAGATGTAGAGTGGCCTTGGGTCGTGACGCATCGCTACTATGTCCAGACAATGGCGTACTTCATGATTCTCCAGCCATACAAAGCCTACTTACTACATCCATCGACAGACCTGTCTGTACCCGAGATACAGCAGCTACGAGAAGAAGCAGTAGAGTGCTCGCTGAAGACTTTGCAAATTGCAACTCAATGGGCAGCTCGAGTTTCACAAGGTGATGGACAGTTTCATCTTGTTGTTTTGTGTCTGTTTGATACGGCTGCTTTCTTGTGCATGTCTCTTCAAAGGGATCAAGTGCATAACTTTCCTCAACGGGGCAAAGTTGTTGTTGCCGTTAATGAGGCTGCTGCGACACTGAAGAAACTACAGGCAATTTCACGGGGAGCTCAGTCGTCGTATGGGCTTTTATGTAAGATTCTACGGAAAATGGATTGGGATGCTATGGATAAATGAGAAACGTTATGACTTACGACTTATGTCACGTATTATACCTAGTTGCACTCAGGTGTTTTTATATTACAAATAATAAATGCTTATGACCTCTGAAGTCTCTCTATGATCAAGAATGTCATCTCCCATCAGCCCAGAATCTCTCCAAAGCGTCCTGTCGAACTTCATATGCCCAGTGATGACACGTCTGATGCACCACAGGACTCACATCAACCTCATCTTCATCTCTCCCATCATCCGCGAACACCGTGCGTATCCCCAAAGCCACGTATTTCTTGAGCAATATCCGTCGCCATCGGCCCGTCTCACCAACGCACTTCTTCCAACGACTGATCTGGCGCTCATCATCTGAACATCGACGACCCATCCAGAACCGGCAATACCACTGAAACCAACCCCGAACGTCATACTCGTGTGCGATCCAGCCAGCTGCTTCCCATTCTTCAATGCTTTGCCCGCAAGCGACGCCGTATTTGTTTATCTCGGGGTTGTATGTGTCGCTGGTGAGATATTCATCCACGTTCAACCCTGCAGTCCACGAGGATGGTAATTCTCTCCAATCATCTTGTATAGTGATTCCAAGATGCTTGGAGAATAAAGGTCGCCAGTAAGAGCCACCAAAGCTTCCTTCACGGATAATCTCTTCTGGGGATTTGTTGGGCCGGAAGTCGGGATGAGAATCAAAATGGAATACTCCAGAAGCATCGCGCGCCGGCTCATCAGCTTCCGGCTTCCATCTCGTCCACCCGTCTATTATGGATTTGACGTCTTTGCGAGGTTGAGGTTCTGAGTCTGAATCTGAAGTTGTTGGTTGCACGGCATTGTTGTAGACTTTCCGACTCCTCTTTCTAGTTCTGGAAGATTTCTGTGATACAGGTTCATCATCTTGTTCTTCATTGTAATTCGCTTTCGTGCTGGCTTCTGCTATTCGCCTGGATTGCCTTGTAGGCGCGCGTGGTGAAGTGGCCCTACGTTTAACGCTTTTGCTGGCAGGCTTGGATTGATGCTCGACTTTGGGCACGGGATTCTTGAGTTCGCTGAGAAGAATCTCATTCTGCTTGATATTCTGTTGCCGTCTTGATGCAAAGTCTGCCATTTTAGTATCCGAGACGCGTTTACAGTGGTGTTGTACGCCTGAACGCGTGTCCCGTACAGTTGGGAGTCCGTGTTGGAGCACTACGTCATAGACCTGAAGCTGCACGGTGCGGTACAAACACGGTTAGTGCCGATCAATGACGAGATCTATAGGGTAGATCTATCGTCGAGTTTGTTTATGTATATTTAGGACTGAGAGTTACATTAATTCATGAAACATGGTAGTCAATCGAATAGGACTAAATATAACTGAAAAATAGATACTGTCTTTTACCGAGGTAATAAAGCCTGCAGAGTATCGTAAGGGCCTTAGTGAATCAAGGCCGGAGGCCGGACCGGCTCCACCTGTGCTTGCCGGTAAAGGATCTTGTGAGCGTGTAAGTTGGCTTGCGTTTGGAAGCATGTAAATGTTCAAAAGCATCTTAAAGTCGTCCCTTTCCTAAGGAGATACTCTTCATTATCCGAATAATATTCACTTACTCCTTTTCTGGTATTCTATTCTTACGTGCCAGCTTCTGTCAGTCACCATGCATGCCCACAAGACCCTCCGACAACTCAGCCTTGGCTCGAGCTTTACTCGTTCTCAGCGAGGACGTACGTGTGACTCATCCCATCGTCGTTTTGTGACATCCGCTGTCACTTCATCAATTGACAGGTCTAACACAATTGGCTTTATCGGCCTCGGGGCCATGGGCGGTCATATGGTACAGCTCTTGACTGTTCAATCCATTTCTATGGAGGGAGTTCTAATCTGCCTGACTAGATTACCAACCTCATTTCAAGGTACCAGAGCCCTGCCAGCGGAAAGAAGGTCGGCTTCGCATTGTGTGATGTGAACCAGGCCGCGGTGGACAGCATCATTAAACGCCAAAACCCTGAGCATCCCGACGTGCCTCTCATTAGCTGCTCAAGTAAGCATGCACCGTAGGAAGACTTACCATACACCGCTAACACCTTTCAGCGCCTTACGATGTAGCACAGAAGGCTTCTAAAATTATCACAATGGTCCCCACCGGAAAGCATGTCCAGGAAGTATACGTCGGTCAAGGCAAAAGTGTTCTGAGTGCTCTCAAAGACATGAGTCAAGACCAACGCACCGATACTCTTTGCATCGATCAGTCAACCATCGAGCAAAGTGTCAGCAAAGCGGTTGCCCTGCAACTACGACAGGTTGGGGCAGATCTGGTGGACGCCCCAGTTTCAGGAGGTAACTAAGCCGAGCCACTCATTTCTGCTGCCGTGGTAGCTAATTCACCACAACTTAGGCGTCGTTAGTGCAGAAAAGGGAACATTGGCCATCATGGTAGGAGGGTCCAAGACCTCCTACCATCGCTCGGTCCCCGTCCTTGAAGCTATGTCTCGCAAGGTCACGTATTGTGGTGACCTCGGAGCTGGACTTGCCGCTAAGATCTCTAACAAGTGCGTGTCCCTCACCCGGCTGCTCTCGATATGATTACTAACTGACATAAGTCTCCTACTTGGTATCACGATGCTTGGCCTAAGGTGAGCTAGAAACAGTGAGAACGTAGATACCCAAAATCAGAGGCTAACAAAACCCAGTGAGGCGATGCTACTGGGAAAAAGACTCGGAGTTGATCCGCAAGTCCTTGCTGATATCATTAACAACTCTACTGGGCGATGCTGGTCTAGTGAGGTAAGCCTTCTAACCGAACTCGCGAGAGAGGATCGGCATCTCCCAGTTATAGTACATGCTAAAGTTCTTGCTTAGATCAATCACCCCGTTCCTGAGGTCAGGGCTGGAGACGCTAGCCCTCCAGCTCATCGAAGGTACGAGGGCGGCTTCGTAACCAAGCTGGCGCACAAGGATCTTGCCCTCGCGGTATCGGCCGCTGCAGAGGCCAATGTCCCTCTCGCGGTTGGAAGATGCGTTGAGGAGACGTATAGACCATTGGCCAAGTCTAAGGAGTTTGGAGACCGCGACTTTAGTGTCATATACGAGGCTCTTGATACCTTGGGCTCTACCAAGGTGTAATCCGCTTATCGTGGAATTTGTAGCAGGCATCCACTTCTATTCATCTTGGTTTGGTCCACTAAAACTAGAGAGTAAAGCATAATCGATCGGACCAAACAAATCCATCCACGAATTTGGCATAAGACCATCTGATGATTCCTGGCCACTCATCTGAGCATCTTGGCTCAGCTGATTTGACATTGTATTATAGTCGACCAGCGCCCACATCGCCTCTTCCTTCGCAGGCGTGAAGCTCAAACCTTGGGTGAGGCTATTCAAGTGGCTCCCCGCAAGCCCATCGTGGACTATTTGTCGAAGTGTCGAGGCCTGTTGACGATAATTAGTGTACAAACGAGACAAAACTGGAATCTAGTACGTCACCATTGTTCTGACATTACTCCAGTGATGACCGATGATATCCAGATAGCCCAAAGCCTCGTCGAGCAACATCTGAGCCTCTTGGGAAGTCGGCGAGTGCTCGTCATAGGTCCGGAGCGCGATAATGGAGCCTGCAACTGTGACAGCATAGCCGCTAGATGAGGAGTGGAATGAGCAGCCCAGTTTGCGCGACTCGCGGATAAGAGCCATCATCTGCTGGGCGTGAAGCCAGGCCAAGTCAAATGATCGCTTGATAAAGCTGATAGGAGCAAGATTCCGGCATGTGTTGATGCGGCGCCGTAGTAGGAAGGGATGGTTAAGTAGACAATAACAGAGGTGGAATAATGCCCGAGAGAAGATAATCGGGCCAGAGGACTGGCTGTCTACGACGCCTTCGGCTAAGATATAAGGTGAGAGTATCTCGTCGATTGGCCTCTGTATCTCCAGATATGCTTCGAAATGAAGAAGATCGGATTCAATACCGGCGAAGTCTGAGCCAGGATCCCAAGGCGGATGCGGGCCTCTGATGTTAAAGTCTTGAAGTACATATTGCGCGCATCGGCCAAGGATCTGCGCAATAGCAATGACCTGCGCCAAAGGACATTGGCGTTGAGATATCGAGAGAGTTCGGTTCGTCATCTCGTCCAACGATTGTGTCTTGGCCCATAAGCCCTCCCTCCAGATCGACTCATCACACGGCAGCTGTAGGTGGCACGACGCATCAACGATGGCTGGTGGTCTGCCTCGACCGCACGATACTAGGCGATCCAACGTATATACTGACCAGAACACCCGTCGTCGCTCGTCCTGCTGGGAATTCGAGAGATGCTCTGCGTTCTCTAGCATGAGCCCACAATCCTGCGCGATCCTGACGGCCAGGCCAACTTTGACCCACGCTGAGCCATGGCGTAATTGACCGGCTATACGCGTCATGAGGCATGAGATATGTGTAACTATAATACTAGAGAATGCGGAAACGTACCGGTAAAGTCAAACAAACCTAACAAGGCGACTGTCTGGACAGTAGACACCTCTGCCACCTTACCCACTGTAAAACAGCCCGACACAATGAGTTTCCAAGACCTATTAGCATATTCGACAGACATCTCCAACGCACGCCCCGAATAGTACGGGTGCGAGCAGAACCGAACCGCAGTCGCCATGACGGTTAGGACTAGGTGTTTCGGGATGGCCTGTTGAGCCAAGCCCTGCCGGAAGGTTTCTTCGTGAAAGAACGAATAGGGCTGATTCTGGCAGTAAGTAAAATACGAGTCAACGACTGCCATGAGCACATCTTCTGGTGTCCCAAAGTCCTCAATCGCAGGGTCATTTTGCGGCCAAGGCTGGAACGTAGTGCCAACTGTCCTAGGGCTGCTGACGCCCCTCAGCCGCCCAGAAGAACCGGGCAGCCCTGCGGCTATAGCGCCCAAGTTAGTATTACTGCTATCTACCAGCGTAACGAGGCATCTTTCAATCCTAAAAAGCGGTTCAGTATCATGATTCCTTGTTGTTGAGACACAAGCTCACCGCTGCAGGCTTGACCCCATGGACTCGATCTTAGCCTCTAGTGTCCCAATCCTACTGACGAGTTCGGAGGTCTAACATGTAGGCTTTAACACATCGACGAACGAATAAATATGAAGCCTAGTCAATATATACCTGTGTGTCGCTTGACTCGGAGGTCTGTGTTTGTTGACAAGTCTCGGGGTCGTCGATGGCGATGCTCGCCGAACGAGTGCTTTGCTGCCTAGGAGCCTGCCTCCGAGAAGCTTCGACGGGATATACACAGTCTTGCATCGTTACACACAATTCCGAAAAGCTTATATTTAGAAACGGAGCATCACTCAACAATGTTGAGTCGTCGGCACTGCCCGCAGACAGGTCGATCGCCAGTGCAACGGCATTTTTTCCGTCTTTGTTAATCAGCTATGCTATCTGTCGTGCGCCGGCCCAAAACGCGGGGTAACAGTTACGTACCGGCACTGAAGGCATACTTGGGCAATGCGCTGTACTGGAAAGTAAGTATCGACGTTACTCCCCATAGCACTGATAATAGGAAACGGAGCAGATATGGAGTGTGGATAGAGTCGGCAAGTTGCTTGGTCTGGCTGCTCACCTTGAGGATCCGCCTATTTTCGGCCTAGTTACGTGCAAGGAGACAGCACTTAATAACCAAGTGGAGTGCAGCCGGACCGTCTCCACTTGTCGGGGTTTGAGACCGTGTCTGGATGCTTGTGATCGCGGTTTTCGGAGTCAGATGCCGTAGTTGCAGCAATAGATCAGAATGCAAAAGGATGATTCATGTCCACAGCGAAAGCGAGACAACGGAGGAGCAAAGACCAGTGATCCTCGATGGGAATCAAATCAGCCAAACAGCCTTCAGCTCGTTCCCAGACCCCAAATACGGTACCGTGGTCTGGCAAACACTCCTCTCCAAGCCGAGCACCAGCTCCGACTCCATGTGCGTAGGAATCGCGACCTGTCCTTCCAACGGGACACTCGCTCTGCACCAACATTGTCAGGCAGAGGTCTAATACGTGCTCGAGGGGTCGGGGCAGGTTGAGATCGACGGGGTCAGGCACCATGTCGAGGCGGGCACCGTGCTTTGGATTCCTGGGAATGCGATGCATGGTGCTTTTTGTGGGCCTGACGAGACACTCAAGTGGCTTTATGTCTTTGCGGAAGCACGGTTCGAAGACATTATTTACAAGTTTAAAGATACATAGCGGGCATTATCTGAATTCAATTGAGGGAGATGGAATACAAGGGTTCTAATAAAAAGCTCTTGATCTTATACTTGCTACAATAGTCTGAATTATCTCTCGCCATGTGAACGTGATGGAGCTGGTCGAACTCTATCTTACTACTCTGCTATACGCTTCTAGAAACAACCCCGATCTACAGTCTCTTAACGTTGGCCATGTGAGTTACTGCTTCGCTGACAAGTCATCACCTCAAAAGACCTCTGGCTATCGATGGCCTCATATAGGCAATGCGATCCCAACACCTAATTCGTACGACAAGACACCAGCAGGTACAAAAGCAGCCCCTGGGAGTATCTCAGTTTCGGTAATCGCTTACTCAATGTCATCGGGCGACAAAGTCACTTGCGGACCGTACCCACTCTCTCCGCAAAGAAAAGGCCTGGGCCGAACAGTACCATACAGATAGCAGGTCCAATGAAATAATTGCGTATAGCTTCCGATTCGTAGCTATGTCGGAAGCAATATCTATAAGATAAGGTCACAGAAGTCGCTCTGCCAAAGGCGTAAATCCACGGTATCAGCAGCCGTTAATCAGTCGGTAAATTTGTAAATTTGTTCCTATCTTAACTTTCAATTCATTAGCCATCATCGACAATGACGCAGATCGTATCGGGCGCTGATATCTACGGACAAGGGTCCTGGGTTGACTCCAAGGCGCCGCCAGTGCCCGATGATGCACGCCGACTTCTCAAGAAGCTGGCCGAGGCGACGCCGGGATTTACCAAAGACCCCACCGTTCTGGACACGGTATCTTTCACTGGCTCCTCCGACACAATCGTACCCGGTCCATTGAAATCCGCTGTTGTCGCTAGTGCTCTGCACGCCATGAGCGGCATCGTGGCCAACGAGCTCCTCGAGCTCAGAGACGGCCATAGCTCCAGCAGGACTGTATCTATCGACACCGACCATGCTGCATTCTGGCTCGGAAGCGTGGGCATGACCAAGCGAAACGGTCAGACTGTCCAGGAACTTGGCAAGGAGGGTAAATTAGCTGCCATCTTCCCTAAAGATCTCCAAGGAGACATCTTCGGAAAGCCATTGAGATTGCGCGCTACGGCAAACTACGAGACCAAGGATGAAGGCGTTTGGTTTCAACTACACGGGTCCCTAGGTGCAGATCCAGTTCGGCATAGACCCATCGCAAGAGTGCCGCAGTAACGACGAGGCCTCTCGAGTCATTGCTGAGCACGTTCGCAAGTTCGGAGCACATGAACTGGAGATGATACACTTTGTTCAAGGCCTTTGTGGAAGTATTTGCTATACTCCTGCTGGATGGAAACAGACACGTATGGCCAAGGACTTGTCTAAGCATCCCCTTATCAACTACAAGCAGCAGACACATGCAGTTCCTACACCAGCCATTCCGTTGCCAGTATCTGCCGATAAACGGCCGCTGGCTGGTATTAAGGTCGTGGAGCTTGTCCGCATCATTGCAGGCCCCGTGATTGGAACGACACTGGCTGCTCTCGGAGCGGATGTGATCCGTGTGAACTGCGGTCGCCTCCCTGACTTTAACGTAAGCCATTTTTACCCTCTTCTGCGTCCACACATGAGGCTTTGCCATTTCTTTCCAGTCTCTCCTACTTATAGTTATCCACCATGCATTTAAGCTGACAACATTTGATAGGGACTTCAATTGACGCTGAATGCTGACGTTAGAACTGTGGATATTGACCTGGCTAAAGAGGATGAAGTAAATCACCTCCTCGAGTTAGTTTCAGATGCGGACGTCTTCATCCAAGGGTACAGGCCAGGAGTGATTGCCAAGAAAGGGCTCAGCCGTGATAATATCCTCGAGATAGCTGGAAAAAGAGGCAAGGGCATCGTGTATGTGGAAGAGAATTGCTACGGACCAGATGGCCCTATGGCTGAGCGACCTGGCTGGCAACAAATTGCGGATGCTGCTTCTGGGTGTTCCCACGTCATCGGGAGAAGCCTGGGCCACAAAGACGGAACATGTGTGCTTCCTGCTCTGCCCGTTCCGGATATGCTCACGGGTTTGATCGGATGCATTGGTACCATGATGGCCATCAGAGATCGTGCACGTCAAGGCGGATCCTACCACGTCTTTGCTTCCCTCATGGCTACTGCCTCTCTCCATCTAAGCCCTGAGGTCGGATTGTACTCACCTGAGGTGGTACAGGGCTGCCAAGAGAAGTTTGGTTGGGACGAAACGAGCCCTGACCTCTTTGTGCTTGAGCTGTTGGATGTGGTGCTGAAGGCATGGGCTAAAGCGATGCCAAAGTCCTTTGGGGAAGATTCACCTTATATGTCTACCCTCAGAGGTGAATGGGACGAATTTGAAGTGCTGAAGCCGGTTGTTCAGCTGAGCGACAAAAGCGCATCGCCATACTACTCATCTGCTCCAGAGCCTAACTGCTATCGCGACAGTACTGTAATGGCGTGGCAATAGGAAGGGCTTATAACAAATAAAGTTTCTTGTTATAGAATATGTAAGATAATGAACTAGTTACTATAAGTTATACGCTACTTAGGGTTTCTTATATTATCTTGATATTGCATTAGTCAGTTGAAACATTTAGTGGCTCTTCCGTAGATGGGGCCAAGCTGATGGGGGCGGCTGAGGTAGAAGCTATTTTTGTATAAACCAACACGAAATGGAGTCCTTATGTGGCGTCGAACTTTGTTAGTAGACATGAGAACATGCCCGAGTTATGGACTTGAAAACGCACCGGGACCAACCTCCAGAATCCTGCATTGAAATCCGGTAAGACACAACCTAAGTACCAAGGTATAATACCGCGCTAAACTCAAAAGACCTGAGTCCGGGCCCTTCTGGGGTCACATAGGGCGGGTCATGAAATCGAGGAGCCCAAATATCCGGGACCAGGCCCACCAAAGAGGAAGCGTCATGTATTCCTGAGCGCCAATATTTATGATCATGGCCAGGACTGCACGGACACAAAGGAACCACAGGAAGCCGGTCAGGGTCTTCCAGGAGTCGGCAAACAGGTCAGACTTTGTGCCGCGGAAATAGCTTACAGTTGGGTTGCCAGACCTCTTGAATACTCTTGACATCCCGTCTAATCCACGTCGCAATACAATCGACCTTACGCTTACTAATTACCCCTTGCTGAGCTTAATACCGGGGATCATTTAGCAGCTATCTCTGACCACTTAACATGCAGTTTGGATCAATCAACCCCGGTTCAGTGCGGTTGGGTTATCTGAATGGCACAAGGAAATGAGCTGGAAGGTGGAGGCAGCGGGCCGAATCTTACAAGAGGTGGTCTTCTAGCTTATTGACTGATAGAGGAGTATGCCTGTGCCGCGGCTGTGATCCGGGCCAACGGAAGACATTGCCCCTTCAGCTTCAACGGGTAGGTCTAGATCACAAAAAGAGACTTTTTATTATATTATATTTAACAGAAAAGAGAGAACTAGCCAAATAATACCAATGCTCTATTACCACTCAACACCTCTTTTAATATACCCCGTCTCGTGAACCAAAGTCATAGACTTGAAAATCTTTGTAAAATCGTTTAAACACTGGCTCCGTGCCTGCAGATGACCAGGCTTTGTGCTAATACCGCTAGGAGGGTTGAGGTTCATAAAGTCTTCCCAGCCTCTCACTAGCAGGGGCCCTTGTTCTGTAAGCAATCCTTGGACGTAATTCAGTGCAATATCTTCACAATTAAAGTGTTGATCGACATATTCCCGAACCTTTTCCATAGTGCTATCTTCAGACCAATAATAGTCCATAAAAGAAATGTGTGAAAAGCAAAGGTTGGTCAGAACCATGGAGTACTCTTCACGCTTCTCTCCCCGACAGAAATTATAGCTGTATTGACCCTTTGCATCCTTGTCGTAGCAACGAGCGAGGGCGCCAGTGAGACGGTATCGGCCGAATTTCTTCCACGTCTGGAACACAAACTCAAGGTCGCTGGGCTGATAGTACACATCGTCGTCTGTCAAGAGTATGGCTTGGGTCTTGAAGTCGGGATCCGGTCGGAACTTCTCGTTGAGACTGTCTTGTAGACCTCTCCGAAATCGCACAGGAACTCCATGCTTCGATGTGAAGCTCGTTGGCGGTAATTCATCAACGTCGCCCCAGACGACGACAATTTCATGGAGTGACGGGATCTTTTCTTCGAGTAAGACTGATAGCGTATGGTTCAGTTCTTTCGGACGTCGGTAGGTAAGCATAGCGATGGTGAATTTGTCGTCATCTAGATGGCTGTACCTGGTCTTCGCCGAATCCCAGATAGCCTGAGGACTCCCTGGTCTTGCGACAGCAGGCGTACCTCGTTGGTTCTAGGGTATGGTGGGTAGAATGATCTGGCTGGCGTCCGTGTAAGTCAGACCGACGATGAGAATTGACGCGAGTATTGTGAAGATGACGGCCTTATTGATGAGAATGCGGGAGATATGTGAGCTGAAAATGTGAAGATAGAGGCTGGACGTTTCGAGAAATCTGGGCCTGGGGCCTTTGAGCTGGGAAACGGAAGACATGGTTGCTGACGGGGTATTGAGGTAAAGAATAGCCCGTAGTTGCTGTGATCCACGATATGATGACTGTATTTGAATAAATCGCAAAGCACATCTTCTGTGACAGGCTCCCATCTCTCCTTATTGTTTAATATTTCATCGGTAAAGAAATGAGGAGTACACTACACACCAGTGTATTGCGTAAGCCTGTGCCCTTAATGCCATTTACGGGAAAGACTCTTAAGTGCGAGTTCACTAATACGAGCCCATTATCGGACCAGAAGTCTCTGTTATCTTAAATGAAGCAAATAGTGCAAAGAACCAGACAGGGGTAGCACAGTAATGGTGTAACATCGACTTCACGGAACTGTTGGGCTATAACTTATCTTAGTTGTAAACTAGTCTCATTTTTCATAGCATTACTGGGACGCGAGTCCCCTGATTTCACAAACTGTAGGCTGGCGCCTCGCTGCATGCCGAATCGAGATAAAGAGACAGAGGTACTAACTCGAAAGATACTTGGCCGAAAGAACCCTTTACAATCAAACGGGGCGTGGCGCTTGACTTTAGCTCAAACATCTCTGCTGGTGTTACAGATTCATTGCGCGTCAAGCATGGAAACCCAGCTCCATTTGAACTTGTCCTCACTCTCTTCTTATCGTAGTCTCCCTTTGACAGCAGGTGCCGGGCTAGCTCACTTGGACCAATGGGGTATCTTACATTTCCCATTTGTAGGTGCCTTTTGGTACTAGGAATAGACTAAGAGTCAATAATCGAGATACTTAGCGCCAGGAACCTTTAAATGGAATCACAGTTAGATGTTTCGCGATGTCACAAAGAGCGACAACTCGGTCCGAGTTGCCGGTTTACCGAGTTGTCAGTTGGTTCTAGACTTTGACTTGATGTTTCAATCTTAAACTACAGAAAATGGTGTCATTCCGATTCGTGATCACTAACTTGACCTAATGGCCGCGTTATCCCATTCTCCGAATCACAACGTCACGCCGTGTCAGTCCCGGGAGCGCCCACTTTACGCTAAAGGATATAGCAAAAGTAAATCTTTCTTATCCCCGGGATCGCCCACATTACGTCGAAGAAGATATTAATTTGTAAATTATTTATTTATATATATATTCAAAATTGACATTTTCTGAAATCATACTCTATCAACTCTACATCCTACGGTTGCTTTACTTGTCTACGATGATAACAAACTTGCCCATTTGTTGTCCAGCTTTATATCATTTAACATCCCATCAACATCCACCATGTTACCCAGACCTTGCACTGCTCTAGTGGTCACTGGTCAGATTCCTTTTCTGTCGGCGAAGGCGACTATGCCTTGAAACTCTTGCCTAGAACCCATAGCAGTTTCTTTCAATTCCGCATTTAGCAGAACAGCTGGCATCGTAGTTCAAATCATCTTCAGTAAGACGGTCATACCACATTGAAAAATAATACCAGCAGTTTCAAGAAGCTTTACAGCTTCGGTAACGATATCACCCCCAGCTCCGTCAGTAACAGCAGAGATCAAAGGTCTCGATGACGGAAGACTTAAATAGCTTTCTCTATATCCATCCAAGAACTTAGGATGAACCGTATCCATAAAAAGTCTTCACTCCGGCTAGAAATCCCGATATAAAGCACTAGCTGGCCCATTTCACTTCGGATCGGTTGTGGTTCCGATATCATCTCAATGCGGGGTAGTATTAACATATCACTTGGTGGACGATAAGGGGACCGTCTCTAGCTATTTAAAGAGTTCCCAGACTCTCTACTTATTTAAACCTAATTCAACGAGGTTAATGAAACAGAGTAAGAAAGGATAAACGCACCAACATAACTCAGCTCTAACAACCAAGTCTGATTCTGACTAGACAATTCCATCACTATACCCTATGGCACGAATCACGATTGTTGGAGCTGGGTAGGCAGTCTGGAACTCTTGATGTTTGACAACGTGAAAGGCTGGTACGTTGGATATCAGAATTGTCGGACTAGCCATCGCGGCGCAACTCTCTCGACTCCACGATATTACTGTCATCGCCAAAAACCTTCCCGGTGATAAACTGACACTCGAATGGGCTAGTCCTTGGGCAGGTGCTAACTTTGTAGCTGGCTACTGCATTTCACCACGCGACAGGAAGATGCAACGTGATACTTTTGTTGAGCTCTGGAGGTTGGCCAACCGATATCCAGAGTCCAGCGTCAAAACGATTCCGATGGAGGAGTTTTTCGATAAAGAGCGTACAGAGGATGACCTTTGGTTCAAGGATTTTGTGCCAGACGTATGCATTCCATAGAAGGTGGACAGTTATCGGTGCTGATGAGGACACTAGTTTCGCTTACTTACAGAAGAGGAGTTGCCAGAAGGAGTAAAAGGGGGATGTACCTGTGTGTCTGTTTTTAAGGGGGTTGTTGCTTAGGCTAACTAATTGCAGATACAACAATCGTGCTCAACCCAAACATCTTTCTCGTATGGATGCGCAATACTCTTGAGACTTCAGGCGTCAGGTTCAAGAGAATAGATCTCCATGCATTATCGGATGCGCGCCACCTCGGCTACGATGTTCTTATCAACGCAAGTGGCCTGGGACCTAGGTATCTGGTTGATGTTCGGGATCCGGACATGCTGTTCCTCAAGGGACAGATAATTCTAGTGAAGAGTGATTATAACAAGTGTATGATGCGTGATGATGGAAAGGACTACACATATGTCATTCCTCGACTTGACGGAACGGTGATTATAGGAGGTATTAGGGACCCAGATACAAGGTATGTCAAGATCCGCATTCCTACCTTCAACACCACTAATCGTCACTCCACAAACAGTAATACGGAAGTAGACCTAGACATTGATAAGGACGTGAGTTAGATTCTTACTTAAAATGGCGTTAACTTGACGTCTTTCAGATCACAAGGAGAGTCAACAAGAGCCTTCCCGCCCACTTTTCTGCAGACCCGGCAGACTACGACATTGTTGGGCATAATGTTGGTATCCGCCCCTACAGATCAACTGGAATGCGCATCGAAAATGAGATCAAAGACGGCCAAAACATCGTTCACGCATATGGTAAGCTGTAATTATAATGGACAGATATAGTATCGTTAGCTGACCAGACTTAGGAATTACAGGAGGGGGATATATCTTCGGATTCGGTGTGGCACGGGAGGTTGCTAAGCTTGTTGATGAATTTTTATATCCTCCTAGTAAACTATAGGTAGCAACTACCCCTATGGTCTTCTCCCTCTTATAGATTGGGGTGCCTTGTGTATGGAAGCGTCTAGCTTTATCGAGCTTTTCCTAACTATTAGATACAACGTAGACGCTGGCGCCCATAGCCACGCCAAACAGTACGGCTGAGAGAGCAAGGACGCCTCCGATACCTGCAATGAGAATCTTCTATCCTGCCTGGACAGCAGCTTTGGTAACGAGTGCCCGCCATGGTGTAAGTCCTACCAGTGGTAGAGCTGCGCCCTCTGTGGCAGACAGGTGTTTTGGTGTAGGAGAAACCTCGTCCTTGCGAACACCGTCATAGCCTCGTGCTGTGCCTGCGTAGTAGAGTCTAGTCTATCCAATAATGGACCATTTCTAAGCTGGATCTGATATCTCGCCTCACATGGGAGTCAGGAGGACGTTTTCCCCCGGTATGAAGGTATCAGAATCACCTTGCCTAGTTTCAGTAACGGCTCCATAACCGTCCGACAACATGGAATGGTCGAGTGATATGGCAGCATACTGATATTGTCTAACGAAGAGATCGCGATGGTTCAGCGCAGCTGCTTTGAGCTGGACGAGGACCTCACGTACTCCAGGGACAGGCTTGTCAGTCCTCCTGGAAACCGCTGGTAAAACGAGACTGGTGATTGAATGACGTCGAAATACGGATAGAACTTACGGGTAGCAAGTTTCCCCAGGCTTTCCTGAAGCCTGACCGAGATGCAACACGCGCTCGCTGTAGCGCTGCTCTAGATTCTTTGGAGATTTTTATAACATGGTCACATTAACACTTGTTCTTTGGAGCAGTTTATCAATGTGGTCTGAGAGTCTAAGATCGGTCCTCAGGCATTCTTAGAAGTCGACACGTGGTCGTCGCCGGACCGTGCCGAGCATCATCCGACGGTCGTAATACGTACGGTCCGGCAACCATGCTTAACTAGAAATCCGGGGTCTCAGAATTTAGTAAGTCCTCAAGCCATGAAGTGGAACTGACTCCAAAATCATCCAAGGTAAAGTCGCGAGGAGACAGGCGAGAGGAAGTTTGCCCAAAACAGTGCCAAGGATCTATCCTAATGAGTGGCTACTGGATAGAATTATAGCGCCAACGGGCCCACGCTGAGGCCATGCGGACCCCACTGACACGGATGGCCAAGTGCCCACGGTGATATACGATACCGATAGCGAAAGCGAGACCGATATCAAGGACCTGTGATTGATGGAAGAGGAGCTCCGCTTTTCGGAGCTGTCTTGGAGTTGAGGCCACCACGTCCTTACTAGTCTAAGTGTCCAAGGCGGTTTTTCATGAATGACACACAGATCGGATTTAAGGCAGACTTTGATTAAGTATGGAGTATTGTCTCTATCTGTTTTAATCCCTGAGATGTTTTAAAGATATTTACCAGATTGATAGTTAAAGAGGGAACTATGGATTGACTTAGTATTTAATAGGAAATAAGATTAACAGGGTAAAGTATAATAAATAGCTATAATTATATCTATTAGAAACTAATTTATATTCTCATTTTTAATTAAGCTTACTTTTTAAAAACTAAAAACTTTTGACTTAGGGGCCAATTCTAACTTCACCTTAGCCACTCTTGTATTATCTATTTATAGCTGCTCCATTTCATACAGCCGTACACAGGACGTCTTTTGGCCCATTCCGTGGCTGAGGCTATTGCTTGTATGTCATTCTCCCTACTAATTGTCTTGGCACATTTCTATTCTTAGACAAGCCTAGAATTTTATTTTTTAAAACTAATTTCTGGGAGGCCTATTGTGATTATTATATAAAATTGCAACCTTGTGATAAGTGCGCTTATGCTAGATTGCAAGCGTTGTATACCATCTTATAATGTCCTCAGAAGACATCGTGTTCGACCCACGTGGCGATGTCAAACCTTGCGTTGGGGAAACAGACCCTGTCACCTTAACAGCCTGTTCAAGAGCTTTGGCTAGAGCATCGCCAGTCTTTGAGCGTATGCTCTTTGGGTCGTTCATGGAGTCGAAACCATCAAATGGCGGAGACTGGATTGTGGAACTCCCAGAGGACAAACCAAAAGCATTATCCATCTTTCTACACATATCACATGGCCAGTTCGATCAAGTGCCCCGAGCGTTATCGATAGATGACCTGTACGACCTTACGGTGCTGTCAAACTACTATGATGGCACACATATGCTGGAACCCTGGGTCGGAAGATGGATGTCATTGGTTGAGGATGATACAGAGGCGTCAAAGGTCTCCATGACCAAGAGCTTATGGATAGCATGGGAGTTTGGTCGGAAGGACTCATTTTGCCGAATAGCAAGAAGAATGCTGATGGAATCCGACGGTTCCGAAGATCCGCATCTCGGAATGCAGCCAGATATTATAGGTAAATAACCCAGCCAACATCACTAAGCCCATTACTCATTCAGTCTCAGAGCGAATATCTGCCAATAGCCTCATGACCATACAAGCACTTCTGGACATTATTAGAAAACTCGTCAATGATTTACTTGTCGTTGACGAGAAGCCCCGCTGGTGTCGGCATGCAGAGTGGATGGGACCGCACCGCTGCGAATCCATGATCCTAGGTTCAATAACGTTTTGTCTCGCGCGAGGGGGCTTGTGGCCTCTGCCCCAGGCAGAAGATGTAATGGACAGCATCGTTGGCCTGCGTCGTAAGATGACACAGTTGGTGATCCATGACATTGGAAAGACCGATGGGCTTGATCATGCACATTGCAATCCAATGCAGTTCTTGTTGGGCGAAGTGGAAAGGGTCTTTATTAATATCCGGAATCCTGTAACCAAAGATGACCTGGACGCAATGGATAAGCAGTGGAAAAGACTTACAAAGTCGTGACAAGAAGATGAAATGATAGTCAAAATCCGATTTATACTTATTATAAAGCTTTACTCTCCGAAGCAAGGCAGCTTTGTAATGGACGAGGTGAAATGGTGGGTGCCATGATCCACTGAAAGAGGCGTTGGTGTCAGAAGCCAATGAGTCAGAAATTCCTGCCCAATGTGCTGTGCTGTCAGCCTGTCGGAGAAGCCAGAGGAGTAACTCTGACATGCTATCATTTTTACATCGATCTCCTCAAGATAATTCCTCCAATAACCTACAGTGTTTGAAACACCAGCTGTCGGTGGGAGATAAACCGAGCCCCCAAATACATTACATTAACAAGATTAACCTAAACCCAAGGCTCAACGGCCCGTCAACGTAATCGCTGATCCCTACTGGCCCTGGTTAGACTAGCTCCGTTATCTGATTTCCACTTCCTCGGCCCCACAACTCTCGTCCGTGATAACTTTCCCAATCCAGCTCAAGGGGAAATAAAACCCGGACCCTCAGTCGGTGGAACACTAGCGGACTTTAGTGTAAGCTACGCCCGTCTAGCCCGGCAAGGGGATGCAATAAAACTTCGGACCTCTATCCTATGTGACAAAAGTCCTTAGGTATACTTAGTGTAATTTAGTATAGATATAGAGGATCTTAGACTAAGTAATTTTGGCACCTTAGTTTAACGTCAGAAGTCTTCTTACACCCTGAGGCCCGGCGAGGCTCGTGTAGGTTTCCCCCCGAGGAGGGTTTATGGTATTCCTCCCCCCGACTCCCGGAGGCTTAAACTCATTTAGAGGTCTGCTCCGCACACGACCTCTGCCAAGAACGGGCCCTGACGAATGATCATCACATTGACACCGGATGATCGGCTGATATAGTAAAAAGTTAAAAGACAGGCCGTAATAACTATACAAAGCATCAAGTTAAGCTGTACTTTTCTTTCTCCTTGTTTTTCCTAGAAAATGGATTTACTGGATCAATCTTGATTCTTATCAGATTCTGATCAAGTTCTCCGTAAATAATGGACGGAAAATTCCGAGGGTGGGGTAACCTATTTATGTACCTTGCGTCGGTAAAGGAGCCGGGCGTAACATGAAGACTCTGATTTCAAGGAACCAAGCCAACGTTACATAGACTGCTATACATATACGCTTCCTGCTTAGAAGATAACAGTATAAAGATACATGCGTAAGACATAAAGAAATAGCTGTGACAGTAAATTAGAAACAATAATGGTGATGGACTCGCAATGTTGATGGCTGTGCATTGAGGCGAGGTCAACCTAAACCCAAAGCTAGCAACCTGTATGTAGGCCATCACGATCTTCGGCTCCCACAGACCTTTGATTGGGGTTTAATTTGTCATACGCGTTTAGGTCCGCGTATATCGCAAAGCTGCGGCCGCCCCACCTTATTGCGTTTCCAACTAAGAGGGAGATCGAGGCTCATTCCTCGTTCAATTCTCTGTCTAGCAACAAACAAACGTTCTTCAAGCCTCGTTTAGCAAAACGACTAATCTTTACTCTTTTGCCCCCCACGACCCTTGCCAAGCATGGTCCTTGACAAATCACCTTCAGAGACGTCAGATCATCTGCCGAATCGAAAGAAACGACTGCATAAGAAGTCAAAGACTGGCTGTAACGATTGCAGGAAGCGTCGGGTCAAGGCATGTTTTTCCTGCACTCCTTTTGCTGTGATTACCTCATACGGTGGGATCAGCCTTCTGATTATGCGTCGTAGTGTGACGAGAAGATACCAGCTTGTACCGCTTGCGTCCGACGTGGCGATGTATGCGTCTATCCATCCCCAATAATCAGTCATTCCTCACCGGCTGCGGCTCAGCAATCAGATGAGGCAGCACTCGCTGCTTCGCTGAGGGTACCAAGGATCGTCGAGGGCCATGAACAATCAGCATCGTCAACCACAACCTTTACACCTGACGATCTTGCCTTGCTACACTACTGGACAATCTCAACAAGCTTAGACATCGTCAAGTCCCCCGCCGGAGATCATTATTGGCAAAAGACGTTCCCAAATACTGGGTTCCAGTATACCTTTGTCATGCACGGAATTCTAAGCCTGGCAGCGCTGCATCTTGCCTACAGACACCCTGCTGACAAACCGCGGCTTGTCTGTATCGCCGCCTACCATCATAACATAGCACTACGGGGATTTCAGAATGGCATAATCCAAGTGAACGATGGAAATAGTGACGCTTTATACGCCTTTTCTTGTTTAAATATGGTCTATGTGCTGGCCTTCTTTGGACCTCTCTGCGATAGCGCTTCTATCGACAGCAAGTCCCGCATTCTCGGAGACGGGTGGATCCCAGCGATACGCAGCGTCGACGCAGTACTACACCCTGTATATGATAGGGTATGTCGAGGGCCACTGGATGACTTGACAAAGATCGGAAACTGGGATCAACTTGATCCAGATCAGCAAGCATTTACTCAGGACGACCACTTCCGAAGTATAAAACAAGTTTGGGAGAACAATAACGACGCATGCATATACGACGAGTCACTATATCTACTCCGCAAATGCAACGCGTATATGAAGCAGTTTGACACAATGAGCATTGAGGCTAGAGCTGAGTGGGGATACAATCAGGACTGGTCGGCACCATGTATATGGTTACACGCGACTTCTAAGGAGTATCTTGACTTGCTACAACAGCGAAAGCCACCGGCATTGCTTATTTTTGCATATTTTGGTGCTTTGGCCCATGCTTTAGACGGATCCTGGTTTATGGAAGGTTGGGGGCGAAGTATTATACTTGTTGTTAGTGAACTACTAGGAGGATATTATGACCGATGGATAAAGTGGCCGAAAGATTTTATAAGTATAAAGTAATACATATAAAATAAGATGTATATCTTACTTATATAGGCAGTATGATGTTGGTGGAGGGAAAGAGCTCGGAAGACACTTAGCGCTATACTCTGGACAAACCCTCGCTGCTCTACTTAAGAGCAATGCCACTATAGCCTTATAACCCCTTTCTGCAGCTAAGTGAATTGCCGTTTTTTTCAGGATGTCTGCTAGTGGCTCAGTACTCATTATGGCTCCGTAAAGGATACTTGAATCAAGCATGTCTCGGTCCCACCATCCTCTGTCCCGTTGACTGAAATAGTCTTGCCATGCATGCCGCTTTCATCTGAACCTGGCGAGATGTGGTTTTACTGGTACAAAGGTCATTGATGCCCGCTCCATGATCCAATAGGAGACTGAAAATGGCCTTGTGCCCGTTGCCAGCTGCTAGATGAAGTGCTGTCTTTGATTCCTCCATCAGGTACCCAAAGCTCATACATCCAAAATCACGTACCCTACACCGGCGAGCGTTGACGTCGGCTCCGTTTCGTAGAAGGGCCTCAACCAATACCAGTTGCCCATTCTCAGCCGCCCAGTAAAGATCTTTATATTTCTTGTCAGTGGCCTGGGATATAGCATCTCGATCCTCTCCTTGCCGGTCGGGGATCGTATTGCTATTTACGAGTAGCGCCAGGAATTTTTCATACCCCTTGCTCGCGGCAGACCAAAGCAACCATGAAACATTCCTTACCCGTGTCCTCGTCAGTAGCAACTCAACCACTCTCTCATGGCCACGATTCACTGAATAATCAAGAGGCGTCGACGAGGAATCCAAACTTTCGCGGCTTGCGTCAACGGTGTCTATTGCAAGCAGAAGTCTGACCACCGCCTCGCGTTTTCTGCTGCGAATGACAACGGCGTCCGATCTCTTTCATCCGCATAGTCTGCGAGCACCCCTTCCTTCTGAAGGAGGACTTTGACAACCGCAGCGTGACCACTCTTTGCAGCCCAAGAAAGTGGGGTTTCTCCGTGATACCCATCAGTAGAGTTAGGGTCGACGTCGTCCCTGGCGATAAGTAGCTTAACAACCTCTTCGTGCCCGTATCTGGCCGCGAATGATAATGGAGTCCATCCATATATACCCTTAGAATCTGCCCGGTGACCTTTCTTCAACAAAGCCAAGGCCGTGTTAGATAGCCCAAAATATGCTGCAGTATGTACCTCAACTGCTATAGATTCAATGTAATCCCAAGCGTGGTACTCAAGAGCCATGATTTCCTGGACTGAGGCAAATGGTTTAGCGGAAGTTTCCAGAAAATCTATAATCACTTGCTCTACATCCATAGACGCCGTGAGAGCATGATGCCCCCAATTGTGCGAGGCATAGCCATAAAACGGATTGCGCGTTAGACGTTCCTTATATTCGTCCTCACTTCTACAAACGCCGCCCTTAAAGACGTCGAATGAGAGGTACCTGATATAGGTTATTGTGATTCCCCACTTTGCAGTCGGGAACCATGCGTTACGGGTCCGGTCAAGGTATTCCTGTGTTATGTAGTGAACTAATCGGATAGTACTGCTCTCTGTATTAACCGTAACCAATCCAGAACATACCGAGATGATATTATCGATCTGAGGGAGGTTTTCTTTGTTAAGCGTAACAGCGTTTTCTTCGACTGCCCATGCATGCTGAAGTTCCGATGTCTTGAGAACCCTTCTTGCGCAAATTATCTATGAGAGAACGTGCGTGGCAAGCTCCTTGGAATCTTGATCCTGGCCAGTGATCCTCTCCATAGCCTTCTTGTAAGCAATATTATATGCCTTCGGCCCAGATGAAAGATTGCTTAATGCATCTTTTATCTTCTTTAGCGTCTTCTTTGTTGAGACAGATTGAAAGTGGAGTTGGGCAAGGAGGAACCTGCACAGCTGTTATTTTAAAATTCTATCCATGTATAAGGTTTAGAACGAGACTTACATTCCACCCACTGCCTTGGTGATCTCGGTCTTGACCATCTCCCGATTTGTTTGCAATAGTTGCCCTGACTGGGAGAGTTTGCTGTCTAAAAAGCTTAACACATCCTCATCGTGGGCCCGAATCTCTATAGTTGTGCTTACTTCAAGCATATTGATAATTTCTGGGATAAACCTTGAGGTAGTGAAAAACTTTGTAGCGTATTGGGCTTGGAGCTTGAAGATCTGTGCTAGAAATTTATTTCGGCAACTATTAATTGCCTGGAGCTCATTAAGTGCGTCGACGATGATATAGACCTGGGTAAATAGACCATAAACACACTGGATAGTCGTTGAAGCCTTATCGACAGAAGGTCGCGTCCTGTTAATACTGTGCTTGTTGTAGAGGGACTTAATAGTTGCTGGCATGGAAGATTGCCCTTAAATTAACTGCTTTAGCAAGCTTTTGAGCAGATGGACAAGCCTCTGTTTGCCATGCTGCCGGTAATTACCATAGATATATGCGATCCTAACGGTGTTATCATCTTCAAAGCGGGTAGTGAGCTCATTGATCACGATCGATGTGATGATTGTTTTGCCTGCTCTAGGAACACCTGGACAAAATAGGGTCTTCCCATTGTTGACCCAGTCTTGGAACTCTTTGGAGCTTAGAAGCCACTTACAAGTGCCTTCTTGTCGTTGGCTAAAATTGTCGCTCTGCTGGGGTCCATAGTTGACAGGCGTAAGCCACTCGAGAATCTCAACGTCCTCTTTGCGGTCCATCTTACGTTTCACTTCTTTAATGTTTGTATCAGATTGCAAAACAGTTTTATGAACTAAACATAGGTTAGGAGGTGAATACTATCCAGTACATCCTAATCTACTCACTTCGGTTCAGAACTTTCTCTACCGTAGGCTCCCTCTCAACGTCGATTGCCTGTACATGGCCCAGTAATTCCTTTGTAAAGGCGGCTGCTACAGCGGCTGTATGAGCTTGCTATGCTTTGTTCTTATGCGAATTAGCATAATTGCAAATGCCCCGGATGGTAATATATGGGAAGTTATGTGCTAGCCCTGCCGCTTCTATCTTAATACACAGGACATGGCGCCTAGATCCGTATTAAGCTTATTACGGAAGATGGAGTCCTTGATTACTTTGTTCCTAGATGCGATAAGCCTGTAATGCACTTGCATCTCTCTAGGCTTCCTTTTTACCGTTTGGCCTGTGTTGCAGAAGCGATAGTCGTTTTCTGCATTACTTTCCTTAGCTTCCTGATCATCAATCAGGACGACTCTTTTATCTGCAGTGCCCTCGCTGACATGGCTATAGTTCGCCTTGAACAGTTGATCTTTTATTGAATCAGATCTGGGGTACTTGGGTGCCAATCTTGGCCACTTTTTCTTTAGTTCCTCCAGGTAGTCAGGTATCTGAGAGCCAGTTAGGTCATGCTCTGACTCTACTATCGTCAAGGCTGCCAGTAACGCATTCGGCGGACTATTTAACGCCCCAGTCCTCTCGAAGGTACCTCCTTGATGTGCCTTTCCTAAGTTATACTGCACTACACCTGGAAATGCCCTAACAGGAGTGCTAACTACGACGTTGCCTAGACGAACCTTAGGCGGAATGCTACTGCTGATGCTAACCATTAAGCAAAACTTGATACTTGGAAAAGTAGATATTATGTTTGTGGTAACAGTCGCGGCTAGAACATTGCTGATTTTACCCTTAGGTAGATAAGCGATAATAATACTATGTTTGCTAATAGATTCGAGTGTATACGTATTATTATCGTTCGAAGGTTTGGGGAGACTTGCGTGCCTTTGGTCTAACATAGCGATCGCCGCGGTCTGTTCGGTGGGCAGGGCGCAGACCCATCTGACGTGGTAGTCATCATGAGTCCGAGGTTCGGGAACCGTTTCCGACGTCATTGTGAAAAGGCCAGAGAGAGCTCTCTGTTTCAGTGAAGATTGGCTATGGTTGAGACAGACAGTCAGTTCTCTATCTTTTGGGGGTTAGGATAGCAATTATTCACCTTGGTTAAGATTGGTTCTGTCAAGGAGGGCTTGCAGTGTATAAACACAGAGGAGATGGAAGGGGAGGACAACTCCTCACCATGCGGCCTTGGGGCTGAATCAGGCAATCATCAGGCATCACTCGTCCAGCAGCCCAATTACATTAGTTTCTGACAATTGGAGAAAATAGGAGGTTATTGGTGGTGTAAGCGCTGTGGCGTTGAGAATCAGGCTGCGGAAATGATTGTGTAACGAGACCTGCATGCACATCACATGGTAGAAACGAGCAAATTGAAGACATTTATACCATTAGCTATGAATGACCCGGGGCTTAACCAAATGACTTATCCTTTACCACATACTGCACTTTCTAGACAATGGGGTATTGAATTCTGTTCATTCTTCAATTTGGCTTAGAGACAAGGAATATGAAGGAATGGTCGGAATATTATTACCGCCTAGCCCAGGACATCGCACTAGCAGTGAGGCTGCTTGCCAACTGGTCACTGATACTACTCATGGCTATTGGGCAGGTAAACAAACAGCTTAATTCCACAACATTCTTCCATCCACAAGCCATTTTACCCCGGATAGACATAATTACATCACGATACACATAAGGCCACCCATAACTATAACATATGGTCAGAATCAGGCACATTCTAAACTATGCGTTGACTTACCGCTAGCAACTGCACCTGCAGCAATCCCATTCATGACACCACCAACGATCTCTTTCGTGTACCCTTGAACCTTCTGGCGGTCTCTGCGAATCTTCTCGGCATCCTTTTGGGCCTTTGATAGAGCCTTCTGGTGACTTTTTGTCTGGCGTGCAACGATTTGTTGTTGTCGCGGACTATTTGCCAGGCGAGCTATCTCCTTCTGAAGGGCAGCGCAAGACTCTTGCACGTCCCGTAAAATCATCTCCTTATTTTGCACTTCAGTTTCGTATTGGCTTTGAAGGTTGGAAACTCGCTGCTTCAGTGCTTTTGTCTCGGCTTCGTGTAGATCTATCATCGTCTTGACCAAAGCCTGACGGCCGCGCTTCGTTTTCTCGATCTCTCTATCCACTTCAGCCTTCAGCTCTTGCAGTTGAAGAGAATACTCCTGTTCTGAGCTCGAAGATGTTTTCTCCATCTCGGCATCCAGTATTCTTAGCTGATTCTCATGTTTTCGGCAAGTTTGATTTAGGTGTTCGGAGGCTGCTATTCCTGCTGTGGTTTCCCCAAGACTCTTTCCTTCGTCCACAACCTCTCGCTGTAATTGAAGTACAGCATGTTTGCCGTGATCCAGTTGCCTTAGTAGAGTATCGATAATACGCTGTTCTGCGTTTGCGGGGCTATGATTTTCGTTGTAATCTCGAAACATTCTTGCTCCTTGACTGACAAGGTCACTGAAAAAGTCAGGGTTTGTCATCAGCTCAAGTTCTCGGTCTTCAAGAATCCTCCTGTTCTTAGAATCTGGAGACTCGGGCCACAGAGTTGTAACGATGGCGAGATTGCTATAGGAAGCGAATCCACAAATCTCTTTCAGGATTCTCAAGCTTCTCAAATTTGATCCAGCCATACGGTTATTCGTGATAGGATATAACGTTATGATACCGTGAATCCGCACCCCATTTGCATGTGACGCACTGAGATAGGTTGCCAATACCTCCAGCGTTTCGATATCAGAGCGGCTGGTGTCGTTAAACCCGGGGGTATCTATAAGGAAGATACGTTGACCACGTCTGGTATACTGGAAAGCACCAACAGAGTTAGTACCTATTAATTAGCAAAATATCATATTAGATGGAGCCTGAGTTTGCGACGTTACAAGCGATGAATAGCGACCAAGTTTATCACTTACATGAATACAGCCCATGGCCTATAGTCACGTCATGACCTGTGCAGTTTGAGACGAATGTACTTTTGCCAGCTCCTGTCAGACCCATAACAAGGAAGAACTTGTCTCCCGGTTCCGGCTGGTTGAGACCAAGAAATGTCTTGAAGGATTCGGCTTGATCGACCAGTGCCTCAGCACCAAGGTTGTATTTACCCATGTCGGACATTTCTATAGTCAATCTCTAGATGATTAGGAGCTGAGAGTTGAAGTCCTCGATAGAGACAAAGGGATGTGCAAGATCGTAGCCACAATGAAGGCTCAATCGAGCCCCGTCATGGTACAGCCCTGGTTAAGAATGCCTAGAGAGTGCCTTGGTGATGAGTCAATCGTTGAGGGGGTGTTGTCCATGGCTGTGCAGCATGTGATTCAACCAAGGAAGTGTGCATATGCACGTCAGTCACAAGCCTAGAGTGGCTAGCTAGCACTGGGCGATTTTCTGCCATGAAGCGGAAATCAATTGCAAGACATGCCTAAAAGTATGACAGTAGCAAATTAGGCTCTACGTCTCGATAAATTGCAATAATTCAATTGTTTTCCTGGTACTTGTATTGTTAAACATACGTCTTTACAAATCTTGTGAAGCCTTTTTGCGGTCGGTGCTAACCAAGGAAAGTCGGCTGCATAAGTCGGCTGCAGGGAAGCCCAATGCTGACAAGGCGCAGGCATTTGTGGCCCCCTTCTTGGCAGTCGATAACCCAATAGCGGTACGGCTATGCATATAAGCAAAGATGTCCCGCGGCAGACTCTGTCAAAAAGGCCTCGAGAGATATTGCGATACTTAAATATCCTGTTCGGTCTCCAAGCCTGCGGCCCAAATCAGTCTTGAGCAAATTACACAGTCCGGCAGCAATTCCTTCGGCACTTTACAGAGACATTTAAGAGACATTTAAACGCCTGGCATGACAGGCACGGACAATATGCCCAGTCCAGTGGCAGCGGGGTTGTTGAATCCTGTATCTAAGAGCTTCCGTAGCGGTCATGCCCCACGGTGAGAAGGTCATCGGGTGAATGTCTTCAAGATTGTGCTGCTAACTTTCCAAGCCCGAATGACGCATTTATCGCCTTGATGGGCATAACTGGCTCAGGAAAGAGCTCGTTTATAACAAAATGTACCGACAAGTCTGCTACAATCGGTCACGAGATGATATCATGTTGGTCAACTGGCAACCTTTTCCTATCCTAGAGAAATCTCACTCATGCATGTCAGGCACATCTATCGTCGACGTCTATCCTTACGAGGTAACATCCGACTTTACTGTATATCTCATTGACACGCCTGGCTTCGATGACACCGGGAGAAGTGACACCGAAGTCCTTAGCGAGATTGCTGCTTGGCTCACAGATTCTTACAAGCATGAAATCCGTCTTCATGGTATAATCTATCTCCACCGAATCAGTGATGTTCGCATGCAAGGCTCAGCTAAAAAGAACTTGGTCACATTCAAAGAGCTGTGTGGCGAAGATGCGCTGAAAAAGGTGGTTTTGGCAAGCACTATGTGGGATATAGTGCCTGCAGAGAAAGCTACCAAGCGAGAGCAAGAACTCAAAGACACCCCGGAATTCTGGGGCTGGATGCTTTCAAAAGGCAGTTCAATACACCGATACAACAACACGGCGGAATCTGCTAGAGAGATAGTCCTCTCGTTAGCCGGCCACAACGCACCGATAGCTACTGATCTGCAGAAACAGATGGTTGATGAAGGAAAAAGTCTCGACGAGACTTCGGCCGGCCAAGGGCTTAAAAGTGAACTTCTCAAAGAGCGACAGAAATTGACACTAGAACGCCAAGAGCTCCTTACTCAAATAAAAGCAGCAAAAGAAAAACAAGATATTGACACAGAGGAGGCTCTACAAGAAGAGAGTGATAGGTACTCCGTTTTGATAAAGAGGGCTGAAGAAAGTGCCAGAGCTTTAAGGATGACTATGGAAAACCTAATCGCTAAACGAGATTTGCGTGTTGCAGAGATGACTAAAGAGATAAGAGAGGTCCAGAATGAGTACGAAATGAACTTCAGGCTGATGAGAAAGGACGAGATAAGGTTGAAGAATCAGAGGCTCGATTTAGAAAACCAGCAAAAGCTCCAACGAGAAAGAAATTCGAGCGTCAAGCCATCAACCAATACTCAAGAAGCTAATACGGAGCGACCTGGCCAGCGTCCATCGAAGGAGGAAGGAGGCATACCTGCCAGCAAGATAGAGGTATCTGTGTCTATAAGCAAGTCATTCTACATTTTGCAAAGCCCTCTTTGCTGGAGATGGTAAGCCTTATCAAAGTCATACCGGACGAGGAACTATCTAACAGCACGATTCAAAGCAACGAGGTGGAGCTCCTGGAGTTGCAAAACGGGAAGCGAATGGAGCTGGGTTGCTTAAGTGCTGTAGGCGATCAAAGGACAGTGTGGATTGCTCGTTACGAAAATAATGACTGGAGTAAGAAATCGACAAGTCCGGCAATATTAGAAAATAGCTAACAGCAGAAGGATGGTCTATGAGCTTTGAACGATACTATCCGACGCTGGCCAAGGATATAAAGTCGTATGGCCTCAATGCCGTCAAACTATGTGCACTCGGCCCTGGCGAACGTTACTACACCGGCTGGAACGAGTTCCGTGCCTACAGCTGTTCGCCCAAATTCACTAGAACAATGAAGAGTATCAAAAAGGACAACTATTCGATCACAGCTGTGTCCTTTGGATGCGGTAGCTCCTTTCTTGTTTCGTACGGTGCTGAAAATGGCCACCTCGGCTGGACACATGACCTTCAGGGTCACTACCCAAGTCTAAATCGGTTTCTGAAAAGTCAGAAGAAGCTGGGAAATAAGATCAGTATACATGTAAGCCCTGAGTGATACTGCAGCAATATTCTTAGCACTAATATCGTTTCAGGCGGCAACCCTTGACCCCTTTAGTAAGACTGATTACCTTGTTGTCTTTACTGATAATGAGGGGAGGGACAGTAGCAGACTCAAGTACAAAATGCACTGTTCTGATAAAAACACCCGCCAGGCGGTCGAGGATTGGTGGGAGATAACTAAAGGGCGTCGGCCACCTCGTGAGAATGGGGTTGTTATTAGCTGCCTGCTGTAATCTAGAGTACACCGCCTCACAAGACCGGAGGTTGAGATGAGGTTAAGTTCATAACACCCCACACAGCAGTTCATACTTTAATAAATTTAAGTTCCAAAAGTCAATCGACTTATATTTTATCACTATAGCCTCTTTAGCTACAAGTCTCTGTGACAAGGTTGAGAGGTCAAAAGAGGCTTTATTAGCCTCACATACAGCGAAACGCCAATCAACACATCTGGACATTATACTTGTTACACTCAGCCACAAGTTTCAACTGCCAACAGGCCATGTAGCTCCTAACTTGAACCTTATCATGTTGCCGTAATTTAACTTCATGGCTGTCTTTGATGACGAGTTGAGATCAAAAGTTAAATAAATTCCTCACCGAAACTCTGGTCTCTGCAGCGACATAAATTAGAGACTACTGTACTTCACCCCTCCGTTGTCGTTCCAAGAGTCCTTTTCTACATATAACATTGCGATGAAAAAAACAAATTAACGCGTTATCATTGCTTTCCAAAACGACAATCCATTTATCTAACTTCCGATAACACCACCAGCAACTATGGAACCAATCCCAGGATCGCCTCTTGATTCACAAGCAGGCATACCTGAAACCCCCGTTCGGTGCCATATAATGTTCTTCCTGCTGTCGCTCGGTGGCGCGTTGGTCTTTCTCAACATCAGAGACAACTTCAACACGGCATTCTTCCTGGCTGCAAGCGCTATATTTCTCACTGTCGCCATGGCAGGCTCAACGAGAAAAAGAAGAAAACAGATTAGACACTCTAATTAAGCTATCTCGCATCGAACCCTTCGCCTCGGGCAGTTCGCTAATTCGTCTATTCTATTCACCACTTCTCATACATGGTCTTGTACAAAGCATCACAGAACAGCGTGATAGCTTTTGACCCAGCTTCAAGAACAGCATCCATCGCAATAAACGGATGAGGTTGGCCCGTCATGACATTCAGCTCTGCCTTGACACCAGCGTCTTGCAACTTCTTCGCAAACTGCTCGCCCTCCGACCTGAGTACATCGAGTTCACCGACGACAAAACAAGCAGGCGGTAGCTTTGAGAAGTCCCCCTTCCAAAAGATTGGACTAGCTTCCGGATGCGCCCAGTCTTCTTTGTTTGGAAGGTAGTGGTTTCTGTACCAGAGCATTTTCGGGGCTGGAAGGGCAGGGGAGTGTTGGTTTTCTTTCCATGAGACGTTGTTGTTTGTATCGGCGGTGTTGTCCATCACAGGGACGGAAAGAAGCTGGAGGGAGAATTTGGGGGATCCTCGATCAGCAGCTCGTTGGCACATTATAGCAGCCAAATTAGCGCCAGCAGAAGAGCCGCCTAAAAGTTCAATGTTAGGACCAACTCGCACATATCTTGTTGTATTCTAACCCACCTGTTGCCATTTTTGATGTATCCAGGCTCAGAGTATCCTTGCCCTCGCCCAAGACCCAAAGAACAGCTTCCCATGAATCATGGACTGCCGCAGGGAACGGATTCTCAGGTGCCAGTCTGTAATCGACAGCCACGACGACACATCTGCCCCTCGCACAGAGATGCGACGCAATGACATTCTCAGTGTCTATTGTGCCGAGAACCCAACCGCCACCGTGGTAATAAACACACACAGGCCATCCATACTCTGGCTTGTCGCCTATTGGAGTGAAGCACCGAACCTTGACATCAGGCCCTTTACTCTCTTTACGTTTGATGGCGTAGTCGACGGTGCTTGCGACGGTTTGTAAGGGACCACTACCGGGGATGAGGATACCACTGCTTCGTGATGCTTCTACTGGTTGCAGGTGCACTTGTTGCTTATCGATGATGTGTTTGTTGTAGAATGCTGCATATTCAGGGTCAATCCGATCAAGGACTGATTCGTGCAGAGGATAAGGTGGTTGGTTGCTCATGTTGCAAAATTGTGCCGTAACGTACAGAAGAATTTGTGGTTGAATCGATGATCTGAAGATACGCTGATGGCTGCTGTGAGTGACGATGGTGTCTTAAAACTTCGGAGGTTTATTTCGCGCCGGCCCTTTTGAGCGGGTTTCCGAAATCGGGCATCCGGTGGAACCTCCACAGTCTTTAGTTACAATTTGCACTGGGTTGAGATCGTCGCTCTACGTTACATGAAGGGAGCACCAACCTCTTGTGAGATGGTAACCTACGCTTATGCTGGCCTCGGGGAGCAAGAAAACACCGGACCTTGATATAGGGTGTCAAAATAAACTTAGTAAAGGGCACCCTAAACTTAGGCTATACCTAAATATTTTTATTACTTAACTTATGGTCAGGGGCCTGTGTTTTCTTTCCTCCCCTAGGCTGGTGACACTGTGTTTCGAGTCAGCTGCAATGACGATTGCAGGGTATTGCTATCTTGATAGGTGCTTTGAGTATGTAACCACCGAATCTAAGCCCTTGCAGCCTGTATCTTGTCTCCCCCGCATGTCCAGTCTTATGCCAGGTTGAGATAAGAAGTGAGATACGAGGTATAACAACGGTCTTGAAGCTGCCTTTTGCTTTTGATCATCTCAAGTCTTTTCAACAATAATTCACACAAGGGGCAGCCATTTTGGGTCGCTGATTCACAAACAATTAATCGCCATGGACGCCAAAGATCATAAAGACGATGGCATCATCGACGACACCTACGCCGAAGGCACTGGAGAGGAGACAGTTCTTGAAGTCGACCATATTGCCGAACGTCAACTGTGTCGCAAGTTTGACGTCCGCTTGATGCCCGTTCTAGCCATCATGTGTAAGCCTTTACCTTTACTATTCACCAACTCATCTGACCGATCATCTACAGACCTCTTCAACGCCTTAGACAAAGGCAACCTAGGCAACGCCCAAACCGTCGGTCTCAGCGACGGTCCGTCCCCAGACTCTCTATCATATCCCCAAACTAACAACGACAGATCTCAACTTCAAGCCAAACCAATACAACCTCCTCGTATCAATCTTCTTCGTGCCCTACGTCATCTTCGCTCCTCCCACCGCCATAATCGGCAAGAAATACGGTCCTGCGCGTGTCCTACCAATTCTCATGTTTACTTTTGGATCCATGACTTTGCTTGCTGCTTGCACGCAGAACTTTGGTGGCATGTTTGCGCTGCGGTTCTTTCTTGGCATGGCGGAGTCGGGGTTCTTTCCGTTGGTGATTTATTATTTGACTACGTTTTATCGGAGAGGTGAACTTGCGCGTCGTTTGGCGGTATTCTATGCTGCGTCTAACATCGCGAATGCTTTTGTACGTTCCCTCGCCTCTGAATGAGAGGTCTTTGGCTGACGACAACAGAGCGGTCTTTTATCATTTGGCGTCTTCCAGATCGACTCCAAAATCTTCGTCTGGCGATATCTCTTCATCATTGAAGGCTCAGCCTCCGTGCTCTTCTCAATCTTTGCATTCTGGTACCTCCCTCGCAGCGCAGCGCAAGCCAAGTTTCTCTGCGAAGAAGAAAAAGCACTGGCTTTTCATCGCATGCAAGTTGATTCTTCGTCTGTTGTACAGGAAAAGTTCAATTTCAAGGATTCGATTAAGATCTTTACGTATCCGACGACGTATTGCTTTTTGTTGATTGAGATTTGTCTTGGTGTGCCGATTCAATCGGTTGCGCTGTTTATGCCTCAGATTATCCAGCGATTGGGATATGGACCTGTCAAGACGAATCTTTACACTGGTAAGTAATTAATGTATTGAGTCGACAGGATTGTGCTGATGAGATACTTTAGTCGCACCGAATGTTGGTGGTGCTGTGATGCTTCTCATCTTGGCCTTCAGCTCCGACTTTCTACGCATTCGCTTCCCTTTCATCATGCTCGGTTTCGCCCTCACATTCATCGGCTTCATCATCTACGCCGCCATCTCAGACGTGCAAGCTCAATTACAATTAGCATACTATGCATGCTTCATGATGGTCTGGGGTACATCAGCCCCCTCCGTGCTCTTATCAACATGGTAGTAAGTTGTAACCTCTACAATCATTTTTTTCTTCCGCCCTAATACGTATCTCTCCAGTAATAACAATATTGCGAATGAGGGCCGTCGCGTAGTCCTCACCTCAGTTGGCGTCCCTCTCGCCAATCTCATGGGTCTCGTATCGAGCAACATCTTCCGCGAGAACGAAAAGCCCAAGTACCCCACAGCTCTTATCACGACTGCTTGTTTCGGCGCATGTGGATGCCTCATTGCGGGTCTTCTTGGTGGATATATGGTATTTGATAACATGCGAAGGAATCGTAAAGCGGGGAGGAAGACGACAGCTGCTGATGTCCCGACGAAGCGTCTGCGCGACGGGCCAGCCGTGCCCGAGTTTCGTTGGTTCCTGTGAGGAGTCTAGGAGAGCAAAGAAAGCTTGGGGCCTCGATTATCAGTGATAAAAAGACTTAGGTAACTTAGGATAAGTTTCGGATAATTTTTGCTGAGTTTATTTTGATACCCTATTAGCCTGTCCTCAGGGAGCAAGAAAACACCGGACCTTAATCTAGTAAAATAAACTTATTAAATCCCCTAAACTTAGGCTAAATTTACCTAAATATTTTTATTGCTTAGGGTTAAGGTTTTGTGTTTTCTCTCCTCCCCTAGCCTGTATCGACGCCTGATGCTTTCTTGCTCGTCGAGGGAGGGTTAGCGGAATTAGGCTGCAAAGAGGCAAGATCAGCACCCCGCAGCGGCTTTGCGAGAAGCGGGGGAAAATAACGCACTGTGTTGTATCTGTATTGTTACTACGTTACCTCCAACTGACGATCCTGGCCTTGGAGATAACGATAAAGTAAGGAGGCCAGAATTGAAGCCGAGAAATATCCCAAGTGTTACGCCAGTTACCCATATTCTTTGTCCGTCTGTATGTACCATTTCGATCAACTTCACCCCCATCATGTATTCTCCCAAAGTAGGCGACAGCCTCGACTCGCTCGACACGCCCTCCATGATCGTCGACCTCGATGTCATGGAGGCCAACATCAAGAAACTCATGGACCGACTACTTCCAACTGGACGCAACATTCGGCCCCATCTCAAGACGAGCAAGAGTGCCATTGTGGCTAAGAAGCTCGTCGCTGCTGGGGCAAAGGGCGGGTGTGTCGCGAAGCTGAGTGAGGCTGAAGCAATCGCTGCTGCTGGCTTCACGGACCTTCTCATCACTTGTGAGATTGTTGGACCAGCCAAGGTCAAGAGACTGGTCGAGTTGTTCAGAAAGCATCGGGAGATTAGAATTGTGGTGGACGACCAAAGAGCTGCGACAGCCATCAACGACGCACTGGAAAAGTCGGGTATTGAGGATCCCATTTCTGTCTTGATAGACTTGGATGTCGGCCTGCACCGCACAGGGACTCAACCCGAAGGAGCTATTCCTCTAGCGAAACATATCAGCACTCTTAAACACATGCGACTCATTGGAATTCAAGGCTATGAAGGTCATCTTCAACATCTTCCTGACTTTGAGGACCGAAAGAAGCAGTGCCTCGAGTCAATGAAAATTCTCACTGATACTGCCCAAGCACTCAAAAACGAGGGCTTCAACATCGAAGTCGTGACAACAGGTGGAACAGGCACAGCGGACTTTTGCGCAACGGTACCCGGCGTGACAGAACTGCAGCCTGGTTCATTCATCTTCATGGACACCGACTACCGCAACGCCATTGGAACATACTACTCTCACAGTCTATCCTTTCTCGCAACTGTAGTGAGCAAGCAAGGAGAACGACAGGTCACAATCGACACTGGCCTCAAGTCTCTGACGACGGATAGTGGTCTGGCTGAGTGCAAGGATCAAAGATACAGTTACTTCCAATTGGGCGATGAGCATGGAGCTTTGACGTGGGAGGATGATACACCGGCGCTTGATGTCGGCGATAGAGTTGAGATGATTCCAAGTCATATTGACCCAACTGTCAATCTTCATGACTTTTACTATGCTTATCGGAATGCGGTTATTGAGGAGATATGGCCGGTTGACTCGAGAGGAAAGGTCCAATAAGACAATTAGCTAGGCAAGACAAATAAATGTAATGTTGCAGAATTGGCTCTCTGGGTTTTATGAAAAAATTAACCAGTGATAAAAACCCAGGCATCTGTAGGAGAATCGACTTCTTGTGATTACCCGAAGTTCACCTGATTCGCTTTTTAACCGCCCGACAAGGGTCTGATTCAGTTAGTCAAACGATGTTGGTTGAAACCCGACCTGCATCTCACCCAATAATCATCCCTGTCCAACAACGCCTCGTTGGTCCCAGGATCAGGTGTCATTTTATTTTTCGTCGCAAGGGGCATCCATCGCCAAATTCCTTTCTCCCTTTGTCATCCCCACTCGAGTCGATCACGTACTTGCGCGTCACCGTCAGCAGCCATGACAACACAAGTTCCAGCTCTCACAACAACCTTCACACCCGCCAAGTCATGCTTTCAGTACTACAAGTATAGATACACAGGCGATGAACTCACATGTCTAGTAGGCGGCACCGGTGCGCCCAGCGCGTGTACCTACATGCAGCTGGGTCCCTCGGGGAGCGACGCCAACTGCTTCCCTAGCAGCTTGGAGCTCGGTTCGACGTTTTATTACTCCCCTGGTGTATGTCCCAGCGGATATGAAGTGGCATGTAGTTCGACTGTCGGCGGCGAAACGAGAGCGACGTGTTGTCCAAGGTAGGAAGGCCAATGGCTGTTGAAAGGGCGTGCTGACGGTGATGCAGTTCGTTTAGTTGTCAAAAAGAGACGGGTTGGCCTTGGTACAGCACTGATCTTTGCACCATCGCGATTCCACGCACAGTCGAGGTGATAGTTTCCGAGTCAGTTGTTGGAGGAGATTGGAAGAGGACTACTGTTAGCGGCGCTGCGGCTAATGCTATTGGTATTCCTATCCGATGGCATTCTTCGGACTTTGCGACCACCACCACTGGAGCAAGGACTTCTGCGACGGGTACTGCAACTGAAACAATTGCTTCTTCGACCGAGACGTCTTCGAGTGATTCCTCATCGGATACTGGGGGATTGAGCACCGGAGCCAAGGCAGGCATTGGTGCTGGCGTTGGAGTTGCAGCTCTTGTTGGATTTGCTGCATTGGGTTGGTTTGTGCTCCGGGCGAGGAGGGCTAAGCAGGCAAATATTGCTGCTGCAGCTAGGGAAGAAGAGGCGAAGGAACCTCAGATGCAGCCGCAACTGCACCCATGGGAGCTTGATAGTCACGAGGCTATGATCCCGGCGGAGCTACCATCGGATAGCGTAAGCCATGCTCGGTATAAGTGAAGCAGGGTAATATTAGATAATTCAAGCGTTGAAATTCTTTATTATTATGCCAACAGCACATCCTGCATTATTCAATCTGGAGCAAACCTCCTCACTCGCCGGCCGGCTTAACTAGTATACGCGACCGCCGAAGAACAGAACGTTGATCAGGGCTTGACTTATTGTATGCGCAAGATAACATAGCGGTCTCTGTTGATTGTGATATTGCGGAGACACCGTCCAATTTTTCCAAGTCATATCATTTGACCTGGCTGGGGCTGTGAAGCGCTCGCTTATGAGTTATCCGAAATTCCGGGCGCTTGCGTAGCAAAGGTGATTGGATAGTCTATAGTATGTTCACTTTGAGTTCTGTTGATTGGCACCTCAGAGATTTGAATTATCATACTGGTTCGAGTACTAAGCGCCTGCACATTGTTGAGCTTCAATTACATAATATATTGCAAATATGCTTTGGCGGCAGTTGAAGCGAGCAAACAAAGGTGCTACTCACATGATCGACCCCATCCTCTCATTCTGGCAGCGTCACTAGCCAATTACGGCACTTATGGAAATATTAAAAATTAAAAAAAAAAAATATATATATATATAATACTAATGTAAGGGCTGTAATCTCGTGTTAAGAGGATTAATTAATCATCCATTAGACAAAAGCCTTATGAAAGTCATCGGTGCTAAAATCAACCTCATCATCAGTCGGCGGTCCATAGCCGCCTCCTCCCGGCGTATTGATTCGGATATACTCTCCAGGCTCAAGATGTATAACCGCCTTACCACCTAGATTGATTGCTTCCATCTCATGCTGCTCATTGAACTTGAAAGCAAGGTTCTCGCCCCTTTGGCCCCCATGGCCCCCAGCCATTCCGTAGGGTCTGTACACACGTCGATCACTCAGGATACTGAACTTGAGACTCGTGCGCGCTTCGATCTCACGAACGATGCCATCACCACCACGCCACCGCCCTATACCGCCGCTGCCCTCTCGGATGCCATATCTACGTACCAGGACGGCAGTGCGCTTTTCTATCACCTCACTGTCGGTTTGACGGGTGTTGGTAGAATGGACCTAAAAATGGTGAGTGAGTGAATGAACGCCGATGGGATAAAGCACAACTTACGTGCACGCCGCTCGCGCCGTCGTAGCCTTCACCAGCACCGACGCCTCCACCAATCGACTCTCCATAATTCCATCCTGGTTCAATCTTGCCCGTCACTGGATTCTTGCCCCCCATGCCCCAACCCAAAGCATTTGCACAGCCCTGACTTGCGCCAAAGCGACCGAAAGCACGCAGCACTAGGTCGATTACTCGTTGACTTGCTAGTGTTGAGCCACAAATGGCCACAGTCGGAGTGGGACTGAGGATAGAGCCCACGGGCACACGAATGTCGCATGGCGCTAAGCAGCCCTCATTGAGGGGGATTTCAAGATTGACCAAGCATCTGATACTGTAGATAATCGCCGAGTGGGTGATGGAAATCGGACAGTTATAATTCCCCCACATCTGGGGACCTGAGCCAGCAAAGTCATATACAGCACTGCCTGTTTCTTTGTCAATATTGATCCTGACTTTCATGACAGTACCGTCGTCCAGGTAATCTGTCGCTGATAGAGGACCCGGATGCTCATGAGCCAGTTTCTTAAAGAAGTCTCGTACTGCAAGCTCTGCATTATCTTGGATACCCGTCATGTACTCGTGCACCACTTCTAACGAGTATTCGTTGCACAGCTTCTGAAGAAGAGTTATACCGCGCTGATTAGCTGATGTCTGTGCTTTGAGATCTGAAATGTTGTCTTGAATACGGCGTGTAGCACTACAGCCGGGATAAGTACCGACTTTCTCGAACGCGGCCCTGACTTCACCTTCAAGGAACTCGCCACTGCTGACGATCTTCATGGATGGTACTATTATACCTTCCTCCCATAGAGACCGTGATTCGGGCATCATGCTCGTAATACCCATACCGCCGATATCGGTATGGTGACCACGAGATGCAACATAGAATGCTATCTCTTCTCCCACGAAAACAGGTGTCACTACTGTCAAGTCTGGTAAGTGGGTTCCGCCCCAGGAAGGATGGTTCGTTAAAAGAACATCGCCAGGTTTAAGCTTTCCGCTCCAGTGGCGGTGCTGGGCTTGGACAGCAAATTGCATGCTTCCGAGATGGATTGGGATATGGGGAGCGTTGGCGACAAGTTTACCCTCGGGGGAAAAGATGGCGCAGGAGAAGTCGAGCCGTTCTTTGATGCTGCTTGAGATAGAGGTTCGTTGGAGGGTGTTGCCCATTTGCTCGGCGATGGCCATAAAGCGATGGGCGAACACGGATAGTTGAATGGGACTTAGGCTGTCATTCGGTGTAGATAAGATGCGTGAAGCAGGATATTTGAGTGATCCTTCTACAGGAGCTACTTTTTCCAGCACAACATAGTTGACTAGGATATGTGCCTGGAAGAGAGGTTCGACAAGTATTGTCTGTGTCTCGTCGATTATAATCGCTGGGCCGTTGATGAGACTACCTTCAGGAACACCACCCAGCTTGAAGACACTCGTCTCCTGCCATGAGCCATCAATATATACTCTTTGCCTCACAGCACTGTCAGAGAGCAGCTTTCGTCTACTTGAAGCCATCTCTTTGTACGCTGACGTCTCATGACTCGGTGAACCAGTAGTTCCTGAGCCGCGAACCTTGACAGATTCGATAATAATCGGCCTATTCATTGAAAAGGCAAATTCGCGTAGATGAAGAGCTGTAAAGGCAGTAGCATAGTCGCCATCAGCGGGTTTGGAGATGGAAAGATTTGTATCAGTACCAAAATACTTCAACACAAGTACCTCGTCGAAGACCAAGCTTTCCTCTGAAGCATTTTGGGACACCAACTCCTTCGCCACCTTGCCTTTGAGCTTAAACAAGAGGCTTTCAACACTGTTCATGGCTTTTGTATCGAGCTCGGATGCGAATGGCTCGAACATCTCACACTGAAGCTCCGCATGCGCGATACCATGAGCTGAGAGTAGTGATGAAAGTTTGTGTATGATGACGCGTTTGATACCAAGCTTATCGGCAATAGCACATGCATGCTGGCCACCTGCACCACCAAAGCTCACGAGATCGTGACTCTCAGGAGCGTAGCCTCTAGCCTCGGTCGCATTGCGGATAGGTCGACTCATTGTCTCATTGGCGATATTCAAGAACCCTGAAGCGACCTCCTCGCATGTAAGATTCTGAGACGTCTGTCGATTGAAGTCTTGAGTAATTTCCTCAAACTTGTGAGCCACGATCTCTGTGTCTATCTCTTGATCTCCAGACTCTCCAAAGATGGCGGGGAACGATGAAAGTACAAGCCGTCCGAGGAACAGATTGGCATCGGTAACGGTCAGTGGACCTCCCTTCCTGTAGCATGAAGGCCCCGGGTGCGCTCCAGCAGACTCTGGGCCAACGGATAAGAGTCCATTGCGGGCAAACAAGATTGATCCACCCCCCGCAGCTACAGTTGCAATATTGAGCATGGATAGGTTGATAGTCCGCCCAGCGATGGATGTCTGTTGGAGAAAGTCGTATTTACCGTCATATCTCGACACATCAGTGCTTGTACCACCCATATCGAATCCAATAAGAGGTGTCCCCTCATCAGCGTCGAAACATTTCGCAGCACCTACAACACCGCCAGCTGGTCCGCTCAACAGTGCTTCGTTTCCTCGAAACTTATTGGACTGCTTGAGCCCACCGTCAGAACACATAAACTCGACCCTCTGAGGAGGGATCTGGAAGCCTGCATGGAAATTGTCGATGTATCGTCTGATTATAGGGTATAAGTAAGCTTCTGAACAAGTAGAGTTGCTCCTTCTGAGGAAGTTGATCGCTCGGCTGGTCTCAGACGAGATGGCGACGAATTGGAAACCAATTTCGTTTGCTATCTGGGCCACCATATTCTCGTGGTCTGGATAGATATAAGCATGCATGAAGCAGACTGCGAGCGACGTGTAGCCTTGTTCCAGTAGGGTCTCGAGCTGTTGCCGTACGATTTGCTCATCGGGCTTCTTGAGAATCCGGATAACCTCGCCGCTTGTAGTTTTAACCAGGTCCGTATCGTTCTCAATGTTGACTCTTTCTTGCTTGTGAGGGTTTAGATCATAGTCTTCTATGGTGACCCTCTCATCAATCTCGATAACACTGGAGTGGAGGGCGGTTGCTTTGCGTATCTCAAGGTTGAATAACTCAGGACGAGACTGGTCTCCAATAACGCAAACGTCCTTGAACCCTTTGGTAGTTGCAAAAGCAAACCTCTCGCCATTGCCCGTGAGGAGAGCATTTGTCGCAACGGTGGTGCCGATACGGCATGATGCTGCGATATTTATCAGCTACGAAAGAAATAATCTGGCAACTAAATTCACGTACCAATTCTTGAAGCATCGAGCTTATCACCGACAGGAATGGCTTTTCCTTGATACTTCTCTAAAACTCTTCGAATTGCCTCAGCTGGCGCATCTGGATAGTTGGATGGGTCCTCTGATAAGAGCTTGAAGATGAAAGGATCGCTTCCATCAGCGCCTGTAGCGATCACATCGCAAAAGGTGCCGCCCCTATCGATTGCAACGTGAATATCATCCATGATGTCCAATACCTTTTTTCCGACTTGCTACATACCTGAGCAAATAATGCCATCTGATGCTGGTTTTGAATCATTGGCCTTGGACACTCCCACTTTTTACGCGATGGCGCAATTGGGTGGGATCTACAGCGACGATCGGTATGGCCCCGACATATTCTTCTTGATCGGGGAAGTTTTCTGGTATCGCCTCGACTCCGAACTGGCCTTCGCCGATCAGTTTGGCCTGTCCCTTGTCACGCTGATAGCTACTACTGTTTCATGCCAAAACCGGCAAAGTCTATGGTACCCAGCACGCGGCAAAAGTCTGGGCATCGCCGAGGCACGCCTATTCGGAAAGGAGACGTTTATTCATCACTCCATCTCTAAGCAATATCTAGGTAACCCAAAATAATCGATAATCAGAGCTCAGTTCATTGGGGTAGACTTATAACTCTAAAAACTGCCTGATCTTGGAAATCACAAGGTCTGTTTTCTCCACGTGCACGCTATGGTTTGCTCCAGGAACCACGAGCAATTCCGCATTATCAATCCGATCAGCAATTAACCTCGAGTTTTCTGGGCTTGTTAACATATATGTATCCAGTAGGCCAACGGGAAGACTAACCTGGTGGACAAATCCAGTCTTGTTCGCCAACAATTACCAACGCCTTGGCCGTAATTGTACCCAATTGGTCGATGTAATCAAAGTACTTTTCTTTCTCAGAATAAAGATCGTCTTCCCACAGTCAGTACTATCCTATACTATAGCACACTTCTGGGCATATGACTTACTGTGTGACTCTGCGACATAAACCGTATCACGGCAAGACCTCAAGCCAGCATTGGCAAGATAATCTTCTCGATACAGAGGCATCATAGCGAAATGAACCAGCCTGAAATCTTCGTCGTCATCATAAGTGCCAAAGACCTTGTCTCGCAGCATTTCCTTTGAGAAGCTAGGTACTTTACTGATTCTTGTTTCGAGGGTCTTTACGGCGCCCTCTTCATCTAGGCCGTTGTCAGGAGAGGTGATCGAACTGAACAGTTATGAGACCTACGGTGATGCGAGGCTGCAGTCCCTCGTAGAATCAAGTGTGAAACTTTGTAGGGATACGTGATGGCATACTCCTGCGCCAGAAAGCCCCCGAAGCTTCCACCGCAGATAATGACCTTCTCATCGGGTCCTGAGAAATGTTGGCGCACACCTTCAATATCATCGACGATCTGTCTGAAAGTGTAAGGTTTGGTGCGGGAACTTTGGCCATGGCCCCGAAAGTCAAAGGAAAGCACCCGGATCTTATCATTAAGATGGCTGTATACTTTGTAGTCGGACCTATGATCACCTGCTATTATTAGGCGTCTACTCCCAGTCCAAACTAGCAAAACATACCCATTCCTCTTCCGCCGTGAAGAGTAATCATTAGCGGCGCATCTTTGGGTCCGCTCAGCTCGTAAGCGAGCTGTGCTCCATTGACGGAGATATATTCAACCATTTTACCTGCTTTAGAGAAATATTCAAGTTCTCCAACGACAGCAGAAATGCCCCCCGCTCAATGTCAGGATGATATAAGCGATCCAAGGCTACTGAGGATGGTCCGAGCTTGAGCAACTGGTCCGGTTTAGCGATCGGCACTGGGCGGGAATCCCCCGACAGGAAACCAAGTTGTTGCCTCTTTGAGTAATATTGTGCCAAGGTTCGCCGAAGCACGCAATTAATACTCCATAGCGAATGGTATAGTACATCCAACTTGACGTTACATAGATAAAGTACTGAAATACCAATCAATGCTCCCATCAAGGTGGCACTCAAACCACCTAATTCTACGTCCTTTTCCAGTATTCACAACCGCTTCACCGTCGAACGTCACAATGGCCAGTCATACAGTGAGCGATAATACCATCAGTGCAGCGCCCTTGGCTGCTACTGTTGATGCCAAGAATCGTACTTCTATCACTTCTAGCCCCGCAGCTGCAAGTTTGAAAAACGACGCTATTGCTACAGTGGCCAGCAATAGAAGATGGTTTAGCTGGCATGAGCCTGGGACGTCTCCCGAGGAAAAGAAGCTTATTTTCAAGCTTGATTGGTTTATGTTGAGTTTCGCATGTCTCATGTTTTTCATCAAGCAGGTAGGTACTATGATGTTCCCAAAACTTACACCATGCTAATTTGCGCAGCTCGATCAAAATAATATTTCCAATGCTTATGTATCAGGAATGGCGGATGAACTCGGCTTCGGTCCTGGGAACGAACTCTCTTGGATGAACACGTACTTCTCCGTCGGCACTATCTTGGGTGGTCTTGTTTCCAACTTGATCATCACCGTAGTGCGTCCTCGAATCTGGCTCCCAAGCTGCCTTTTAACATGGTCTGTCTTCGTGCTGGCTCTGTTCAAATGTAACCACGCCTATCAATTCTATGTTCTTCGGTTTTTCATTGGTGTATTTGAGTCGGCTGCTTGGCCTGGTGTTATGTACTGCTTGGGTTCCTGGTATCGCAAGAGTGAGCTAGCGCGTCGAAGTGGTCTTTTTGTTATGAGCGGCGTTCTCGGCCAGATGTTCTCTGGATATCTACAAGCTGCTTTATTTACTGGCATGCATGGCAAAGGAGGTATGTCCGCTTGGCGATGGTTGTTCATCTTCGATTTTATCCTCGCCATCCCAGTTGCGGCCTATGGATTTGTGAGTACCTTTTGTTCACAAAGTCACATTTCTTTACTGACGGTGGTCAAGGTCACCTTCCCTGATACTCCACATACTACTAGAGCTTTCTACTTTGATGAATGGGAAAGAGAAAGGTCCCGTCAGCGTATCGAAGAGGAGGGCCGTAAGCCCGTGGGAAAGATGGACTGGAGTGTTATACGACGAATATTTGGCTCTTGGCAAGTGTATTCGTTTACGGCAGCATACTCTTTCTGGACTTTAACATGTGGAAGGTAAGATGATACTTAACCTTTCGGCAAATCCTGTCTCTAACGGGGGGCAGTTACGTGATGCAGTACTTTAGCATCTACTTGAAAAAGACTGGTTTGTATACGGTACCTGAGATCAACAACATCCCAACTTGTATCGGTGCTGTCAACTTTGTGGTCATGGTATCGACAGGCTACATCGCCGACAAGCTCGGTGGGCGTGCTTTAGTCTGTGGTGTTGTAGGATGCTGGATGATTCTCAACTACTCCATCCTCACCGCCTGGGACGTTCCTCACAAGCTGCGAATGGCGGCGTTCATCATGCACGGCTGCTATGGGTGCTTCACACCTCTGATCGCAGGCTGGGCCAACGAGGCGTGTGGTGGCGACCAGCAGAAGCGTGCGTTTGTACTGAGCTTCATGGTCTCGGTTGGTTCTGCCGTGGTTATTCCTTTCCAGCAGATCCAGATGGCTTCTGGTGAAGCTCCTGAGTTTTCAAAGACGCATGGATGGGGAAGCGCACTGGCTTGGGTTGTGGCGCTGACATTGTGGACTGGCATTGGTTTACCATTGGTACAGAGATGGAGGCAGAAGGAGGTTGTAGTGAGTAATGGAGAGGATGAGGCAATTGAGGTCTAGGAAAGCTATATTTCTTTCAATATTAATGTATTGATTATTTTTCCTATCACATAAAGACATAAATAAGATAACTCGAAGTACGGTTCATGCCTCAACGCATAATACCATCAGCATTAAGCTCCCAGCCACAAGTTTCAACTGTCATTAACACATCTAGTGCTTACGCTGACTAAAGCGCCTGGACTGACGGACAAACTCTAATGCCGAGCGGACATTGTATGATCCCTTTTGGAAATTCAGCAGTGCCACCAATTAGGTACCAATAAGAAATAGCCAATCGGGCTGTGTGAATTCAGTTTCATGGAGTAATCACGGACTTTTATGGCGGACCAACTTGAAATTGCGGGCTGTAAGTAACAGCCACGGACTTTGACAACGGACGGGCATATGAGATTGTTTGTAATATTGTATCATTCCAACAATGATTTGGTTGAGCGATATATGAACACAGATATAAAGCGACGTCTGAAGACAAGAATCGAACTACAATCCATACCTTAACTCATAACACCATCAGCATCAAAAGCAATCTACCAAAGCCATGTCCCAGACCATTGTCGTTATAGGGGTTACCGGAGCTCAGGTATGAAGCTGGCTGAATTAAGCGAGAACTTTCTAACATGCATAGGGAGGATCCGTGTCTCGAACATTCCTCCAGCTCCCCTCGTGGAACGTCCGCGGCATCACACGGAACCCTGGAGGAGAGTCTGCAAAGCGTCTCAAGTCCGAGGGTGTTGACATCGTCCAAGGCGATCTGGATGACAAGGAATCCTTGATTCGGGCATTCCGAAGTGCTCACGTTATCTTTTCCAACACTGACTTTTTCGCCCATCTGCAGCAAGCAATGGCCCAACCGGATAGAACCAAGAGCCGCACAACACTCGAGTATGCCTACGAACGAGAAGTTGGCCAAGGCATTAGAATTGCAGAAGCAGCAGCAGACCCTTCAGTCATCAAGACTCTGGAGCGCTTCGTCATGTCAACACTTAGCCATGCCACCAAATGGAGTGGCGGAAAGTACAAATCGGTCTATCATTTCGATAGCAAAGCCGCAATGATCAAGGCTACAGAGGAACGTTTCCCTGGAGTAGCAGCCAGAATGAGCACCGTGACCATCGGGCATTACGTCACAGTTTGGAAGCTTTTTGACAGACTAGCCCCCAAGCTCCAGCCGGATGGTAGTTACCTCGTGTCCAGAAACACACCGCCGGACTTCAAGATGCCATTCATAGTCACAGAGCGAGATACAGGCGGTTTTGTGAAGGCATTGGTTGACCTGCCACCTAACAAACATATTATGGGCGTCTCGGAGGAGATGACCTTGCCTGAATGGATAGAGATATGGGGTCGTGTTAATGGCGTGAGAGCGGCGTACAAGGAGATTTCACGAGACGAATTGTTTGAAGGCGTTCCGGAGGACTTTGCCAAGGAGATTGGGGACGGTTTCGATTACTTCCATGAGTTTGGTTTGACTGGTGGAGATCTAGCAATTTTGCATGCAGACCAGCTTGGGGTTAAAGTTCCGGTTACCTCGATGGAGGAGTACATCAGAAGTGAAGACTGGTCTACAGTTATCCAGTAATCTTATATACATCTAGTTTCTTGTTCGCAATTCAAAACGTTTAGAATCGTTGAGCCTCCCAGTCATACTCCCATACCTTGATACCATCTACAACCAGGTCATAATGGACATGTAGCCTATCTGCTTGTGTGGTGTCAAACGTGACCTTTCCGAATTTTGAAGAGCCCCATGGATGGGAGTAGATTGACATATCGGTCTGCTCAATCTCCTTATGAAACCTATCGAACGGCTCGTAGAACTGATTTAACGGCGAAGTGGAGAACTCGATAACCGGCTTGTCACCCTTGGTCTTTGCAGGGAACATCGTGGTAGCATGTTCATGGCGGTCCTAGCATGTGTTAGCTTCACCTTTTAGTACGTGATACAGGAAACTCACGCCGCTGAGAATAACAGCACCGCCGTTCTGCTTCATCGTATCCAGGATCGAATCCCTCTCCCAGAGAAATCCTGACCAACTATCTGCTGAATCTGGGCCCCTCCAATTCCTCGTAAAAGGCACGCTGCTGACTACAACTTTCCAATCAGTTTCTGATGTAAGCCACTCTTTCAAAGCAGTAAGCTGGACTGCACCAAGCATTGTTTTCTCTGGCCCATCAACCATCGCATTATCTGATCGATATCGCCTTGTATCTAATACAAAGAATGCTACACCCTGATATCGAAAGGCATAGTATGTTTTGTCAGCACCATACTCTGATGGCGGGTTCGCGTTTCCATGGTAATTCCAGAACGGTCGCATGGCTGTCTTGTAGAGTCCCGTGTCATTCCCTGCCCAGTCATTTATGATCTCATGATCATCATAGACATGTATCCAAGGGGTTGCGCGAAGTTGAGGCGACCACGAAGGGGACGCATATACCTGGCGATATGCCGCCGAGTATGTGTCAGCATCCCAGCCCAGTGGGATTGGGAGATCGATGTAGATAAAGTCGCCGAGAAACAGTACCATATCCACTGAACCCTCAGAAAGGTACTTGCTTAAATGTTCAAGTCCTTTGATTCGAAAACCATGGTCCAAAGGGTTGTATGGGTAGAATGGCTTGATGCAGCTTGAAGAAACAAGGCTCCAACGCTTCAAGTCGCTGCCAGGTTGAGACAAGGTACGAAACGACCCAGCGTGGCTTGCATTGCTTGCGTATGTGTAAGGAGTGTCTGGCTCTAGACCTTCTATCAAGACTGTCGCAACATAATCAGAATGTGCACTTAACAAGACGGATTGGAGTATTTCTGTCTCTGCATGCCCGTCAGAGTTTGGAGTGACTGTGATCTGAACATAGTCAGAGATAGGAGCCCTCAACACAATTCGAGCCGTCGAGTCATCAACATAACCCATCCGAGAGAAGGACAGATCGGTACTTTGATGCAAAAGATGGCCTCTGAAAAGAAAGTCAAGAACAGCAACGAGACATGCCAAGTTGATGAGGAAGCCGCTTGCGGTGGAGAAGGGCCTACTGCTATCGACAATAGCCAATACTGGGGCAGAGACGAGACGTCTTTTGACCCGAAGCTTGCTGTATTTGAGTAGTGCTAGCTCTGCGCTGAAGGCAAGCAGAAATATGATAAAGCTCCCATAAATACGGTCTAGATATCGTTTTCCTATGGGGTGCTGATTTATGTCAGCAAGTTATCATGGGTCATCGCCGCGAATGAACTCACAAATCGGACAAACAGTATAGAAGTATAGCGTAAAGTAATTGACGCAGCTGCGATTACGGCGTCAAGTACATCTACTGCTAACGGCGTGTTATTCATGATTGTAATTTCCGACCGTCTTAGTTCTGGCTTTCTCCTCTCTCCAACGGGGAAGGGTTTGGTTAAACATGAATGGCTTATCACAGTGAAAGCATAGGGATCCATCCGTTATTTTCTCGCTATCCACCCAGACATCCAGGATCCTGATTCAGAACAAGGATATTATCTAATACAAAAGTGGACCCCGAAATCTCTGGTTACATTAAAGATGAATTTGATCCGACCAAAACTATTGTCTTACCTTTTCGATAAGCTTACCTAGCCCACGTGCGATCAACGATCCACTTTACACGGAACCCAACTGCCGGGCCAAGATGTCTACACGGCGGCACTAACGGCTTGAGGCTCCATTATCGCCGGCACGTAAAACCCGGTTGTTTGGGTTGGCCGAAGCCACGTGCTTGGTGACTGTGTCCAAGTCGCTAATATATGGTATTCTTGCTTGTGATGTCGGAGAACTTTGGGTATGATTTTATCCATCATGGGTCCTTTGCTAGGCAGTGGGGACTTTGATACTGCCGACGGACTGCTTAGACTTCTAGAAACTACGTTGCATTGAAGGATTGAGAGTTTATATAAGACGTGGATCCTGCCTTTTTGTTACATTCCGTAGTCTATCAACACAATCAACATTTCCCTTTGCTGCTGTAAGATTTCATGTACAGCAATGTCAGACAACAACAAGCACGAGATGTCGGCAGACAAGACCCTCGCTGTGTCATCAGATGCAAGCGTCTCCGCCGAGACAGACAGCAATGAGCCTGCCCAGCGTACGCCCGGTCAACTCGACGTATTGGTTCAGGGAGTTGCTCTCTTCTCCGATGGCTACAACATCCAGATTATTGGATACATGAATACCGTTCTAGCCAAGTTGTACGTCATGATACCTTCACTCACCTGATATCTCGAGGTGTTGATCATGAGTAGATACCCAAAGCAGATGACAGCCGAAGTCAAGACCCGGTTGTCCAACTCTATCCTCATTGGTGACATCTTCGGCATGCTCCTCTTTGGCCTCTGCATTGATAAATTTGGTCGACGTGTTGGAATCTACCTGACAACTCTATTCTTGGTTCTGGTATGTATCTTTGTCTCCATAAAGAAACACGTCTGACAGCCGACCAGGGTATCATCATCGCCACTGCAGCAAACGGCGTTACTGTGGAGGGTATGTTTTGGATGATGGTCATTGGGCGTGGTGTTGCTGGTGTTGGAGCAGGTATGTCTCTCGCAGCAACACAAATGACCATGACTTGTTAACCATTTAGGTGGTGAGTATACCGTGTGCACGTCCCAAGCAGTCGAGTGCGCCGATAGTACTGAAGCTATGCGAAAGCGACGTGGCATGCTTGTTGCCGTCGCGACAAACGCCGCCATAATTTCCGGTTTCGTAGCCTCAAGTACAGTATCCCTCATCGTTATTGCGGCATACAAAGGTGTTCCTCACGATGGTATCTGGCGAATCTGTTTCGGTATTGGCATTATTGTAAGTCTTCTTCTCCTGCATCATCTGATACTTCTGGGCTCACTTATTTAAGCTTCCACTTGGCATCTTCTTCTTCCGCCTTCGCTTGGCGGACTCCACACAATACCAGAGGCATGCCATTCAACGCAAGATACCTTACAAGCTTGCCATTAAGCACTATTGGAAGCCTCTTCTTGGATGCTGCTCTGCCTGGTTCCTCTACGATGCCGTAGTCTACCCTTTCAATCTTCTGGCACCAACTCTAGTCGCCGGCTTCTCGAACAGCCAGACTATGCAAGAGTCCATTGGTTGGTCAGCGCTTATCAACTTCTTCGCGCTTCCCGGTGCTTTCATTGGAGCTTTGCTCATGGACCGCATTGGCCGGCGACAAACGTATGCCTTGGGCTGGTCCATAGTCTGCGTGTTCGGCTTTGTCATTGGAGGCACCATGTACCCTCTGAATAACCCTTCAGCTTTCCCTGCCTTCGTTACTCTCTATGGACTCTTCCAAACATTTCTCTCCGTAGGTCCTGGAGACTGTAATTTCCTAGTCAGCAGCGAAAGCTTTCCTACTCCTCTCAGAGGTCACTTTCTCGGGTTTGCTGCAGCCATCGGCAAGGTTGGTGCCGCAGTCGGTACCCAGGCGTTGAGCAAGGCCCTTGTCAGCTTTGACGACAAGCTCAAGGGTCAGCAAGTTGTCTTTCTCATCGGAAGTGCTATTTCAGTAGTTGGGGTTCTTTGTGTTTGGTTCTTAATCCCAAATGTAAGTTGCTTCCCAGATCCCTCAATCGACTTAAATGTGCAGCTGGTATTGACATAATATTCAGCACCCCAAGACTCTTGAAGAGGAGGATGTTCGTTTCAAGGCTTATTTAGAAGATAATGGATATGATACCAGCCAAATGGGACTGAAAGGGTGAGCTAAAGGAAATTGGACTGGTGTGCTTGCAGTGCGATGCAGTCTCTGGCTGAATCATGATAGAGACGAGCGAATTGAGTTGCGGAGCCGACCTCATCACATTATACAAAGCCTCGGTCGGTCTGTAAATTTACTAAAACAAGATGCTGGCAATTTTTGAAAAGCCACTTGGGCCAGTAGAGAGCTAGCAGTATCTTAGTGACTTAATAAGAAGGAGTCATTTTGTTTGGGACCATGACATCTGCCGCCTATTGACTACTAACAATAATGGTCGGGCCCAGCATTTTTATAATATTACACTTAATCGAGATTCCTCAAGCACACGATACTCGCAATCAGTAGGCCCGTTCCCGTTAACATTGACCATATCTTGGGGGCACGCGCTCATGACGACGACAAGATCGGTCTCGGCTCTCAAAATGACATATTGGCCCTTGTCGCTTGTAGGAGCACGGATATCAATTCCACCATGATGATCCACAGCCACATTCATAAACAGGTTTAGCGGATCTGGGACCCAATCAGCTCTGGGCTTGATAAACTCCAACTCTCCCAGGGCTTTGTGCATATTATCATGGCAACTGTCATGATAACCCACAGCACCCAATTGGCGATAACGCTCAGCATCGCAAGCGGGGAAGAGCAAGTCGTGGATCCCTGGGGTCGTGTCATCGACAAGAGTTAAGATGGGCTTGCGGCGGCAACTGTATAACTTGTCTCTCTTGCGCAAAGAGATGCTTGACAGCATTGCTCGAGTGTGACTAGTCGAGAGGTACTCTTGGCCATTCTTGAAATTGAAGGCCCAAAAGTCGACCACTTGCTTTCCATGCGTATTGATGACTTGGAGGCTCTGGCCCTGCCTTAGCAGAATGGCTACACCCTGCCGGGCGGGAAGTTGAGGCATTGTGAGATGATGGACAAGTATAATTGAGAGTAGGGTGGATTCGACTTAGGGTCTTTGAAAAGAGTTTATGTAATGGCTTGTCAGTGTTCTGGTGTAATGTGAACTTGTTCAGAAGTGAGGGGTAGAACGTCTTGGTCTCTGGCCTTTCAGTCACATGACATCAGCGAGAAAGGATGACATTCCGATTGATGCGCCACAGGACAAGCTACGAAGGATCGGCAGGGAATGGGCCAAAAAGAGGCTCAGATGCTCAATTCTCATCCAAAAGCTATCTTGGCTGTCTGGCTACAAATTAGCCATCTCACAAATTAACTATACTGGAGCTCATGGTACCATGCCTTCCGTTGAGTAACTCGTCAGCCGGTTATCCCACGTAGTTCTGCGTTCTTCTCAGGTCCAAAGACGCGTTGAATTCACAGACACGTTAGATGCCAAACTTCCTCCCAACGCCGCCGTATACGCCAGATCCCAAGTCAGACTCGACCCGCTGAGGTATGGACTATCAGTAGTCTGCTTCCTGAAGAAGGCATGACTCTCAATAGCGCCAGCCTTGTCTGCGATCGCCAGATTTGCATAGATATGGCCTGCGAAGCCGCCATTGCTGAGAGATCCAGACTTGTTGCCGGCGAAATACTGATTCCATTCCTCACGTACAAAGGGAGCTTTGCGGATATAAGCGCTGCTCGGCACAATTGGAAGCATGTGAATACCTTGGATGTAAGCAATTTCGTCGCCAAAGTACGTCGTGTGATTGATCTTTCTGTCCCAGAGAATGCCCGTAGCACGGTTCCCAATAAAGTTAGCCGGCTGGACATCGTTATCGCTTGCCAGGAGGAAGTACGACTGCAGGCTGCGCGCCGTCACGGCAAGTTGGAGGTTACCGCGGGCCTCGAGGCTGGCGTCACCAATGACTTTGCCCCACATCTTGATGGCATAGGTTGAGAAGGCGTCTTCTGCTGAAGACTCCTGGTCCTTGCCGTCAGGTGCCTCAAGGACGCCCCGGGCCCAGCTGTGGCCGTGGAACCAGTCGAAAGATCGTGAAAAAGGGAAGAAAGGGTCATCGGCTGATGGGTTAGACCAGTCACGGATCAGGTTGTTCACCCAAATCTTGTTGACGCCGCCGTTCTTGCTTAGCCAAGAGGGATCAAAGTGCGCAATGATCGCGGCGGTATACACATAGTAACCGTAGTGGAAGTTATGGTCATTATAGTATGTGTTGCCGAAGTCGATCGAGGAGTCGTTGTTCCCGTAGGATACAGACGAGACGAGACCCTTCCACAGACTATCGTAGCATAGAGGGTTCGGTTCCTCATTCTTGACGTACCTGTCAAACGCGGCTTCAAGCTTTGCAAGCGAATTGGCTGTCAAAGATCTGTCGCCAGCAATGTTGTGGACAGCATACAACGCTCTCGCGTAGACCGAAAAGGCGATTCCACCATAGTACTTGGATGTCAGATTGGTAAGCTTTGTGATATCCCGCGCGAGCTCGACTTTTGCAGCCTTGATGATTGACGCTTTGGCATCCTGAGATACCGTTGATGCAGAGCCCTGAGATCCCACCGATCCTAGACGCGGTGACCAAGGATTGAACCCAATATCCGTAGGAAGCTCATACTCCACCATAGTGAACTCATCTGCAAGTATAGCCGTGGCAATTCCCTTAGTTGTGCTGGCCAACTCAATATTGGTGAGACCCCTGGCTGTCTCTGTGTTAAACGACTTGACGTGATGCGGCAAAGCAAACATGAGCAATGTTCGTTGCTTTATCCCCTCCTTCTCCCACGCCAGGGTGTAGGTCCCAGTGCGGCCAGAAACAGTGCCCGAGATGGCTGCACTGACTGGATACACGCCAGCAGCTTTGTTAAAGACGTCGATACCGGCTGCTCCTGCAGGGTTCTTGGCAACTTGGACTGTTCCAGTAAATCCTTTCGGACCCAAGATTGTTCCTTTGTCAGTGATTTGAAGCGTCGGCCTCTCAGAAAGGCAGGTTTGAGTAAGATAGATCAGCCAACTCGACCCATCGCCTAGCTGGACACTCCAACCATACAGAGAGGGCCCAGGGACGGCAGCGCTTAGGTGAAGGTCGGTAATTTTCGAGAAATGCCTTTGAGATTGAATAATAACAGTGGCTTTGCTGTAGACGCCAGTGACGAAGGCCATGCCCTGAACAATGGGGAACGATATAAGAGGCTTTGCACCTCCCCTTGGTGCAAGATTAACGTTGGCAGAGAATGCCGTCAGCGAGTCCGTGGTCAAAACAGTTCCATTCTGCAATTCTCGCGCCGAAAGAGCGATCGATTGACGAAACACGGGATCTTCAAAAGATTTTACGGGGTTTCCGGGTCCGTAGATAAAGTCGCGCCGGTCGGTATGGGAGATAGACAAGCCGTGGCCTTGTTTGGGAGGGTCACTAGACCACCAGATCGAGTAAGGGTGAGTCCATGTAGCATTATTTTGATTATTGGCGAAGAAGTTGGCATAGAATTTGTTGGTTTGAATGGGGTTGTTGTTATTATCTACCCCAACCGGCATTTGCGGGTGATCTGCCCTCGAGGGGACTAGAATCGGTGGATCGTGAGAGATTTCCCCAAAGACGTTATATGAGCTTCGTTTCAATGCTGCTTCATTTCTGGACGCGCTGTCACTATCTGAGCGTCTGAGGTGGCTATGGCTATGCAGTCCATAGTGGTGTTTGGAAGCATGTATAACTTCGAATAGTAAAAGGGTTAGAATAAGGCAGTGGCGAAACATGGCTGGGAATTTTCAGTAAGAAATATGGGAAAAGTATTATAGATAAAAACATAGACAATGGGAAATTTGGTTTAGAAATAGACTTATTTACTTAGTAAACTTTTACAAGATTAAAGTTTTATTTATTAAGGGGGTTTTAAGTTTATTCATGCAAAAGCCTAATAAAACTTAATCCAATGCAATGCCAAGCTGCATAGCCATTTTATGTCGATCTCTTTTAACTTTCACATCTGCCGCTAAGTCATCTAAGGTCGTCGTTGAGATTTAACTTCCTGCTACAATCAAACCGGCAAAAAGTAACGAGCTACTACCATATATCAAACGGGGTAGTCTGAAAAAGCTGTTTGGTTCTTAAAGGGCTGCTTTCAGTATCGACGCTGCGTACTTGGCCGTCTGAAGGAATGGCCATCATAGGATCTGCTATCAACTCATTTTTTAGTGGGTACGTGAGCCGTAGCTAATATGCCTTGCATCGTGGATAAGGAGTTTCTGGTAGAAATGATTGTTAAGACATGGTCACGGGCTAAACTGTCGGTTTCTCCAGTAACTTGCGGAACAGTGCCATAACAATGCTGCACGGGCATATACTTCAACTCATTTAATTCAGTATGTACTAACAACTATGTAACTATGTAACCATATCATGATCTTTCCTCTTCATGCGGGCGACAGATAGCCCGGCGAAAGCTAAGGGTCTCCGAAACCAAAGCATCGACTTAGGCAGCTGTAGCGAAACCAATACGAGAGTTGGTGGTATCATATACAGAGTAGTAGTTCTCAAGGAACTTCTGTCCAATAATGATGTTGACACCAGAGGAGCCTCCATCGGAGATCCAGGAGTAGTACTTGCCAGAGGGCAAACCGAAGTTGCTATACTGAGCAGTAGGGACCAAGTACTGTGCGGGCGTGAGGGTGTAGGTGGTTGATCCAAACTTGATACCAAAGTTGGAGGTAGGCTTCTTGGTGAAGGCAGCAAGGCCGGTTGAGCTGTCAGTGGAACCACCAGCGGCAGAAAGGAACTTGTTGTAGGCACTGGTAGGGATGTAGATAAGTGTAGTGCCGGTGTCGACAATGCCGCTGCCTGATCCAAGAGTTGTAGATCCATAGGTAAACCCAGCAACGGAGATACCCCAGTACTGAGAAGGTTTGCCACTGGTAAGGACTGGGAAGTAGGTGAGGGAACCGGTGTACTTGGAGCTGTCGACACCACCGAGCGTCAACTCTCCATTGGTATCACTATCATCGCTGCCAGACTCTGGCTTGAAGGAGACACCCAGCACCTCGGATGAGATTGAGCCTTGGCTGTAGAGGTTGTCCATAAAGGTTGGGACGGTGTTGACATTGGAGACAGTGTCCTCAGTAAGGTCAACGGGACCGAAGCCAATGATGCCATCTACACCTGAGAAGCCGCTGGCACTGCTAGCAGCACCAATCGACTGTGCGGAAACACTGAGGCCGCCAAAGCTGACCTTGTCTGTGTACTCAGTACCAGAGAATGATCCAGAGCCGTAAGAGACGCTGACAGAGCCGCCTGTAGACTTGCCAGTCGATGTTGGCTCGCACTTGGTCTGAGCACCACACCAAGTGTTCGAAGCTATTTCAGGTCAGCGATTGTTTCGATTTATGTTTGAAAATAGGTCACATACATCCAGTATCGACGATGAGGTTCCAGGTCTTGCCTCCAATCACGACAGGCGCAACGTACGAGACATCCTCGTTGGTAACAGAGCCAGAGCTAACAGCATCGACGTGGAAAGACGACTCTCCATTGACCTTGCGAAGGCGGGCCTGGCCCTTTTGGACGATGGCCTTGAGAGAGCTGGCCTTGACGACGTGCTTCAAGGGGAGAACGGCAGTCTTGGCTCGAGGCTCAAGGGGCGAGGCGGAAACGGCTGCCGCAGCGGCAAGAGTGAGAGTGACAGCGAAAAGCATCCTGCTGATAGTATAAGAGCCCGGAGACGATGATTGAGATGGTGAGAGATTGATGAGATGAGATGGTATTCAGTCAATGACAGCCAGGCAGTTAGCTTATTTATATCTGTTGGAGTTAATAATATGACTTGATCTATCTACAACTCCTCGGAAAACCGGCAACGTGGACGGCATAGTTATCTCTAGGCTTGACAAGTTAGACTAGGCTCTAAGCACCTCTCAATACTCTAGATGGTGTTCATACTTGGTACGAAGTGATCGTCCTGTGGATAGCCATGTTGAATGCGATATGCCACTAGCGTGACGTGATAAATAGCACCTACCGCATTGGGTAGGTTCCGTTGCCAACTTGCCAATATGATAGGGTGCACGGCCGGCGAAGCGCCAAACTAATCTCTCAGTGCCGAACTCTTCGTCCAATGAGCTTCTTTCCATATAGCAGTGTGACATTAGTACCCCAGAATCACGCCTTTGATCTGCGCGATCGCTTGGCATCGAAGCTTGATCGTCTGATATAAAGCGACAGCCTTTCGCTGCCGTGATATCCGAAGATCTTTTGTACGAGCGATATCCATAGACCTTCGACGCAGGGCAACCCACAGCCTCTTCGAATTAGCTTATCGATCGGACGACTTTATCTCTGTTAATATCGTCTGGCTTTGTTAGACCTTATTTATTTAAGAAATAAATACAGCTTTATTTCAATAAGAGAAATAGTTTAAATATAGCTATCTTACTATATTTATTTTAAAACTCTTTAATAAACTTCTATAGAGAATTATATAATAAAGTATCGTTACCATAATTACTATCTGGTTTCTTAACTAAATCCCTCAGCCTCTTGCAAAACTACCAAGGTCGTGAGGTTTCGCAGCTTCCGTTTATGTCATTGAAGCCTAACATTGTCCCAAGATATCTCCTGTTTAATACTACTCTACATCGGCAAGATGTGCCGTTCCTTATCATCAACATGTCTTGCAAGATCACTTACCTCTTTCGCCCAAGGCATTTGTAACAAAGTCCCTTATCTTCGGTTTTGTACCCTATCAGCTTGCAATGTTCATCTGTCCAGGTCTCAATCTGGTTAAGCCTTGATTGGGTGCTAACAGAAGTTCCCAGTTGTCCTGATTGGGCGTGGTCGCCGGACAGTCGACAGGGGTATGGCCCCCACCGCGTCTCGTACCGTGCCGAGGTGATTGACGAATATTGGCAATCCATTTGCCGGCTCTATATCCAGGGCAGCCTTGAGTTTAATGTTCCTTCAGATACGAGAAGGCGGATTTGTTAGACCGGATCGGAAGAGATAATCCGGAGGGATGGGCCACCAATGGCAAGAAGAAGGAGAAGATGTAGAATGCGCTACATTTGCTGTATGATCTATGAATATGCATATTGACTTTCGGCGGTTGCCACGAAATAATGTGTATAAATTCATGGCCCACGATCCTGTGACAAGGTTGAGGGGTTCGAAGTAGCTTCAACCTCAATATACATAAAGGTAAAGAACAGAGATTAATATATTTTAGTAATTTTCCCCCAGCCTTCTCGCGCAAGAAGCCATACCTTCTTTCTCTCTCTCTAGCTCTTCACACGCTTTTGTTATTGCATCCAGAAATATACCAACACCAATCACAGTCAGGATATGCCATCATCCAGGAAGTTCAAACAGCCAAGCCCACGGCCACCCATTTTGGTGCCAGGGGTGTCAGCTCAGCACAGGATTCCAGGTCGATATTCCAAAGTAAGTATCCAAATAAACAAACCCCAATAGCCTTCAAGGTACATGAATTGCAATTCCAACTCTTGACCTTTGGAAACGCTGGTTGAGGCCAATGAAAGAGATGACTTAGTAGAGAACGTAAATAGACGACAGACGATGTAACGTAGCCTGCAGCCAGGCTTATCGATAAGACACGTGCTTTCAACCGTAATTGTCGCGCAACTACCGTAGCTAGGAGCATTGACCAAGTCAGTCCAAGCATTAAGAACTCGTCAGCAAACTTAAGTTAATCAGGGGCTGGCGTGGAAGAGAAATGCCCTGATTCCGGGGTATAATGTATATATAAGGATATGGACCTTGACTTATTACTTGTTCCTCATTTAAAGACTAGCCTTAGTATTTTCTGTAATTTACTAGTATTTACCATTTAGGGTAGGCAATAGAAGCTAGTATAGTAAAACAGTAAAAGCTTTTATTTCTATCTATAACTTTATTTAATAGAATAAAATTTTAATATAACTTTTAACACTTTTAATATTTAAGAAAAGTCTTAGCAAAGAGTATCTCAGAAATGATCTGCTGGGCGGTTTGTATAACTTGACGTTTTTGTAACTAAGGCTCATGGCGACCTCAAATCAGCGTCAAGCAGACATTCAGCTGCTCCACTCACATGCATTACATCGCTATGCTAAACGCCCTGAGTCTGAAAATCAGGCTGTGAGCAACCAATACTTGTTGCACCCTGCACACCACAGTGGCGGCGGTGTTTCTGTGATTGGACATCTGGCTGTGCTGGGGGTTTGAAATCACAAAAGCCACTCTCCGTAAGGCTTTCTACGCAACCCCGCAATTTCGTCAACCTGACCTGATGTTTCTTCACTATTCGCATCCTCAGTATTTTGACACTGCTGCTCTGAACGTTTCTAGTTTATTGCAGACGACTCTCAGTACTTATAGCTATCAGTCCAAAGATACACCAGAAGGAAAAGCCTTTGTCACGGCGCTGGCTTGCCTTCGGCTTAGTTTTTCCTCTTTCATCAAAAGCTCATTCCAACGTTTTCAATCACCATGGCTGACCCGCTTTCCATGACAGCTAGTATTGCCGGCGTCATCGCTCTATCAGATCTAGTATTCAAGACAGTGTTCAGCTACACGTACAAGGCAAAGGAAGCGAAAAAGGATGCTGAAAGCCTCAAAGAAGAGATCAGCGGTCTCTCAAATGCCTTGCGCATCCTCGATGCTTTGGCATATGAACTTGAAGCAGAGAATGGACCACGCGATGTAGCATTGAACACGAAGTTACTTGACCAATGCCGAGAGACTCTTACTGCCATCAACCAGAAAGTGCAGAAGGCTGTCAAGGATTTCGACGATGCCTGCAAGTGGAAGCAGTTAGCCGACAGCTCAAATGGCCGTTTTCCTCTTCCGAGACCAAGGACCTCCTAGAAAGCCTCTCTCGGTGCAAGGCGACCATATCTCTGGCAGCATCAGCAGATTCACTATCGAAACTTCAGACCGTTCTCTCACATCAAGTGACACACAACACAAAGATTGAAGAACTGGTCCAGAAAGTCTATCAAAAGTCAGTAATCACAGCGAGCATTTTACTCGACAGAGAGAAACAACGCATCCTTGAGTTTTTTATGAAGCCCAACCTGAATCCACAGCCCAGTCTCGATCAGAGTATCAAATGGCGCCACCCGACGACAGGCAACTGGCTCCTGTCGAGTACTGAACTCCAGACTTGGTTTGCTAAGAATGGGTCTCTGGTTTGGCTGAACGGCATCCCCGGCGGTGGTAAGAACATCCTGGCTGGACTTGTTATCCAAGAAGCACTATCACGGAGTTCATCTGAGGTTGGAGTGGCCTTCTTCTTCTGTGATTACAAGAACACCGAATCATTGATCCCAACTAAGATACTCGGGGCAATTGCATCGCAACTTGCCCTCCAGAATGAGGAATCGTTTGAACACCTGGAGGAATGCTTCAACAAGCTCTGCCCCTCACGAGCGTTGTCCAAAGAACCTGAAGTAGCCGATCTTCGAGACACGATAGCAGCCATGATCAAGACATTCCGCCAAGTACTGATAATTGTCGACGGCCTCGACGAGTGTGGTGATGAGATGAGCAATGTCACTAGTTGTCTATCTGATCTCGCTGGCTTGGCTGAGCCTGCCGCTGTCGCGCTCTTTAGTCGCAACGAGATGCAGATTCGGTCACGGATGGGCAAGAACTTCACCGAGATCCCAATCGAAGCCCATACTGAAGACATCGAGAACTATGTTCGCTCAGAGCTTGGACAAAGAATTCAATCTTGTCGACTTTTAGTGAGGAAATCTGAAACGAGGGACGCTATTCAACATGAGCTTATTGATAGAGCTCACGGAATGTATGTATCCCAGACACTTTGATTCTATGATACTGACCAAATTAGGTTCCGTTGGGTGTCTTGTCAGCTAGGTTATTTATGCGAGTTTGGAACAGACCATGATCGACTTCAAGCGCTCAAAGAATTACCACCAACCTTACCTGACAGCTACCGGCGAATCCTCGAAAGGCTCAATACTCGGCCTGCTAAGATCCGAAAGATGGTTCAACTCTGCCTTCACTTCGTTGCCTTCTTTCCTGCACGGTTAACTGTTTTGGAGCTTTGCCAAGCCATCTCAACGCCAGATGAGGTTGGAGCACAACTCAGTGAGAACAACACCTACATTGAAGATGATGTTATTCTTCATTGTAGTAGTCTCATAAGAAAGTCTGCTGATGGAAGAGGTCTCGAGTTCTCCCGTTTCACTGTCCGAGAATTTCTCGAAACAGAGATAGCGGGTCTTGAGGAGTATAGGATCTCGCGTCCTAACAGTACGTCGCTCATGGCCCTGAACTGTCTAAGGTTCTTGCAACTGAAGAACATCAATGTTTCCGTACAAGACCAGACCAGATTCCTCGCAGACTTAGAGAAAGTGGATAGTTCGCTCCCGTTCTATCGACATGCCGCTGCCTACTGGCCCATGTTAGTACGAGAAGGTTTCCACAACCTAGATGGGCAGCTACTACTGAAAGTAGTAGAACCACTATTCTGCCAACCCACCTCCTCCAGATTTCGCTGCTGGAGACTGGGTATGGACTACTGCATAGAATCGCCTCTCTAGGACAGGAGCCACAGACTCGCTGGTTAATGGAAGCGCTTGTCCGCAGGGGTGTGGACATCAATGGAATTAACGCTAACAAAGACGATATTTCTTGGCGTAATTCGCCTCTGGTCCACCATCTACGTCTTGGTTCAACCTGCTACGCAGGCTATCTATTGGAAATGGGAGCAGACCCTTCAGTGTGTCCGAACGACACCGTAGGCATTAACTGTTTGGATGCCCCATCCTGTGCCGGTCTTAGAGACAATCTCTGCTTCCTTGAACAACTACTTACAGTCTCACAAGAATCAAATGTGCCAGTCCGTTGGAACCGTGAGGTGTCTTTAATCTTACCAATGGGAAACGGTAATCTGGAAATACAAGTCAACAGTCTGGGTCTTGCCTCCTTTTTTGGATACATTGAAATTGTCAAATTCTTCATCGAGAAGAAGTTGTTCACTATCGACATGACGTCGAAGGGTGGTGCCACTTGTCTTCACCTAGCGGCATTGGGCGGTCAATCGCGCATTATAGAATATCTTATGGATCACGAACATCCAGTTGACGCTGTGGACGAGTATGGGAATTCGCCACTGCATTACGCGGCAGTCAGCGGACATTTGGATGCTACGAAGATTCTATTGAGTAAGGGTGCACGTGAATCGAATGCTTTAGGTTCGTGGACTCCTAAGATGGCCGCACAGGAACATGGGCATCATCATATTGTCGAGCTTCTCGACAAAGAACCCGGATGTTATAATGAGTCTGACCCTGACCCTGTGAGAGCTCAGCGACATGTACGTGGACTTCTTCGCCAAATGGAGACAGCTGTTCTTTCTAACGACTTTGAGGGCTGTCGCAATGCAGTGATATCTGGGTGTCCTCTCAACGGTATTATGCCACAGTCTGGCTGCACTCCTCTCTTATTTGCGCTGATCCAGGGACGATTTCGAATTGTCGCCTGGCTCGTTGATCGTCAAGCCAGCACCCTGGTACAATGCGATCTCTCTGATGGCCAAAGGTCGTCTGCAATAAATATTGCAGCTAATGATCCCAAGCTACTAGAGGTTCTTTATACTATGATCCATCGATACACCGAGCAAGGTGGCGATCTGGTGAATGGGCCTGACGCACCTATCTTTTTTGCTGCCAGGAAGAACGTGCGAGGCCTTCGAATTTTATTAGATTACTTGCAAAAGCATATGAAACACTGGAGGTGAGTCTTTCGCTATATGTTGAGTTTTGTTACATTGACTCAGCTCTATCTTTACAGTCGAGACAATACTTCAAGGAGACAAATTCTAGATCGCCGTTTCTTATCACGTCGTCTCAATACGAATGCTTTTGATGAAGTCACAGCGCTTCATGTTGCTGTTCTCAATGACAACCTTACCAGTGCTGAGCTACTTTTAGAAAACGGCGCCAATATCGACTCTCTAAGCGCTCATGGCTTCACTATAATTGAACTATCTCAGTCGCCAGAAATGACAGCTCTACTTTTGAAGTATGGGGCGTCAATGGCTCCGCTACTTACACTTGGTCTTACTGAAACCATAGATCACTGGAGCAATAGGGGACTTAAAAGTAAAGCGTACGCGACTATGGAGGCAGAAGGATCTGGCGCTCCTGTGGCATACGAAAAAGATCGATGGCTAGATCTTGACATGTCACCCCAGTCAACTTTTATAGGGGATGTGAGACACCTTCTATCAGTGCCGTATCTCAGGGACATTCTGCTGGATCCTCTGTTTTCCCATCCAATGCTAGGGAACTACATTCTTAATTCCCCAAAAACACATTGCTTTCTGTTGAACAGTGGTCTCCAGCTCGAAACTCTGGACCCGTTTCCCTGGTATCGCATAGGCCGATATGACTTCAAGTACGTCTCCATTCTCGGAACGTCATTCCGCGAGACTGGGACAGATAAAACAAGATTTGCAGGGGAAAATTCCTTACTATTTTGACGGGGTTGTATATAGTGATGATAGAGAGTAGGGAGTGGTATGAAAAGAGGTCTGTATTTTTTACTCAAGTAATCACTCTACAACCTGTTCAGCCATCTATTCGGTTTACTCCTCAATCATGAGGTAGATTTACATCAACGCGTTGATGGGTTGTCTATTGTACTACATCAGCTTGGCCTTTGGACTCGCCATCACCATCACGGCGCTTCTTCAATTGCTAACATTTCCTATTTAGAATAAATACAGGGTTTACCACTCTTTATAGCCTTAAACAGGACAGTAGCAGTTACCGTTACAGCAAGGATTCTGAACATAGTTGACTGTCAGCTCCCCACTATCAACGTTATTACCAGGATTCGTAGGAATGCTGCCACACTGAGTACATCCATGGTCAATAATACCCTGGATCAAGTCAATAGCCCGGGTTGTAGTGCCACTTGCACCATTCTGGAAGAAAGCACAGATAGAACCGTATTGGCCTGAGGCACAAGCGATTTGAACTAGATTTTATCAGTCAAATGTACTGCGTTTCGTTGCTGTGGACATACCATGCTCTGGCCAGAAATGATCACCCTGTCCGCGAGCTACCAGCTGCTTTGCTTGAGTTAAAACATCGTTCAAGCTAGCGTTATTGATATTGCAAAAGCCAGATCCTCGGCAGTTGATGCCCAGTGCTGAAGCAGTGGAGAGAAGAGTGCTAATAGTTAAAGCGTAATGCATAGTGAGGTTTATAAGGAGTCTGACAAAGGGCAGATTGGTTAATGTAAAGGTGTTTGTAGAGATGATTCTAACAGTTGTTATAGTCTGATAATATAGCGTCCGTCGAGGAGCTGAAACGTTAACTTATATAGTTCATACTTTATAGTATAGGCAGAGGAGGGATATTTCAGGTTAATGGCTAGACTAAGTTCTTAACATGGATTGTTTGCCTAAAGTCCTGTGGCGGCCGATTCTACTTGGCCAACTTCTCGAAACCTGCCAACAGAACCTGATCAGGCAGGCCGAGCTTTCCGATACCTGCAGTCTGAGATATTCCTTATGCAGTAATGATGGGATGTATCGTGACCATCATGATGATATCTTCTACTGCTTTACAGTCGGCAATATTCAGCTTTACTATTGTCTTACAGAAATAGGAAGTTCGTAAAACGGCATGCGTCGATCGCTATAATATCCTTGGTCGGTTGGTATGTGAGAAACTTCAGGGAATCCACTTTAACGTCATTGACTTTAGGTAATTGTCAAAGCGTTGAGGTGGGCCGTGATGATGATACGAAGCCGAGTTCCGGGCCGTGTGGAGTTTTGAGTCCTTCAAGGTGATCGACAATGCAATAACCATCACAATAGGTCCACTCCTTCCCAGATAGGCAATTCAAGTTTATAGGCAAAAAAGACGTAGCAGATAGAAACTGCCAAGAGAACCACATGTAGTCAGCAGAACTTATAAATCTACACAAGTATCTACTGCTTCGTGACAATAACGCAGAAATTCACAGCTCTTCACAGATCTACCACTCAACACACTTTATCAATACCAGCAAACACGTCCTTCTACTGCATTCAAAATGAAGCACTCTGTTATTCTCTCTTTCTGCTCTCTCGCCGCAACTACATCCGCCCTAGGCATTAACTGTCGTGGCTCTTTTGCCTGCGGTGGCGGCAGCGGAAACCTCATCAACCTCAAATCCATTGTCGACAACATCCAGCCTCGAGACCGCTTCTATCCAGCTCAACAGCAGATTGCCTGCACAGGCGATACTTGCGCCTTCTTTCAAAATGGCGCCAGCGGCACTGCCGAGCAGGTTTCTGCAGACCTGCAAGCCCTTTTGGACCACGGTTGCAAGAAATGCGGCTCGGTTCCTACTCAGCCTGGCAATAATGTTGCGGATGGACAGTTGACAGTTAACTATGTTAGCCATCCTAACTGTCAGGGAGCTTGTTAGATAATAATTACTATATAAATATATATTTAATTACTACTTTAGTATCTTAACATATTTACTAGTATTAAATAGTTAAAATACACAACTAATAGTAATTAGTATTGAAATTTTAATTAAATCTACATATTACTACTTAATACTTATTTATTGTATAACTTATAGCTAGCCTTGGATATTAGACTAGTAGCTCAGAAAAGGCGTATATAATATCATTTAGTTACGATTTAAGGCGGCCGCTCTGTCTCCAGACCCAAGATTTCGACGCTAGGTCTACGCTACCGACATCCGGGTATCCGAGCTGGCCCATTATCCGACCCAAGCCTCGTATATGTACGGATATGGACCTCGAGATCGGCAATCGTATTTTTCTGTCAATCACCAGCAGGCATAGCGCCTATGACATCACCAGTCGGCTCTTGCCCCACTACTCTCTCACCCTGCCTCACGACTATCGCTAAAAGGAGAAATGCGTGCTTTTCCCCGCGAGCCTGAATCTCAGCTTCACGTCAGTTCAGCTGAGAACTTCGGGACATCGGCCCATCAAGGTCAAAGAATCCCAAAGGGGAAATTCGTATGAATGATCTGCAATGCAGCAACTGAAAAGGCAAACAGAGATATACCGTTTTAACGAGGTCCATTCTAGGCAGAGCATTGATTTACCTTGATTCGGGTTTCCCTTTCAAGCTCTTACTTGGCGATCAAGACAACTGTTCCAATTACGTATCTGCTATAGTCTCCACGTACAGTCCATGACCTGCGTCACTAGTGTTATGTATCGCCACTTTCTGGTGCTCGGGGACCACTTGCGAGCATACAACGTAGTTGTTCAGATCAAATGTGACAGACCTTCGCGGGCGAATGATATTACACTGACTTTACAAGCATAAGATCAACAGTGAACAAGATGGTAAGGCAATAACTCGACTCTTAGTCCTCTTCTTCAAAGAAGTATAAGTAGTCTTCATTCTCTATGCGAAACTGGTTCATGCTCACCAGCTTCAACATACCTTATCTACCATTAACAACACTCACCGCTTAAAATCATTTTCAACTCACTCAATATGCGTTTCTCATCCACAATTATCCTATTCGCATCCACCGTTGCTGGCCTGGGCATTAATTGCCGTGGCAGCGGCTTGTGCAACCTCTCTTTCGGTCCCAGCATCCAGAACATTCAGGATCAGATTGGCAATATGATTGCCGATGGTCAGGGGGATAGATTCTTTGGCGATGGTGGTGAGTTATCTTTAAACCAACAAAACCTCACCAATGTTAATGCCCGAAATTTCAGCCCAAGTCGCTTGCACATCAGGTGACGCAGGTAACATATGTGCGTTCTTCCAGAGCGGCGCTTCTGGAACAGCCAACGATGCTTTTCATTACATACAGGAGATCATCGATCACGGTTGCAAGCTTTGTGGAAGTGTTCCTACACAGCCAGGAAATAACGTGGCAAACGGGCAATTTACTGTTAATGCTGTTAGTAAGCCTTGTTGCGAAGGAACTTGCCACTGTTAAGATATTATTAAAATAGGTAGTTTTATTATTAATAAGGATATAATAAAAACATATATCTAAGCCTTATCTAAAGTAATAGCTAGTATATAAAATCTGTGTCTAGCGAGTTACAGGTTCTGCGCTCTATATTTAAGGAAAACTACTGCCATAGCAGTGTAGTTTTCTTTCCCACCCTTACTAAATAGTTATATTATATTAGACTTAATAAAGAAATCTCCAGCTTTATAGAAGAGCAATTTTCGTCTATAGAATCTCTTATAATTATTTACTATACCTACCAGTTAAGCTAAATGAGTAAAACATCCACTTCAGGTAGCCGTATGGCCACAGCCCCTAGCTTATTTATCTATACGCGTATTCATTCCAGGCCACTAAGCCTCGGAGACAGGCACAGAATTATTATTAGCTTAAAGGCAATATTTCAGGCATTGGTAAGAGCCAATGGCATATCTATCTACTTAATTTCCCTTTGCAATGTGACTAAATTGTCTTTAAAACCTCAATTTGTAGAATATTCACAACTTTGAAAAAACTAGGGACCGAACCACCGGAAATGAATCCGAGGGAGCTAACATTCTAGAACCACTTACTCCGTACTCGGGCCATGTAGCCGTTTCAGATGCCACGCCGCTCATTCCAGCTGTGGGAAGTTCGTATCATCCTAGCCTAATGTTGCAGATTGGCGGAACAATTGGCCTAGTTATCGGCGCGATGACTGCAATTTCGAGCTAACGGCACGAGTCAGGAGCAAGCGGCTTCTCGTTATATATCTTCTCCAAATCTACTCAGGAAGTTTTCTTCTGTTCTCGCTGTATCGTTCATTCATTCATTTTCTAGTCCTTCGTTTCTTCTGTTTGTATCCCTCAACTAGGAATCTGGCATTCCTCTCACATTCGTTTTTAAACACTTAAACTCAACGTCTTCACAATGCGTCTCCTCGATGTTTTCGTCGCCGTCGTGGCGTTTCTCCCTACCTCCTTCGCCGCTCTGCCAACTCAAGCCGAAGGCTTTGCCTCTAGTACTACTGGTGGAAGGGGCGGTCAGGTCGTGCACCCCAAGAACAACCAAGAACTGGCCAACTACCTAAAGGATAACACTGCTCGTGTCATTTACCTGCAGCGAAACTTTGACTTCAAGGGCTCTGAGGGTTCTGCGACTGAAATTGGCTGCGCGCCGTGGGGTACAGGTGCGCACTGCCAGCTTTCTATCAACAAGAACCAGTGGTGTACCAACTATAACCCTGGTGCTCAGAAGGTCACTGTCAAGTACGACAAGGCTGGTCTGAACCCTCTTATGGTGGGCTCAAACAAGAGCATTATTGGTGTCGGTTCCAAGGGTGTCATCAAAGGAAAGGGTCTTCGTCTTGCCAATGGCGTCAAGAATGTCATCATCCAGAACATCCATATCACGGACCTCAACCCCAGCCTGGTTTGGGGAGGCGACGCCATCACGCTAGACGGCACTGACAACATCTGGATTGATCACTGCACTACCTCTTTGATCGGCCGCCAGCATATTGTTCTTGGTACTGGAGCTAGCGGTCGTGTTTCCATTACAAACAATAGGATTGACGGCGTGAGCCCCTGGTCCGCTAGCTGCAACACCTATCACTACTGGGCCATCCTCTTCCTCGGAAAGAGCGACGTGCGTAACAAAGACACTATATGGTACTGACAATTTTACTAACGGGTTTTAGTTAATCACCTTCAAAGGCAACTACATGTACCACGTTTCCGGCCGCGCTCCCAAGGTTTCCGGCAACACCCTCCTCCACGTCGTCAATAACTATTTCCACGACGTCTTCGACCATGCGTTCGAGATTGAGAACGGCCAGGTTCTCGCTGAAGGAAACGCGTTCCAGAACGTCAAAAACCCCCTCAAGCCTGGAACTAAGGGCCGTCTCTTTACTGTCCCTACTGCTGGATCTGCTAGCTCCTGCAAGGCTTCTCTTGGACGCGCGTGCCAGATGAATGCCTTTGGAAGCTCTGGTACCTTCCCTGGCGATGACACTGGTTTCCTTGGCAGCTTCAAGGGCAAGACTATTGCTTCTGCTGCTAGTGCTCAGAGTGCTAAGAATGCCATGACGAAGGCTGGTTTCGGTCTTGCTTAATTGCACAGCCAGTCTTTCACTGACTGGTACTATTCACTTCTACACTGGTATTGTATTCTATACAATTGCATTGAAGGATGGTCGGAAGGTGGTTGGATTAGAGTAAATACTATTTGTTGAGTTTAAGAAAAAATAAGCTGGTCCAGCTTGTAATGAACATTGTGTTGAGTGAAATACAGATGGACACAAGATATTAAACAACTATGTATCTACAAATTATAAACATAAGAGCTATTACCGGACCTTTATCAATAAGGAGGTAGCAGGCAAGGCTGAGATTGCACTACTTATATAACTGACACAAAGCAGGAAGAAATGTAGCATTTCCTAGCTAGGTCGAGTTCCACGACACTACCCTTGACTATCACACTCGAGAAAACACCTGTCAATTTATTAGTTGTAACAGTTATGTAGATTCCAATCACCAGACCTTGGTCGGAACTGCGTCTTGTTTGTGTTCAGCTTTGGATTTCTCGTCGTTTCAGGAATCCCTGTTTATCATTCAATCCCATAAATCGGCCCCTGCTTTGACACATACGCGTATAGCCGGTAATTTTTCCGTTGTACGAGATTCTTCCACCGCTCAAGGACAGAGGTCGTATGACTAATAAGCTTTTAGGGAGACCGATATAGCCATCATGGAAATTAAGTGCCAGTGGATTTCTGGATGTTGACCTAGTCTTTATTACAGTACGGAGGGTTCCTGCTTAACCATAATGTCAAAATCTCCTAATTTCGATTCGTTTTCAGTTAATGAAATCGCACTGCAGTGTGCTTTTTATTGGAAAAAAGAGGCTCCATGATCCATTGGCTTTAAGTAGTCTTGCACACTCTTCCTGCTCTGACAAAGAAATCCCTCTTCCTTTTGACTAAATTCCAAACCTTTCACTACTCACAAGATGCGTGCTTGCCCGCAACTGGTTCTCATCCTTTCGGCCATCGCTGCTGTTGATGGTGCGGCGGGTTCTAATTGTCGCCATGGACGGCCGAAGAATGGCAATTCGATTCCAGATGTCTCCGCCAACCCGTATCTGGCAACAGCAAAAGATGCCTCTAGTATTATTCCCACTATTTCGACAACAGTAGAGTCGGCGAAGACTGGGCAAGCGCAAACCGCTGTCTCGACTGAAAAGCCTCAAGTAACTGAGCCTACCATTGATGCCGGGGATATCCAGCCTCAAGAGCTCGACACGTCATCACAGAATACAGCTTCACTATCGACATCGCGCCAAACGAGAAGTACCATGGCTGCTCTGAAGGAGCCTGCCAAGAAGTTTTGTGGCAAACCTAACGAATCCGAGGTTCTCTTTGGAACGCCGTGGATTGTCTTCTCCATGAACTACAACTATCAGTCTATCAAAGGCTCTTCCTGTGTCGGCTACTACGACTACGAAGGCTCTGGTGATAACCAGACCATACACTGGAGCCGCTCCAGTGGAGCGTGCTATGGGACATTGATCCTACTGTCGGCACGAACCTCGTCAAGGGTTACAACTTTATCGGTCTCACACAGGGTCTCGAAACAAGGCTCAGTGATATCAAGAGTATTCCCTCCAAGTACGAGTGGACCACTAGCAAGACTACTGATTATAAAGGTATGGTACTGGACGCTCTTCGTCTGCGAGATGAGGGAACACGCATGCTGACTATTGCTGCTTACCAGGGAATGTTGTGTACGACTTTATGACCTCTGATACAAAGGGAGACTCAACCACTAGCAAGGCGCAGGAGCTCATGCTCTGGCTAAACTGGCAGGGAGGTCAAGTTACTATTGGATGGGGTGAGGGGCCAATCGCTACCATCGATGGACTATTTGGCAAAGACGGCTGGAAGCTGTACCAAGGCGTCAACGCCGATACTGGCATCACAGTGTCCTCGCTCCTTTGTCCCGAAGATGGCCAGTTCGGTGACGAAGACGGCGGCAGTTTTGAAGGTGACATCAAGGACTGGCTTGTAGCCCTGTCCAAGGAGGGCGTGTTCAAGTCAGACACGTATGTCAATGTTGGAAATGCTGGCATGGAACCTTACTACGGCACTGTCGACTTTGACAACCATCTGAGCCTTCGGATCAACGTTTAGAGGAACGAGTTATGAAGGGATTGAGCTTTCTGTTCTGGGTAGGTTCTAGAGGCGCAATTGTATTCCAAGATGTCCAAACTTGCATTCATTCGGCTCCTCTTGGACTGCATGTGATTGAGCACATATTTCGACTAAAATACACCAATTCTAACAACAGGTAAGCCCAAGTATTTATTCAGATCACGCCAGAGGTGGGCAACACTTCTAAGTCTATCGCATCAAGAGAACGGTAGATAAGCTATGTATATTAAATGGCCCCAAGGTTTTGTTGCTCTGAGAACCTGAGCTTGTATTCGCTGGTGGTCCAACTTCGGCAGCGCTTGACTAATCGGAGTCAAAGTTAACGTAGAAACCTACACTAGAGCCTCCAGCAGTGGCGAGGAACGCAGTATCATCACTAGTACCCCCTGACGAGCCAATATATGTAGTGTACCAGTAGCTACCGGTGGCAGCACAACCCGAAAACATGTCACACTGCACCTCAGGCACAGAGCATTCCAATCGGCTACCCGGGGTAGGTGTCTCGCAAGTAAGGTACTGCTCCTGATCTGGCATGTTGGTGGCATCGCATACAGTGAATGCGCTGGTGCCATCGCCAGGGAAGTAGCCGCAGATAGGCAAAGTGCCGTCGAGCAACAGGCGACCAGTAGTGGCGTCGATGGTGAAGTAAGCCGTAGAATAGCCTTGGGCGTGGTTGAAGAGAAGAGGAGTGAAGCGGTTTCGTTTCGCTAGAAGAGGTTCGCCACTATAAGTTCCGGACGCAGGGACAAGTCGGAACATCGGGACGGTGGTGGTGGTGGGAGCTGCAGTAGTTGTCCCTTCAGTAGTGGTAGTGGGAGCCTCGGTGATTTCGGATGAAGCAGTGACTGTGCCTGAAGTCGTCACAGCCTCAGTTGTAGTATCGGCTTCAGTGGTAGAAGCTACCTCAGTGATAGCGGTTGATGTAGCGAAAGTAGTAGCCTCGGTGGTTGTATCGCCGGAAGTTGTTGCCTCGGTACTGGCAGTCTCTGTTCCAGTAACCGCCGAACTCACTTCAGTCGTTACTCCAGTGGTTGTGTCAGCAGAAGTGACTGCTTCGGTTGTGGTGCTGGCAAAGGTGGCTGAGGTGTCGGAAGACTGCACAAAACTGGACGCTGCTACCGTTGTCGCAATGGAAGATTCAGATGCTACACCAATTCTGTTAGCAAGGAATGATAGCTAAGAGTACATCACTTACCAGAAGAACGAGGCTTACAAGGGCCCGCGACCGCAACATTAAGACCAGCAAGGCCAACGGCCAACAAACGAAGGATGCTTAAGTACATGATGATTTAAATGAGTGACTATAGCGAGTGAAAAGAGCGACAAGACGTGGGCAAGATAAAAGAATTTAGCTAGAATTCTGGGAAGCGGGCTTTTATTATTACAGAAAAATTAAAGACCGGGAAATGAGCAATGTGCGCTAGTCGTATCAGTGCCTGTAGGCCGTCAGTAGTTTGTGTTAGCAGGCAAGCTAGTGGATTTGAGCTGATAAACACCAACGCCACTGCGGGCTTTTATTCAATAGTTTACAGGCTAAACTTCTATCCAGCACTAAGAAATGCTGGAAAGCCCCCTGAGTAATTGTTGTACTATTTTACTGAGACGAGCGCTGTCGCGGAGTTGGTGAAATAATGATAAAGACCGTTCTAGAACTTTCAGTTAGGGAGTTTTATAGCTCCTCTTGGTAAGGTTATTATATAGAAGTTATTTATTAGCTTGGAAGGTAATATCTAAACATAATATTAGTAGAGAAGAATCCAGGCAGCTTCTTCTATAATATGGTATACAACAAGTCTATAATTCATACGTTCAGTCAAATTCGAAACTCTACACCTCTGCAATGTGAACGGTGGCAACTCATGCACTGCACTTGAGATGGCCCCGTAGTGATAGCATGTTGGCAAGTGAAGATAACCTCCGGCTGGGGAGGCGTATGAGAACAACAGTGCATCTTGACTGCCTGACGTGAAATGAGCGGGGATGGATATCACGTTGACGATAGGAAAGTGACTGCTCTGGAAGAATATCAGTTACATCAGGTGATCTATGCTGGCATCAGGGACAAACAGTAGTTCGAGATTCTCGTCCAAGATCTTGCCGAGCTGAAGCAGGCCAAGCTTGATTAAGTTTCACTCCAGTCAAGTTCCGAAACAGCTCGCTCGATGATCTAAAGTGATATCGGCCTCATTGAAATGGACTTGAGAAAGCTTAGACATTGCAGGAAGTGGCAGAAACCTATACAGTTATCGCTCAATCAACTAGATTCCGACTGCTGATTTAAGCTTATTGCTCAATCAACAGAGCAGAGCCTCAATAGAATGTGTCAGATTCGCATTTTGAGCACAATATAGTTCAGGATGATAAATGATAGGTCAGAAAGCATCTCCAAGAGTCACCAAGACGGCGAATGGGAGACGGGTTTTTGGTGTTTAAGGTTGGAGGAGCTGACAAGGCTTACGGCTTAATCTCGAGGGGCGAGCCTGAGCCCAGCCCTTTTCGGTCTAGTATGAGTAATCGCTGGTTGCTAAGACAGATTGCTTGGTATGCTAGCCTCGGCCAATCTCAGCTGTGGTAACATTATCTTAGCATGAGATAAGTAAGTGGCAGAGGGACTGCCGGGTAGCATGCTGTCGATGGGCGCTAAAACTTCGACTGAAACAGTGGGCCAGGGCCTGTAAAACAGGGTTTAACGGTTCTGTAGATCCGAAACCCGAATCCGTAAATGTTCATTGCCAATTGATTTGGCAAAGCATTTAGGTACCCGTATATTAATAGATACTACGTCGTGTTAAGTCATGAGACTCTGTGGAATCTTCTAATATATAAAGCATTCCCGTTGCGTCTACAGAGTAGTAAAGTATTATTTAACTACTTCCCTATTTCTTCTTAGTAATTCCCTTTCTTGCATACATACCAATCTCAGTCCAAGTCAACCACTCCTACATCGCCCTTAATTGCCTTCAGCCAGTCGCCAGAAATGACAAACAACACCCAAACCCCCGAAGGCTATGCCCCCTTCGACTTGTACCCTTACAACCCATCTCAGGGCCCAGCGTATGCCTTCTTAGGCCTTCTCGGAGCGGCGGGAATAGCTCACTTCATTATGATGTTCCCCTATCGATCAGCCTTCCCGATCCCCATGATAATCGGGTGCGGCAGTACGTGGCCTACCTACTCACACCTGTGACGTTCTATTTAGCTGATACTGTTTCTAGTGGAGGCCGCCGCGTATTGGTTTCGATCACGATCTCACGACAACTTGCGACAAACATTGCCTTGTCCGATCCAAAACCTACTCGTCCTTGTGGCCCCGCCATTCCTCGCCGCCACCATCTACATGTCCCTCGGCCGGATCACGAGAGCTCTCAAAGCACAAGAGGCATCGCTTATAAGCCTGCGATGGATCACCAAGTTGTTCGTCCTGGTTGATCTGATCTGCTTTGCCACGCAGACTGCCGGTGCCATCATGTCAGGGAGTGAAGACCTGGACGAGGCAAAACGAGGTCAGACTATCATCATCGGCGGTTTGGTTCTCCAGATCCTTGCTTTTGCCTTGTTTATAATCTGTACTCTCACTCTACAGCTGAGGATCCGAGCAAGTCCCCCAGTACACTGTGTTGCTGGTGTGATTGCGCACTATCGTCGATTTTTTTTTTTTTTTTTTTTTTTTTGCACTCTACTGCATCAGCGCCTTGTTCTTGGTCCGTAATTTGGTTAGAATTGTCAAGTATGAGCAAGGTGGCGACGGCCCGCTATTATCAAACGAAGCTTTTTTATATGTTTTTGATTGTTGCTTTATGTTGGTTATTATATTAATCATCCTCAAACTACACCCCGGCCGGTTAATTTTAAACGCTCGGCGGTTAGATGTTTTGAAGGAGGATTTGCCATTAGTATTAAGGTCAAGACTGAACCAGAGGCTTATCTAGTCCTATTTTGTAGCTACTTATTAAAATAATATATTTTTTAAATAATACTATAAGTACAGAGTCTAGTAATAAGTTTTTCCTGACTTAATTAATTGTTTTTTTTTATAATAGAAGAGTTATAAGCAGACATTTATGCTGCCCTTTTCACCTTATAATCGCCCAGTCTTAGGTTAAATGGAAAGTTCCGTCAATCGAGTCAAGGAGAGCTGGCGGTGGACCCTCCTTGAACTCACTGGCCAGTCACAAGTTTACGCATCGTATACGTATAAGCTAAGCCTGGCGAATGCGCGCCACCTGAAATATCTTCCCGAGATTGCGGCAAGACTTCTCCGTCTACCAACTTTCCAATCTAAATCCCAACAAACCAATCTACATTAGCCTAACGCAAACTTGCAGTCTGAAACCCAGCTGTCCAAAGACTGCGCACTTTTTTGCCACCTGACCGCCGTTTCCGGTACGGGTATGCGTAAACCACACAAAAAGTCTCGGCTCGGCTGTCAAACATGCAAAAGACGAAAGATCAAGGTTAGTTGTGTACCCTTAATCCGATCTCCTGTCCCCTGTAATGCCACACCGTGCCGTACTATGTGAGTCTGATCCCGCTGACTTATCAAGTGCGACGAGGTCAAACCGCAATGCGGGAAATGCGTTCAATTTGGCGTATGGTGCGACTTCTCTCCTCGACGACCAGGTCCCCAACCTTCTCTCAGTCCCCAGCCCGTCAATCAGTCACGGCGCCCGGGCCGTCCCAGGTCAGATTGGACGTCATGGGCCGAGCAGATCTGGGCTCACGCAGCCGAGTCCGCTACACCAACTCTGAGTACGAATACGATGGATCTTGAGCTTTCACACCTACATGACCAGAACTGCAAAGACTCTTAGCGACGGTAGCGGTTCCGAAACACTACTTTGGTCTGAAGGTGCGCCTCGAGTGGGATTTCAACACAACTGCATCCTCGAGCTCATACTCTCGTTATCATCATTTCATCTGGCGCGGGTCAAACCTAATGATGAGCAGCGATATTCATTAATTGCAGAAACACACTTGACGGCTGCGTTACAACCAGCGATGATATTGATTAGCAATCTTGATGGAGATAACAGTCCAGCTGCGTATCTCACATCGGTCCTGATATGCTTCGTCGCTCTCGCAAAAGGTCCAAGTCCCGGGAATCTTCTCCCAACCAACATTGAAGGACAAGTTTCGTGGCTTCATCTCCTTCGGGGTGTGCGTTTAGTTGTCGAGTCCGCTGGCTGGTCTTCAATATTCTCGGGTATGCTGGCAGAGTATGCTCCGAAACCTAGTAGCGATACGCCAGAACAAAACGCAACGACTAACCCAGCCTTAATGGTTGACGGCATCGAAAACTGGCACTGCTCTTTGAACGGAATCTCGAATCTAATTGCTCAGTTAGCGGAAGAAAAGTTGCGCGACGTTTACGATCGTGAGCTCCAGGCGCTCACTGCCTGTTTTGAAAGGACATTTTGCAAAGGGCAAGATGCTGCCTTGGATACAGCTGGTAAGCTTCAGGATGTCATAGGCTGGGTCTATCGGCTTGAAGATGAATACATGGAAGGGTTACGCCAAGGAGATCTTATATCAGCAGTCATTTTGGGACATTTCTGCGTCCTACTTCGGACAGTTGAGGCCCAGTTTTGGTTCATGCACGGATGGGCGGCCCATGTCATAGGGGAGATTCTTGTCATGTCCCCCGACGCTCGACAATGGCTCTCATGGCCAATTGCGTATCTGAACCAAGAGAAATAGCCCAATGATACCTAGATTCAGGGCGGGCTATGACAACTAGTAGCCGCTTCGTAACTACTGATATGGCCCAAGAGATGACCCTTACCCATGACGGAGGTTTTTCTCCAGAACCTTTTCGAAGTACCCACAATGCAAAGGTCGCGCATACTCTAACCAAGCACATCGAATCTGAAGTGCTTCGTGCGAGGGAGGAGGGGAGTCGCCCGGAGTATCGTTGACATTGACAGTCCCGACATCAAAATGGATAATAATGAAGGTCTATTAGAAAAGAAGATGGACTGCCAGCCCTGCCATGTCTTTAATTCCAGAAGGCAAACTTGACTTGCGAAGTTGTGATGGTCACGGTGTACCTTCAAGACGAACATGGACCAGTAAAGACGGCTACTTTCCAGAGTCTAATGTCTATGCTGCGTAGTATTCTGCCCTATTTAGGTCCAGTGCCCATGGCGTTGATCAAGATGAACGTCACTTGGTTTCGCAACGACTCTTGAAGCCATCCTGGTAGTCCCCTGATCAAAGAGGTCCACCACAAGTTTGAAGGCACAATGATCTGTGCGCCGAAGCCAGAAATGACCTGGTTGAAAATCCTATTAGCCACAACCTCAGGTGGTGTAACTGTATCCTTAAGTTTTCCCTTTGCGACCATCTCTGCAGTCATGGCCGTCCTAATCCAAGAGGGATGCACAACACTCGGAAGCGTCAGAAGGTGTTCCTGTATGACGAATAAGAAGAGACTTACCTGGTGCGAACGCGAGGGGCTTTGTAGATGTATCTCAGCTCCTGGCCAAGGCCTTCGTGGAAAGCTAGTAGGCCGAGCTTGGTGGAACCATAGGCCACATTAGTTGCTTGCGTGGCGAAAGATGCCTGGCTAGCAATGTTGACGATGTGGCCGTGATCCCGCTTAATCATGCTGGGGAGGCACTGCTCGGTTAGGAGGTAGGGAGCGAGGAGGTTTACATCAAAGAGTTTCCTTAGGTAAGACTCTGGCGAGTCTAGTATAGATGTCAATTCTGCGAACCCGGCATTGTTAATCAGAACGGTCGGATTGCCGTGGTCCTCTCTGATCTGATCAACAACTGAGGATATGGCTTCCGACTCCGTGAGGTCGACCTTGTAGAAGCACGTGTTTGCAGCTAAAGAATGTCAGTTGTTTGTTGACAGCACAGTATATCGCCATAACATGCGTGGCGACCTAAAAGGACTTACCCAGCTTTGTAGCAGGAGGGTTCCGATCCATGATCAGGACCTTGATACCCTTTTCAGCAAACCTTGAAACTATCGCAGCTCCAATTCCACTGCTTCCTCCGGTGACAACTACAATTTCACGGCTCCAATCCCACGAAGGGTCGCTGACATGATTCTTAACCTTCCTCTTGGTATACCAAGCATTCAAGTAACCCAAAGCCTTGAGGGCAAGAAGAAGTCCGGCAGAGAGTTGAACTTTTGGGTTTTTGGCCAGCTCAATGGCTTTGGACAGGATCTCTTGTTGTTGATACATAGCTATCAATGACGGAACTAGGAGCTATCTTGCTGGGTGATTGATATATAACGATTAAGGAAGAAATAAAAATACCTATGGTAGGAAAAAAACATTATTGAACAGGGATAATATCCTATAGATATACATCTCATCGGAAGCTAGATCGGCAACTTGGCCTATGCTTCCCTTACATTGTGACACCGGTTTTCCGGGGGAAGATAAGCAACACACAAGGTACGGCGAATTGCAATGAGTTCCAGGACAAAGTGAAGTATCTTCTTTGTCGCTCTAGTCCAACTTTGTCTAGATTGAAGCTTTCATCTTTCTCCCCTCACTCAGGAATTTGAGTTTGTGGGGCTATCCGAGGGCATGCCGAGGGACTACTTTCGAACCAAGGGACTCTCAGCCAATGTGAAGGTGAGAACGCAACAGCCCAATCTAAGTTGATGCCGAATAGAATACAGTATTTTGAGTGACATAAAGCCAACTGTAAAAGTAAGGATCTTATAGCTCAGCTTCTCGACTGCATGGAAAAAGCCAAGGGCTTTGCGCCTGTAAACGAGAACGAACGGCAGTTCTTCGACACAATCACACAAGGACTCGGAACCTTCCGTGTTGGCGACTATCTCCGTGATGCTCAGGGTCTTGGGCCGATTGGGCTGACTGATCTAGGGATCCGAGCCAGGACTAGATCGTGTCGACGGTGGCGTGCCCCTTGTAGCATCCCAGAGATGACACGGAAACCCTTGTCCTAAACCATGCTGTCGTCCCATCTTCTTCTCTCACAGTCCCCAGTTGTCGCTGTATCCGTCCCATATCTAGAGATGTAAAAAGACAATCATGGTTGTCAAATTATGATGCAATTGAAACATGTTGTTATGGTGTGTAGTGGGAAATGCGGCACTGTCCATTCCACCTCTCGCTACCTCAGCTATCTACAATCTACTCTAGCTCCTATACATTGATGCGATGACGCCAAACCAACTGCTCCTCACGAGCACTATAAGTCGAAGCCCCAAGAATAGCCCTCATCTGCTGCACACTCGTAAACAGAATCGGCCGCGCGATGAAAAACCGAATACCCTCGGTGCAAGGAGGACTCGTCAAGCTCCCCTCATAAGTCCAAAACTCATCAAAGTAATCAACACTCTCCAAAAGCAGCCTATGATTGAGCGTAGCCTCTTCACTAACGTCTGTTTCGTTGAAACCAATCATCTTTGGGAGTTGGCCAAAAAAGCTGCTGTCTTTGTTACCTGGGTCAAGACGAATAGCAAGGACAGCGCGTTCTTTTCCTTGGGCGTTGACGTGCACGAGATGGAGCTCGGCTCTGGAGCGGTGGCGTTCTACGGTGTGGTCGGCGGGGGCGTGGATGTGCCAGCCTTTGAGGTAAACAGTCTCGTTGTCGAAGCTGAAAGAGGGGTTCTGCGTCCAGATCTGATCTTCGTTCTGGACAGTGAATGCAGGTCCGTAGCCCCAGTTGAAGAAGTTGCCGGTGATTTCAGCAGGATAGTTCCATTCTTTGATCAGATGTTCCAGTGAGAGACCCTGCTTGAGGGCGATGGGGATGGGAGACTGTTGGGTACCATCTTGGCAAAGATGGTAGTCTAGATTGTGTTAGTCACTGTTTGCTGAGAATCTTGATGTGATGAACGTACCAGGGTTGAGACGACCCCAATTGTAAGAGAATTCATAAGCCCAGTCCGTTTGTCCAGGCTCGGCGCGAGGGTCAATGTGTCGCTTCTTGTGCTTGAGGGAGTAGTGATTATCATGCTTTGCGCAGGACAAGACGCTTGTGACGTACGTCGTCACGGCAAAAAGCTGAGAGACGCGCATTTTAATAATGAGATGGAGAACAAGTAAAAGAGATTGGTGAGGAGATGATTGACGAGATGTCGTCGCGATTATGGGTAATTTTATATCTAATTGCGACGGACACGAAAGACGCAGAATGCAGTCTAGCGTGGAATAATGTCACTGCCAAGGACGACAAAGCGAGGCGCAAGAAACCACAGACCACGCGCGGGGGTTTAGACTTGGACTTGGACCCCGCAGCAACGCAAATAAACTCTGCAAACTCTATCTCGAAGCCTATCGATAAACAAGATCCAAGTTTTTCACCCTGTAAATTACAATACTTCTCGATGGATTACCAATAATTGCTTGGCAACGTTTGTGAAACTTCCCATTCGTGGCCCACGTGGACGTTCTAGCCACAGCCCACGCTAATCTATGGGATTCTCCATGGGGTAATGCACTAAGGAATTAGGTTTTACAGTGGTCTGTCTTGGCGCTGGCAGTCTAGAATCATCCTTGTTTCTCCTAAACAGCGAGAGATAAGAAACTAAGTTCTGTCTGCTGATTTAAGCTCTTAGCCACGAGCCTTAACTGTAAATAACATATCTAGCTAATAACTTAGATATTATATTATAATAACTAACTAATTACTATAGCTAAAAGGCTAAAAACAGAAAAACCTAGATTATAACTCTTTAGCTGGCCTTGGAGGCATATAAGATGCTCCAATCCGTCGGCCAAGAAAGGTTAGCTTAACACCACAAATACCCCAGATCTTCAAGATGGAGAAGGTTGGAAAGAAGGTTCGGGGCAATCGGAAGGTGGTGGCGGAGTTGAGTTTATGAGTCAGTCACAAGGTTAGAAAATACACTTCGGGTTTAACACAATGGAGAGATAAGAAACAATGCGTGCTTAGCCAATGTTATTTGCAACTATCACGGGCCTAGTACTTGGTCCAGACTGTTGAACTGGCCGTGCAGCTAGTCATTCCCTTTTTTTCACTGATAATTTCCGCATGGAATCATCCGTAGTCTTGCAGGGATCTTTGAGATATCGCGTCTTCCTGGTTTCAGGGTAGCATCGGAAGACAAAGCCTCGGATTGATAGTTTAAGGTTTCGGCATCTCGTTGTATAGCTTGCCGAAACTTCCGAATCTGGGTTGTCTCCGAAGAGATGGCATTTTACATCTTCTTTCTTGATACAATTGGCACATTCGTCTTGGATGAGAAAGGATGAGCTTGGCCTACGACAGATTATCATGTGTTGCGAAAAAAGATAGCGTAATTCCTTGCGCTGATCTACCTGCGGCATTTGGTCATTGTCAGTTGCAAGATCATCACAAAGCCAAGAAACATGGTCCCAGCATCTTGGGAGCCTTTGACTACCCGAGACAGGCAGCTGCCGAATGTTGCTTACGACACGAGATTGGCTCATGGTCCTGAGCCTTGGGCGTAGCCTCTTGGCGCGTGAGATCAAACTAACTAAAAAGCGCAAAGACAGTTGCTTCCGCGCAGAAATAAATGCCGTCTTGGGAACGGTATAAGCCACAAGCAACGTCATTTCTGAGAAGCAGAGGTAATAGTATGGCAGCAAGTATGCGCTGATTAGTGAAGATTAGAGTTTCCTGAGTCAAGGATCAAGCTTGGCACCTAGGCCAGGTGCACATTGAAAATCACGTTTAGGTCGCCTCGTGACCAATGAAGGGAAGTTCCGTTTGGGATCGCTCGTAATTGAGAAATATCAGAGCAACGTCGGTCCGACATTTTCACGAAAAATTGCCTAGAAATTCATTTGGTCGGCAAATTTTATCAATTTGTCCGCACGATCGATCTTAGCCACTCCGTCAAAATAATGATTCATGATTCACGTTATAATTTGCTCGCTCAACTACCCTAGAGACGGATAAACGTGATTATCGATAAGAAGATAAGATAACTGGCCACGCCGGAGATGCTCTAGCTCTGATCTGATGCGTTTCTTCTTCAATAAATACTTCACTTTGATCCTATTCATTTACTTAGTTAGCAAATTTAATCTGTCGTTTATTCTATAACCCATAATCAAGCATAGTTTATAATTCCGGTTATAACCTGCAAATCTAAAGTATCCATAGCTATTATATCACCTGTACAGGATTGTGCATCGGGGCCCTGGCATAATTTCCTGGTAAATATAAGGATGTGGAGGTTAAGGAGAGACCTCGGCTTGTGCCTAAACTATCTCTTAGACTCTGTCTCATCAGGATGCGTACTAGTTCGCGGGCACTTCAATTCATGACCCTCGATGGTGACCTCAATATTTAGGTAGCTGCTAGAACCAAACAGCGCATCAATTTCCTCAAGAGATCTCCTTCTGGTTTCGACCCAAAAGAAAGCAACAAAGAGAACCTCCAAAATATTCCACGAGGCGTTTATGATATACATCTTCCACCCGATACTTTCAAGTGCGAAGGGCATAATAAATGTTGCAAAAACACTAATCATTCAGATTAGCAATAACTCCGCTGTGGACAGACACTGAAAAATAATTGGCAAGAAGCGTAAATGTAGACTGACCTTGCTGAGTTGGATGTGAATGTATAGATACTCATGCCATTTGCTCGGAGAGAAAAGTTCAGGACTTCTGTAGGATACATGACAAGGAGCGTTGTCCAGCCAAAACTATAGCCGCCTAGAACATGTAAACACACAACCTGCTGTGCGATAGTATTGCTTACCTTGAAAAAAGAATATGCAGGCAACCGTTCCATAAACAGCGCTCGTGTCAGTTGAAGAACCATACACTAAATACGCGGTCAGACTGGTTCAAACGATATTGCGATTCGCTTACTCTTAGTAAAGATTCCGACCAGATATAGGAAAATCAGAGCAAAAACTAAACTTCCAATACCAAGAGGCTTGCGTCCGATTTTATCCGCAAGTAGTGTTCCTGCCACTGCACAAGCGAAACACCACACATTGAGGGCGATGTTGATCTGTAATTGACTATATGTGTCAGTTACACCAGCTTGGCTAAGCATGGTTCCCAGCCAGTAGCTTTGCAGTAGTTAGTAGTCGAGCGAGTCTTGACATGACTGTTTACTCACGAGGCTATAGCGCTGCCACTTAGGTTTCCGATAATAGCAACTGATACAGCTAACATAACTCGCTTCCTGTTCGATGGTAATTTGATACCTTCAAGCCAGTTTTGAGAGGCAGGGTTCTCCTTCTCATAAGCAATAGTAGAACAAATCTGGTCGTAGGTACCCAGTACGTCATCGTCGGTGATATCGCCGTTTGCCATGGTGGCAGCCAGCACATGAAGTGCTTTTTCGTGCTCGCCTTGTGCAATGAGCCATCGCGGACTCTCGGGGATGAGAGGCAGCATTGCCAAGCATAGAAAACTTGGAATCACTTGAAAGAGGGAAGGCAATCGCCAGGACCAAGTGCTATCAATCTGAGACGTTCCGTAAGTAATGATAGCTGCAACCATACCTCCGAAATACCAGATATCGTAATAGAATCCTAGCATGAGCGGACGGTACTTGGTTGGGGCAACTTCAGACGCATATGTCGGACAAGCAATCGAGCTAAGTCCTACTCCGCACCCGAGAATGAATCGGCCGACGATGAACATGGCAATGTTCTGAGCCGCGCTCTGCAAGGCAATTCCGGTAAGTGAGATAACAGCAGCTAGTAGGATACCATTCTTCCGGCCGAATTTGTCAAGTAGAATACCTCCGAATGGTGAAACAGCTGCACTACCAACCCAGATGATAGTCGAGCTTGCCGCCATGGTCGCCGTACTTAAATGCATGTAATCAGAAAAGGATGGTAAAATCATCAATCCGTTCCTGTTGTTTTGTCAGTTAGAGCTTTCGAGGTGACGGATTTGGCTCACATCATGTTCCCATCATAGCCCAAGGTCTGCATTTGTTAGAAACCACCGTGGTACCGTAGTGAGGATGATATTACCATTGAGTTAACCAAAACAGAGACAAACACCACCAGATTAACGAGCGCGGACTTCTGAGGCACCAAGCGGCCAGGGGAGTTGGAGGATTCGTATGGTGTTTGCATCGCGATAATTATTTCCAAGTCAAGTTCTGAGTTGGTAAGAATATGAAAAGCACGATTCCCAAATCAACAAATGTCATCAAGAACTTATAGAGTCTCCGGAAACCAACCTGATTTTAGACCGAAATTTAGTCTCTATGGGATATCAGGAAAAGATGTGACTATTCATAATAGATAGGCATTCGGGACTGAGGGTCAGAATCTTGACACTTATGCTCGTTGGGTTTTCCGCAGTCTAGCAATAGTTCCACATCATCAACTAGCCCATTTCGAGTTAGAATTTACCGCATCTGACGCTCACCTTGCCTACTATGGTAAGGTTTTTCCGCACAATGGTGCCAGATACACTTTGCGCTTGGGCGGAATTATGCCTATCGATTAGAAACATTTCCCGCATTTAATTGTTCATGGCGTTGTGATAATGGAAGCCTCCAGTGTTAAGCCACTCTCGGAAATAGTTACATGATAGCTCAGCATTCATTACGATGTTTACTCTGATAAGCCAAGCTAGAGGGTGTTTCCTTTGTGCCACCCCCTTTTCCCGCATGACTTACTTTATTTGTAATGGCTTTTCCGCATTTACCGGCTATCAGCTCATGAAATGATATTTGAAACCTTTTGCGGCTTTTATTGCGCACTTGGGTATTGTACATGGAAATGCCGGGTTAGAGCTAGACTCCCCATGAAAAAGCCCCCCGGAGGGAACCCGTGATTCCAGGATATTGCCCCCTGTTGTCATATTACGGGATCCTTCTCGATACTAGTCCGAATACGTAAAACTTTGGATATATTACCGTCGCAAAATGGTTAAATAGATACCAGTAGCACAAAGCCTGTCCTAGGTGCATTGGGATTCACATCTTTGGCCCCCGTTTGTCCGGCCCTAAACAGTACTCTCACTCTTAGAAACCCCCTATAACGTTTGCACATATCGATTTTCCTCGGCATTCACAATGTATCCTGTCATCCCAAACGTCGAGCGAGCGTCGTGGCGGGAAGCCTCTGTATATCAGATCTACCCACCTTCTTTCAAAGATACCAATGGCGATGGTATAGGAGATATTAAAGGAATTATCTCAGAGCTTGACTATATCAAGTCGCTTGGTGTTGATATGGTATGGCTATCCCCCATTTTGGCATCTCCGCAGATTGATATGGGTTACGATATCTCTGACTATAAGAATATCTATCCGCCTTATGGTACCATGGCCGATCATGATGCTTTAATTAAAGGCCTCCATGACCGCGGTTTGAAGTATATCCTTGACCTTGTTGTGAACCATACATCGGATCAACATCCTTGGTTCAAAGAGTCCAAGTCTTCAAAGACAAGCAGATATCGCGACTGGTATTTCTGGCGGCCGGCTCGCTGGGATCCCGAAACCGGTAAACGGATGCCACCTAACAATTGGGAATCCTTTTTTAGTACAAGCGCTTGGACTTGGGACGCTACCACACAAGAATATTATCTTCACCTTTGGTCATCTGGACAGCCTGACTTGAACTGGGAAAATCCCGAGGTCGTCAATGCCGTGCACGATATCGTAAGATTCTGGCTTGATCGTGGCGTTGATGGGTTTCGAATGGATGTCATTAACTATATTTCGAAGACACCCGGCCTGCCCGACGCAAAGATCAAGAAGCCGGGCTTTTTGCAGAAGCCCACCGAGCATTGTGCTTGTGGACCACGGCTGCACGAATACCTACGTGGGATTGGATCGATACTCCAGGAATACGACGCATTTAGTGTCGGCGAGATGCCAGATGCAGATCCTGAAGAAGTTCTCAAAGCCGTGGGCCAGGATCGTGGAGAATTAGCTATGGCGTTTCATTTTGACATGTAAGTCAGATAACAGGATCTAGTCTTTTACAAGATCTCGGGCTAACACACACACAGAGATGGGCTTGACCTAGGTGCAAATCACAGATTTGATCCCGCCGTGTTCCAACCAACAGCATTAAAGAATGTAGTCAACAAGTGGCAAACATTCATGGCATCCAACGCAGGTTGGAACGCCCTGCATATGGAGAACCACGACGAGAGCCGAACAGTTAGTCGTTACGCTTGCGACTCTCCCGCCATGCGAACAATATCAGCCAAGATGCTAGCAAACCACCTTGCCTTCCAGTCTGGAACCCTTTTCATCTATCAGGGACAGGAACTTGCAATGGTTAATCTTCCCCGAGAATGGGGGATAGAGAAATACAAAGACATCGAATGTCTGAATCACTGGGAGTTGGTACAGCGTTATTTCCACGACGATGTAAAAAAGCAGAAGATGTATAGGGACAGATACCGACAGGTCGGACGTGACAACGCACGCACGCCCATGCAGTGGAACTCGGAGAGTCCATATGCTGGGTTCATGCCGATTGGGTCTAAGAAAGCTGAGCCCTGGATGTCTATCCACCCTGATTTTGCGACTTGGAACGTTTCCACGATGTTGGCCGATTCGCAGTCCAGCCTTCACCATTGGCGCCGGGTGCTCAAGTTTCGAAAGCAGCATTCCAACATATTTGTTTACGGAGGATTCGAAATGCTAAATATAGAAGTAGAAGAAGACGTCATTGCGTATATACGCACTGACAACACTGCTGGTGGGAGCCTAACTGGACCGACGGAGGCGCTGGTTGTGACCAGTTTTAGTGCCACTGATATCTGGTGGACCATTCCCCCCAAGGCAATAACTATTCTACTCAATGCGTCCACAGATTCAACAAAGCCCAATATCAATGTGAAGGGGCTGGTAGCCGCTTTGGGCAATTATGAGGGCGTGAACGAGTTGATGGTCAAGGATGGAATGGCTGCAATTAGGCTGAGGCCATACCAGACTTTGATTGCAATGGTATGATGGCAGCAAGGTACTGAATATGTAATTCCCGGCTAGAAACTGCAGCAAGTTTGTATGAGAAGATCTTCAGTACATGAATTATTCATTATTAGTGTTCGTCATGTGCTTTCACTTTCTGCGCCAGACTCAAGTATCGTCTCAACGGTTCATCGGTATGAAACCAGTACTCAATAATCTAGAGACAATAGAATCTAAAGTAATTGTGCCTTTATAGTTATGAATGAATTAATTAATTAGATAGGCAGTGAGGTATATGAGGGATTTTCAATACGCTCTGCTTATCTTATACTTTATGGTAGAGTAGTTATCCTAAATACAGTATAGTTCAGTACAGCTAGACATGCGTGAGGCGCGCTAAGAATGATCATCCCCGCTTGATAAATCACGAGATAAGGAATCATCAATTAACCTGCCGAAACGAGGAGGTGCGTTCAGCGTAACTATCAGTGCCGTCAAGTCAAGTGCCTACCAACTGACTATCTTGAATTATCTCATCGTCGTAAGCTAAACGTTGCATCCTTCAACTCCAATATATGAACATGTCCAAGAGGCAAGGGAGGCCGAAGCATGCTTGCACTCAATGCAAGTAAGTCTTGAGAAGCCACAAACCATAATCATACATTATTAATTCATCTAAATCGAGCAATAGGATACAAAAAAGAAAATGTCATTCTCAAGGCGAAACATCTTCATGTATAAGATGTCTCCGATTCAACCTCGAGTGCAATCTAAGTTCTGTCGACGAGCTTTCGAATGTGTTCAACGAAACAAGCATCGACAATGAAGGCCAGCTTCGCCTTCTACCTAGTCAAGAAATGTGCAATTCACTTGTTGATATATATTTTGATCTCATCCACGACAAGGACCATACCCTATTCCATAGGCCATCATTCATCAGAGCTCAACGTGAGGGACGGGCCGAAATGATGCATGTTCTCGCTATGATGGCACTTGCAGCTAGGTAGGTGTTGATCCAACGCCGAGAAGGGTCTGTTGTAATCATTACTAATCGACACAAATGTAGATTTGCTTCAGACCAATGGCACGGAGATTCCGAGCTTTGTGAGAGGCGTAAAGATTGGGCTGCACACAGTAAACGCCTATTCAACGACCGCACGGAGCCAGTATCGTTATCCGCCATCCAAGCTTGCATGTTACTATGTTGTATATCAGCATCAGAGGGTGAGACAGGAATGGAATCGCTTTATGGTGCGCAGGCGATCCGTATGATTCAATTGAGGAGATTACAGACTTCTCTGTCTACCAATAAGCTCCAACGAGAGACAGAGATTAGAGGTAAGATTCTATTAAGATTGCGCTGCTAAAAGTCAATTATCTAATTCATGACAGTATGGTGGAATGTGTGGATGTGGGATTGCTGGGAAAGTGCCGGATCTTGCATTAAGCAGCAGCTTACTATTGATCCTGACTTTCCCGTCCCCATGGAGGAACACGCCTTTGAACAACTGGATCCCGGTAGTGATCACTTGGACTTTATGATACAAAGCGATGAGGTTACATCTCGACAACACGGTCTCTGGGCACAGATGATCCCATTCACGGAAGTCGTGGCGCCAATTAACGAAATTCACGAGTTGACTGTTCAAAACCGTATCTCAGATGCTGAACTATTCGAAAAGATTGAGCGGATTGCAGACAAGCTTGAAACATGGAAGCTGAATCTTCCAAGTACATTGCATGTCACACCGACAAATCTCGCAGCATACAGTAGCACTGGCCTCGGCCGCACCCTGGTAGCTCTACACACAGGCTACCATCATTTCAGCCAACTCCTCTACTACCAATTCTTACATCAAAGTACCTCTACAGCGGCGGGGCGAAGTCCTCAAGTAGTTGAGTATGCAAGGCGTTGTCGCAGCCACGCCGCGGATCTGAGCAACCTCCTATCACGTGCAAACTCAACACCAGGCTGTGAATGCCGGTGGCTAATGGTTGGACATCTTCTTGCAGTTTCTTCGTCCATTCATCTGCACACTCTGCTGTTTGATGATGATGAGATTCAAATCAGAAACGTAAAGAAGATGCTTAGGCAAAACTTTGAAATGATGATGGAATTGCGCCAGTATTGGCCTGGTATTGACTTGGCTATTTCGCGACTACAAGTATTCCATCGGACATGCCAGCAGAGTATGGACACGGCGTTTGATATGGATTATTGGATGTTGCATTTTCTCCAACGCTTTGCAAAACCTATCAGCGATAGATATACAACCATACTACCAGAGATGGATCATCACGCCACGGGCTTGCCTGAAATTCATGGTAGTATCGGTGATAGTCAAGGTCAGGCTTTTGATTATAGGCCATGGCTTGATTTGAGTTAGGTTATAAATGTCGCTTAAGTAATGTCTAGATCAGTTTACTGTTGTATATTAAGAGCAAAGAAAGTCTAGTCTGGTTGTACTCTGTCATAAGATCCGTAGTTTTTTTGAAAATACGCTGGTAGACAAGAAGAAACCGCAAGACCCTCTGGTCTAATTTATGCTTGGCTGGTATCTCTACCGCGATATGTCCTGTGCTTTTGTTGTAAACCGGTATGGTTTATTGCCTATTAACACGCAGTAATTGTTTGATGCGATCCAAGATGCACAAGACTCATTCTATCATATGGTAGGTTTTAAGGCCTAATTATGCTACCCTAGAGACTGGCAAATGTGAACATCGATAAGAACAAAAGATCGTGACGCATTTGGGCATCACCTCGATAAACCAAGACCGCACCGGGGATGCTCTAGCTCTGATGTGTTCCCTTTCTAGATAAATCTCATCTTCAGCCTACTTCAATCCGAATGCCAACTACCCAAGCCAACGACCAACGCATTCTATACTTCACCCCAATTAGGCATAACTCATAATTCCAATTGCTCCCACCAATGTCAAGTCTCTACTCCGTATAACTACTGCGTCACCTGTACAGAATTCTGCATTGGGGCTCCGGGATAATTTCCCGGGGGATATTGCTGAGAGACTTGTCCCGTCATTTGAGGTGTCTGTGGCTGGGCTGGAAAGTATGACCCTTTGTTATCGTATTGGTACTGATTCACTGCTGAGCCAGTTGGGAGCGGAGTCGGTGGCATCTGATACTGCATGGTAGGTGCAGCCGGTACAGGTGGACTGGTCATGTCAGGCGGCTGAGGTTTAGGAGCCCAATCTTGAGGATTGTATGGCGCATGGGGAGCGTAAGTTGGTTGGTGCAGGGCAACGAAAGAGCTTCTTCGGTCAGCGGGTGCGGGCACTGGTGATTGCTGGCAAGTGCCAGTATGCTGTGGTGTTGCATAGCTGGGCTGCTGCTGATAATGCGGCTGAGCGGCCGGTGTAGGTGAAGGCTGATACCCAGTTTCATGCTGAACAACATGCTGCACTGGAGTGTGATAGACATTTCCTGGAGCAGCAGGCTGCGGCGTTGGCTGGTGCGAAATCGTGACAGCAGGCGGATATCCAGCTGGTGTTGCTGGGATAGTTGGAAAGTATCCCGCTTGAGGTGCACCAGCAATCTGTCCAGTTGGCTGCGGCAGCACTTGTTGAGGCGTATAGCCCTGAGTGCTGTCCTGTGGAGGTGTAGGCAACACCATATTTGGAACCTGTTGAACCTGTGGCTGTTGATACGGAGTTGGCGGTGCAGGGGTAGCAGGAGGAAGAGCCTGATGCATTGCAGTCATGTTGAAAGGCTGCGGTGTCATAGCAGGGTTATAGGGCGGAACTCCCGTCTGTTGTTGGTAGAGAGGCTGCGGCTGAGACTGCTGCATGTTGGGTGCTTGTGTGGTTTGAGGAGGGTATTGAACAGCTGGTGTAAGCGGCGGCGAGAACATCTGCGCGTTCACTGAAGGCATAGGTGATGGTGCACCGTATGTCGGGACTTGTTGCTGTGAGTAATCATACTGTTGCATTGGCTGCTGTCCAGTGACATGGGGCGTCAGATAAGTCTGGTTCTGTTGAGCTTGCTGATGGGCGAGTGGCGCCTTGAAGTCTTGAGGATACCCATTTGGGGTAGTATTGTAAGCTGGCAATCCAGGCGTCTGACTAACAACAGCATTGTACGGCGGCGGCGGCGGAACTGCTTGCGACGAACTCCCAGTAGCATAAAATTGCCCATTGTTCTGATGCGGCTGAATCGTATAACCAGCCTCAGCAGCCTTAGCATCCTGAACAGCTTGAAAAACACCTGCTTTCTGAAACGCCTTTCGCGCATCCTTCTTCTTCAGATGATCTGTATGCTTATGCTCAACCATCATCCCCGCGCCATCAAGCGCAGCATGCGACACAAGCTTGATAGCAGTCTCATTCGCCACGATCGACTGGATGCCGTGCTCTGCACCAGCAGTCGCAACAGCATCGGCGCCCATGCTTCCGACACCGAGGGTCACAACGCCGATCGTTCCGCTCACAGCCATACTTCCAAGGACATCGCGCTTTCGTGTTTTATGCGTCGCATTCAGTCGATTAAGATGCCGTTCGATGATCTCTCGTTTCTTTCGCGCGTTGTGAATTGCCGGTGCTGCCATCGCGACTCCAATGGTTGAGACACCGAGTGTGAGGGGTATAGCGCATCCCGACACCGCAGTCGACGTGGCAGCGCCTGAGATTAGGCGAGTGTAGTGCTCCCATTCTCGCTGTAGCTCCTCGAGCGTCAAGCCCTGGCATTTCTGGTCGTAGGCCTTGAAGTCAAAAGGCATTTTATCGTTGTTCGCGGTATAATCCGTCAAGAATTACAAGCAAAAGGCCAAGAGTGCCAAGAGCGGGTATTTGTGTACCGACGCATGGTTTCAGCTGGGAGTCCAAAATAGAACTGCAATGGTCTAGACCGTGGAGATAAGATCATTTCGGCGCCCTAAAGCCACGCGAGGCACATTCTCATAGAATTGGGCGTTAGTGAAGCAGAAGGTACAGGGGCTAAGTTGTTCTGGGGCTAGTGGGATGCAGTCGGGTTCAGCCGCACGAGGCATTTGCACCCGCTGAGTTAAGACAAGGCAGACATGCCCAATTGGAGGATCTGATCAAACGAATGGGGAACGGCTACGTTACATGCAGTCTCGGGAGAGAGGTTCGCACAGCTTACCAAAACGGTAAACAATTGGAACGTGTATCGTCTCGTGCATTTGTGGGTTCACGAGTTCCTGGAGTTACACGAGGACTACAGGTCTCAGGGCCTCCAAAAGTAGATAAATTGCCATATGGATACATAGATAACTATAGGCGAAGCAGTGCCACAAAAGCCGTCAAATCTGGTCTCCCAAGGGCCTTGCCGCGCAGCGAGATGTGCAGAATAATCAGCTATATAGGCTTTTCAAAAGGTGACTGCTCAGTCCGGAGTTTGAGAGATATAGGATTGATGGATAAAGAATTGCCTAGGACTTTACAGACGAGCGCGTCGTTGGACTAGTCCTGGCGACGCGAGCAAGACATCAAGAAGAAGCCGCTCCCAAGCAGGTGGATTTCAGATGGTGTATTGCGAACCCTCAACTTTAAAGCTGCAGTGTGGGATTTCAGCGAGCATAGCCGAGTGATCTGCTCATTTCAAATCACTTGTAACAGACTCTTCTCATCTCGGCTTCTCTGAACCGACACGGAAAGCTGGCCATAAGACACCTAGATATTTGTGTTGATCCTGGTTGTAGTGCAGGGATCAAGCCTATACATTGCGCAACATGGATAGGCAATAACTGTGAGGCTCATCCGCATTCTCGAGGTGAAGGCTAATAGTTGTAGCTGTATTAACTAATTAGGTATAGCCTTAAACCTTCTCTAGTACTAAGCTGCGAATAGGTTTTCCATATGTTGCAGTTCTTGAGCGAGACCACTTATCAAAGTTCACGGTGCAAGTTTTTCCAAACCCATTCGAATCATAATAGAAGGCCCATAGGCAGCGTGAGGACTTGGCGCACCTTGTTGCACAATCTGCCATGCTTTTAATATGAGAGCTTTGGCTTTTTCCTGGAAGGTATTGTCCCTGCCACTCATAGCAGTGCACTTGGTATTTTGCTCCACCTATGTTTCTAGTACCAGGAGTGCACGTCCACGGGCGGCACTTGCACATCTTTTTCTTCTGTTTGTTGCAATCATTGAGTTTGTCGCGACATTTCGGTGGACAGTCTTTTGTCTTTGTTTGGAGCGTCTTCTTGGTTGTTTTGAGGTCACTTTTGCACTGCCCAAGCTCCTTTTTATCTTGTACGTGTGCAGCATTGCAGGTATCGAGTCGCCTGGGGCACGTTTTATCCATCTTGTTGAGATCGCCATAGCACTGCTGAAGCTTGCCGGGGCATGTTTTGTCGATTCTGCTGAGATCGTCTTGGCACAGCTGGAGTTTGCCAGGGCAATCTTTATCGGACTGCCCTTGCTGCCCTTGGCAAGTTGTGAGTCCGGCCTGACATGTCCCAAGCTTTGTTTGACAGTCTCTGGCTTGATCAGAGCTGGACTTGGAGGTAGCCTGACATGTCCCAAGTTTTGTTTCACACGTTTCGACTCGATCAGAGTTGGTTTTGGACTCGGCCTGGCATTTATCGAGATCTTTTGCCTGTTCCGAGTCCATTGGAACAAATGATATTCTTCCTGTCTTGGTATCGAAAGAGTAGCATTCGCAGCGTCCACGCCCACGCACTGTATCAAACCTCCAAAGAGGCGACTGATTTGTGCACTTCTTGGCGCAATCATCGGGGCTGGCTGCACCTGCACTCGACAAAGGACCGAGTTCAGCGTCACAATGGACTCGATATTCTCGACCTCGGAAGGTGAGTGCCTTCTTGTCAGATGACGGACAGCAGGTCTGATATGTTCCCGTGGTGGAGTTGCATGTCTGTGCCACGACGAGAGAAAATTGAGTGGCCAAAAAGACCAGGTAAAATGGGAAGAAGAGGCGGCACATTTTGCCCATCGAACGAGAACGATAGTCCAGCGCAATGACTCGAGAGGTTTGCTTGTTTAATTTGGTAGCAAGAGGCCTGAAAGTCTACTGTATATCTTTATACGGCTTTTGCAGTAGCGCTTCCGGCACTGGATACCGGGATAGCCGCCGCTGAACCACCAGGAGCTGCAAAGAGGTAAATGCCCCCATGGGGTTTAGATTTACATCAGGAATCGGTCTTCGGCCACGACCTGAATAAATACGATGATCCACTGTGTTTCAATTCACCTGGTAGTAACCTCCCAACATCTTGATTTTCCTCCTTTAGTGTGTTTCTAGGCCATTCACCCCCTTTGCAGTTCACCATGGCCAAGTCCATCTTTTGGGTCATCTTCATGACCCTTTGCATCAATTCATGTCAAACTCAAGATATTCCCAACCAGCTACCAATCGCCGGTTCAGCAGATCCTGTTGCCAGCCCACAGCCTCTCAAACTTACCTGTAGTGGCTCCTGCAACGAGATTTCTCTTGACGATATCATCCCCTCCCGTGACTCCAAGGGCGACGTCAAGTGTTGTCCAGCCGGCACCTTTTTCAACGGCGTCAATTGCGCGGCCAAACCCACTACAGTCTGTCCCCCAAACACCAAGCTTGAAGCTGGGGCATGCGTCTCAGACCAGAAGCCATCTTGCCCCGCGGGCACGGTGCTGCAGGAAGGAAAATGTGTTTCTACCACTGAACCAAGCTGCTTATCTGGGGCTCGATTTGATGGCCACAGTTGCATTTCTAGTCAACCCCCTTCCTGTGAGCCTGGCTTTGAGTTCAACGGCGCCTCTTGCATTTCTGTCGGACGGCAGGTCTGCGACCCTGGGTACACGCTCCTAGGCAAATTGTGTGTCCATAACCTGCCTCCAAGCTGTCCTAGCGGTGAGAAGCTGGAAGAAGGATCTTGCACTCATTCCCAGCCACCCTCATGCCCAGACTCAATGACACTTGACGATGGCATTTGCACTCAAAAGCAGAGTCCATCTTGTCCTTCTGGCTTTGCATTTGATGAGCAGAGCAAGAGCTGTTCTCACCAAGACGGGCCTAGATGTCCCGCTGGATCAACCTTCAGTGGCTGTGTCTGCATCTCAGTCAATGGATCCCAGTGCAAGGAAGGTATCTTCAAGGGAGGTGTCTGCCAGGACCCTGACCCCCCAATGTGTCCCGGGATATCCAAATTGGTCGATGGCATCTGTGTGACTCCTATGGTCTGCCCATCCGACCTCCAGAAGTCGAAAGATCCAGTATCACAAAAGGAGCAATGCTGTTTGCCAGGGATGACCTGGGATGAGAGCAGTAAACTCTGTTTCAGCGCTCCCACCGGCTCAAACACATGTCCCCAAGAGACTACTCTTCAAAACGGAAAATGTGCCTTTGATCCTGGAGAGGCAGATTGTCCAGGCGGGTTCACATTCAACGGTTATAACTGTGGATTCAAAAGTCCTCCGGGATGTATGGATGGAGTTCCAAAGGGCGATGTATGTGTTTTGTCCGAAAAGCCAACTTTTCAAGCGGGTGCTTTCAACGGTACAGTCTGTCTTACGTCTGATACTCCGACCTGTTCCAATGGAGCTACTCTCTCGGGAGAAAGATGCGTGTCCACGGTACCCCCGACATGCGCAGATCAGATGATTCTGAGTGGAAGTGCGTGTACCAAGACCAGCAGCCCCGTCTGTCCTCCAGGCTCAAGCAATGTCGGTGGTCAGACCTGTGTAACTACAAGCACGCCCATCTGTGTCACTGGAACTCTCAAGGACGGTCACTGTATTGGTAGTAAAGGCCCAAGCTGCCCAGAGAATACTGTATTTGATGGAACAAACTGTGTTTCTCAGAATACACCAGCCTGCCTGGCGACGTTTACTTTTAACGGAACTGCTTGCGTTTCCCATGTCCTCCCATCATGTCCCCCAGACGCAGTCTTCGACGGGCAGGCGTGTCTTTATGGCCAACCTCCAAGCTGTCCTCCAGAAACACACCTCCAGGGAAACAACTGTGTCAGTGAGTCAAGACCGGCCTGCCCTGCGGACTTCATTTACTCCCCTGATGGATGTATTTCTGGCAAACTCCCAGAATGTCCCACGGATATGAGTCTACAGGGGGAGAAGTGTGTTGCTAGTAAGCCACCAACTTGTCTTGATGGCACGCAGCTCAGCAATGGCTCCTGCGTTGCAATCAATGGTCCAAATTGCCCACCTGGCAGCCAACTGCGCCTGGAAGGATGTGTCACCATCACGGTTCCATCCTGCCCTCATGGTTCATCTCTCCAAGATAACAAATGCGTTTCTAGCGATGGTCCGAAGTGTACACTTCCTCTTGTCGTCTCGGGGGATAAGTGTGTATCTCCTGAACCACCGGTTTGTCCTACGGGCACGACATTCTCTCTCGGAAAGTGTACACTGGCTGCAACTCATGGTTGTTATAGTATGCAGTTCTGTCCTCCGGTGTAAGGAATGAATTCTTCGTGTTCCTAGGCTACGAGTATAATGGGGTCTGAGATCTGGTGTTTTGCAAAGGCAATGTGCCTTGGGTAACGATTGGTAGTTCAGTGCTGCCCTCTATCTAGTTCTTTTTAACCATAGCTAAGTTCAATATTAAATCATCAGTCATGAAAGCAAAGTGTCGCTGAATTACAGTTTCTTTCGCGCAGCTATATCCGTGACTTGTGTTCTCGTGAAAGTGGCATGAATCTCTGTACTAAATATCCTATTGCGGAGTTCTGGCTTGATTCTACTCACTAGTGAGCGTCCATCGCTGTGCACTGAATAGTAGCGCAGATAGGAAGTACTTGGCCGGCGCGTGAATTCGTAACTTAATTTGCTCCCAGCCTACGTACCCGTGAGCATATCACATAGTACACCACTAAATGCACCATGTGACTGTACTGTATGCCCCGACCGTCAATGTTACTTTTCAGCTGCCTGCAGGCCGAAAACATTGCCATTATCAGCGGTGCGTTAGCTACATAGCGAGAGCTACATGATGCGTCAAAGCGGCCCGGCTACACCGGAACAAGGGTCCAGCCAGCCCCCGACGGAAGGATTTCTTATGCGATGCTTGTCATTTCCAAAACGGATTTTGTGGCCGGCTGACGTCCCTATTTTGTCATCAGACCATTTAGGACCCCTACTTACCCATGCGTCGAGAAGTCTCATTCGTTGGTATGTACGCAGACGAGCAACGCAACTGAGCTGAGTTCCCAAGCTAGAGTATGATAAGTCCTGCATATACGTCAAAGAGGTGCAGACGCTGCATGCCAAAGTCCCAATGCTTTTGCAAGCCCCATCCATCCATGACTGTTCAGATGCCTGCCTGTGTCCTCTACTGACCCCGCATTCTTGCCTTTTTATTTCCCCTACCCTGATATTAGGAAGATAACTGTTCTAGTCACATTATCACGAGTTCTATTCAATCGGCGTCGCCAACTCAAGGAGAGCCATCAGCCCAAGGAAACACTCGTCACTCAGAAGGTTTAGAGCTTATTGTTCTACGTTCCATCGTTCCCCGTTGCCCGTTATGAAGATCAAAATCGCCGTACTCATCACCTTGCATATCCTACCTGTGCTTTCCAAGTCCACAGGAGATCCAGATTACCAAATTCAATGTCCCAGTCTTCCACCCAATCAGCATGTCTCCCGTCTTCACTGCAAAATGGCCGATGGCTCTCTCATCCATGTTTATGGCCCAGGACCTTTCGACTGCGAAATGTTCTACGTCGCCGTCCGTCCCCAGACAGTCAAAGGCAACAAGAACCAAGATTTAGAAGAAACGTCAAACGGAGGTTCTGAAAATTGCGAGCTTCTTCTCATCAAGTTTACTGATGATGTTGTCCATCACGGTTGCTGTAAAGATGGAGTCGCTGTCTTTGCACCACAAGAGCATCATGTCCCGAGTCCACAACCTATAGATCCGATTGATGAGAGGCAAAAGCCTATACAGCACTTGCAGAAAGACGATCATATAATGGACGACAAGGTCCAGACTAAGAGCGAAGAAGGGCTCAACGAAGAAGATGATTATGATGACGATGGCGAAGGACCCGATGAGGGAGGGGAAGATTATGAGTATGACGATGACGATACAGAAGAGGAGAGCGAGGAGGATGAGGATGGAGATGAGGACTACGAAGATTATGGCGTTGATGAAGATATCAATGACGAAAATTCACCAGACTCTGGGGCTGGACAGGAGCCTGAAGCGCAACAGGACAATGAGTTCAAGGATCTTTAGCGAACTTGGCGAGGCTTTCAAGAGGCGAGCCTAGCTTTGCCAGGTTCTAACGCCCAAGACTAACTACATCGTCTAGTGGGCGCAAGGCTACAGGACCAAGTGTTGACTCAGTTAGCCCCTAGTCCCAAGCCAAGAGGTGAAATATTGAGTGGAATCTAATTCACAAGGATATTTGATGATCAAGCCTTTTTCCTTGGCCGTCTGTATCCAGTGTTTATGGTCTGTCGTCGAGTCACTCGAGTTCACAACTGGAGGTCTTACAGTGGAGTACTCAGTGAAGGATTTCCGCTAGTCTCAAATAGGCAATTATGCATTTCGACTCATACCTTTTTCAGTGGGCCCCCCACCTCTTCATAATCTCTATAAGAATAACCAACAGAACGCAAACCTTCCATTTCACAAACTCATCACTCCAAATGACTGCACTAAACACCACAAACATGGACGCCCTTGACATAGAACTAGATTTTGTCGGCCAGCAGCCAATGATGGTCAAGATCTATACCCAAATCAGCTTCTGCTTCCCAATCACCGACCCCTCCACGCACCCAGCAATCACCGCCACCCTTAAACGCGGCCTACACCGTCTCTCACAGAGCTTCCCCTGGGTAGCAGGCCAAGTCAAAGACGATGGTACCGGCGTCTTCAAGATCAGACCTTTCGAGGAGACTCCGAGACTGGTTGTCAAGGATCTTCGGGATGACCCCTCCGCACCGACGATGGAGGGCTTGAGAAAGGCAGAGTTCCCGATGAGCATGTTTGACGAGAACAAAATCGCTCCCAAGAAAACTCTCCCTTTTGGCCCTGACTACTCGCCTGATGATCCGTCGCCGGTCTTGATCTTTCAGCTGAATTTCATTGAGGGCGGGCTTATCTTCACTGTTAATGGGCAGCACGGGTGCATGGACATGACGGGTCAGGATGAGCTCATTCGACTTCTCTCCAAGGCATGTCGCGACGAAGCCTTCTCAGAACAAGAGATATCAACAATGAACCTTGACCGCAAGACCATTGTTCCGCCGCTGGAGAAATACGAACTCGGGCCTGAGCTGGATCATCAAATCATCAAACCCCCTCCAACCACTGATGCCCCGCCAACACCACCAAAAGCAAGCTGGGCTTTCTTCTCTTTCAGTCCACAAGCCCTCTCCGCACTCAAAGACAACGCGACACAGACGCTTGACGGGAAAACAGGTTTCATTTCGACAGACGATGCCCTCTCAGCGTTCATTTGGCAATCTGTCAGCCGTGCTCGTCTCGCGCGTCTAGACGATTCCACTTCGACTGAATTCTGTCGCGCCGTGGATGTGCGCACTCAACTGGACGTGCCAAAGAACTACCCCGGAATTCTCCAAAACATGGCCTACAGCGTCTCAAACGTCTCCCAAATCGCCAACGAGCCACTCGGTATCGTAGCTTCTCGCTTGCGATCTCAACTCGGTCGCGATGATCTCCGCAAACGAACACAAGCTCTGGTGACATACCTCCAGGACCAGGAAAACAGGGCAAAAGTATCTGTAACAGCTGACGCGAATCCGTCGACGGATATTATGTTGAGTTCATGGGCGAAGTTGAAGTGCTGGGATTATGACTTTGGACTTGGATTGGGAAAGCCAGAGAGTGTGAGAAGGCCACTATTCGAGCCGTTTGAGAGCTTGATGTATCTTATGCCCAAGCGAACAGATGGAGAAATCACCGCGGCAATATCATTGAGGGATGAGGATATGGAGAGATTGAAGGGTGATGAGGAGTGGAAGAAGTATGGGAAGTTCATTGGGTAGGAGGAGTTCGCGGGGTTCAATGCAACGTTTCGGCGGGGAAGCTAATGACTATTCGACATCATTCGAGCTTTATGCTTATTCTTGTTTGTAGAGTTGTATTTTGCGGAGACCATATGCAGATCTCGGACTGTTCTACTGATGAGCCGTGCTGCGATAGGTGCGGGAGATATTGGTGACGATCGTAGGGCTTGGCGTTTGCGGAAGATGAAAAGTAGAGCCGAGGCGATGGCCGATCGAAGAGATATAAGTTACCTTAATCGACACAATTATTGACATTGAAATACCCAAGCAAATTATGTGTCCCTTTGAGTTACATCATGGACTTGTCTGCTATGGGATTCCCAGGGTCGTTGCCCGATTGGAGTAACGTCAACATCCTCCACCGTAACACCCTCCCAGCCCGAGCCCATTTCTACTCCTACCCCAATCAAGAATCAGCCCTCTCCTTCAATCGTGAAGAAAGCTACTTCCAAAGTCTCAACGGAACGTGGAAATTCCACTATGACATCAGTCCCCTAGATGCACCAATCTGGGAAACAGCCAACACCAGTTCATGGGACGACATCCAAGTCCCAGGCATGTGGCAGCTCCAAGGCTACGGACATCCTCACTACACAAACATAGACTATCCCTTCTCCGTCACTCCTCCTAGTGTTTCATATGTCAATCCCACTGGTTCTTACTGGCGACAGTTTGAAGTACCGGAACAATGGGATGGTGATCAGATCAGACTGCGCTTTGAGGGCGTTGATAGTGCGTTTCATGTTTGGGTTAACGGTGAAGAGGTTGGGTATAGCCAGGGGAGCCGTAACCCGAGTGAGTTCGATATCACTGAGTATCTCACTCCCAACCAGGCGAATGATCTTGCGGTGAGGGTTTATCAGTGGTCTGATGGCTCTTATATCGAGGATCAGGATCAGTGGTGGCTCTCCGGTATTTTTCGCGACGTCTGCCTCATTCCGTTCTCTGAATCGTCCATCATTGACTTTCAAGTTGATTCTGAGCTTGGCGACTCTTTTGAAGAAGGGTTACTGAAAGTCAATGTGACTATTCAAGGGAAAGAGGGTGACCTTAATATCACCTTAATCTCGCCAAATGGATCGACCATTGACGAATGGGAAGGGTCATCTTCGGATGTTTACGAGAAGAAGCTCTCTGGAAACGACTTTCATATCTGGTCCGCTGAAACACCGAGCTTGTATACCTTGCTCATCACCTTCAATGGGCGGACCATCAGTCAGAAGGTTGGCCTGCGTCGCGTTGAGATTCAGGGTTCTAACTTTTTCGTCAATGGAAAGCCCATCATCATATACGGAGTCAACAGGCACGAGCATCATCATCTCACTGGTCGTACAATCAGTTATGAGAGTTTGCGAAAGGATCTCTTACTCATGAAGCGATCCAACATCAATGCAATTCGCACAGCCCATCAGCCTCCTCATCCTGACTTCTTTGACGTGGCCGATGAACTAGGTTTCTACCTCATTGCCGAATCTGACTTGGAGTGTCATGGCTTTGGCGGCATCGAAGAGACCGAGGAAAAAGCTGCCGAGTGGCTATCCAACAATCCTGATTGGGAGGAAGCATATGTTGATCGTGCTCGTCAGCTAGTTGAGCGATTCAAGAACCATGCTTCTGTTATTATCTGGTCTCTCGGTAATGAGTGCTTTTACGGTCGGAACCACGCTGCTATGAGCAAGTGGATCAAAGAGAGGGACCCAAGTCGGATTATTCACTACGAGCAAGACCGAAATGCTACATCGACGGATATGTACAGTCAGATGTACAGTACGCCTGACGATGTGAGAGACTTTATCAAGACACATAGCGATAAGCCAATCTTGCTGTGTGAATATGCCCAGTAGGTATTCTCTGACACTATATATGATCTTGAACTAACAGTGCTAGTGCCATGGGCAACGGACCAGGTGGTCTTGTAGAGTACATCGACCTCTTCAGATCTGAACCTTTGTCGCAAGGAGGCCTTGTCTGGGAGTGGAGCAACCACGGACTCCTTAAGAAAGAGGAGAATGTTACATACTACGCTTATGGCGGTGACTTTGGTGACGAGCCGAATGATGCCGACTTTATCATGGACGGTCTTGTGCTGTCTGATCATTCGCCCATGCCTTCGTTGAAGGAGTATGCCAAGGTCATCCAGCCTGTTTCAGTGAAGCTGGCAAAGAATGGAAGTGCGATGATTATAATCAACCACTATGACTTCTTGGATCTGAGTCATCTCGATGTTTCTTGGCATGTTGTCGCGGATGGTTTCAAGACTGACGCTCGTACACTTGACTTCCCCAGAGTACCTGCTGGAGAGAATAGGACAGTGGTACTGCCCTCGGGATCGAACATCACGCAGAGCGAAGCATGGGTCACGGTTGATTTCAGGCTTAAGAAAGCCAATCTCTGGGCACCTAAGGGCTATGTCATTGCATGGGACCAACTTCACATCCAGCGTCCCAGTATCAAGACCCGGGGTCTACCACTTATCCACAGTCAAGCCAATTCGGAGTTCGAGAAGAACGGAACCAAGCTTCTCTATAAGAGCGGCGGGGCTTCCTTTGGTTTCGACCTGTTACAGGGTAACGTGACGTGGAATATCAATGGTGTTGACATCTTCCAGCGCGGTCCTGAGCTCTCATTTTACCGCGCCTTAACACAGAACGACGCTGCGTCTTCTGGCGATGGACCAATTTGGGAGCAGGAAAAGATCCCAATGATCTACCCACAAGTACGAGATGTCACCTGGCGTGTCGACGATGATGGTGCAGTGGTGCATTACAAAGTCCGGATTGGCGTCAAAACTCGCGCTTGGGGCGTTGAAGCAGACATGATCTACAGGATCCCGACTGGCGGGCCTCAACTCCAACTGGAAGCTCGAGGTGAATTCGTCGGTAAGAATGAATCTCATGTCATCCCACGTATTGGTCTCATGGCAGTTCTACCCGAATCATTCGACAATGTGTCATGGTTCGGCCGAGGACCAGGAGAGAGTTATAAAGACTCTAAGCAAGGTTCCCGCATCGGGCAGTATAGCTCCAATGTGCCGGAGCTTTTTACATACTATGACTACCCTCAAGAGAACGGAAATCGGGAAGATTTGCGTTGGTTGAAGATTGGGAACAAGGAGGTTACACTTGACGCACGACGGACAAAGAGTGAGCCATTCAGCTTTACAGCTCGGAGGTATATGCCCTTTGATCTGGATGACGCACAGCACCCGCATGATTTGAAACCACTGAATATGACGGTTCTGCATCTTGATTACGACAACAATGGACTAGGATCAGCTACAGTGAGGGTGAGACCGTTTGAGAAGTACAGGTGCTACACCAAGCCATTCAACTTTACCTTCAACTTCAACATAGTCTAGTCCTACCAAACGCTCACATCAAGATGATTATGCGACTTCGGTCATGAGAATAATTGATTACTGAACCTTCTTCTCTGTCAAGGTGTCGCAGTACACGTGCATATCGGTGAGCAGTTTGGGTGACATTTCCAGTCACACAACTGCTACCATCATGCTTGATCCCCAACATAGTCGTTCCCAATTAGGAATACGATACGATGTGGTTTTCCGTAGGTCACTTGTCTGAGTGGGTCGCCACGGTAGCGCTGTGAGCACCGAGTTGACGATTAGTGATCAACAATTAGTGATCAAAACGGACGACCCGAGACCGGAGGGAATTATAATCAGCCAAGACGGTTATTACAAAACCCTCCGGTAGCATATCAACTTTGTAATCTTCCTCGGAACGTGTTTGGAATAACACCGATATACATAAGTATCTACACTTGGAGATGTCATGCATGAATCCTACCCTCTAACTTCACAGAATACAGGCATCTCATCAAACTCTATCAAGACACAATTAAACCCTATTTTCTCACTGCAACGGCAATGTCTCATCGCATCTTTGTTATCGGAGCCACAGGCGCTCAAGGTCTCCCTGTCTGTCGCGGCCTGACCAAAGACGGAGCCTACAGTCTACGGGTCCTCACTCGTGATGCCAATTCGCAGCGCGCTAAGCAATTGGCAGAATTAGGCGACGTTGAGTTCATCGAGGGCTCATTCGCTAATGAAGACAATCTACGAAAGGGTTATGAAGGCTGCTGGGGCGCCTTTGTTAACATTGACGGCTTTAACACCGGTGAAAAGACAGAAACGTACTGGACTATCCGCGCTTACGAATTGGCAATTGAGTCTGGGATCAAGTTCTTTGTTTTTGGAAACCTGGATTATGGGTATAAGAAGAGTGGCTATGACCCCAAGTTCCGGTGTGGCCATTATGATGGAAAGGGTCGTATGGCGGAGTGGATGTTGACCCAGAAAAAGACTCACAACATGGGCACTGCCATCTTCACTACGGGCCCATATATCGAGATGGCTATCTCGGCGCAGACGGTCATGACTCCACGCATTGTTGAGGGCGTCGTCACCTGGGCCGTTCCCCTTGCCGACGGAGCTATTCCTCATGTCGCCCTCGATGACTGCGAGCACTACGTCCGCTGGCTATTCGACAACCCCGAGAGATCCGACGGACTCGATCTCGAGGTTGCAATCGATCACATCAACTACCACGACCTAGCAAAGGCTTTCCAGAAGGTCACGGGCAAGCCTGCCCAATTCATCGACATCCCGGTGGAGACTTACTTTGAGCACATACCATGGGCTGCCACCGTTCCGTCTGGATATAACGCCGATCTCAATGATCCTGCGACCATGACATTTAAGCAAAACTTTACTGGTTTCTGGAACATGTGGAGGCACTCCGGTGGCAATAAGGGCGTTGTTCAGAGAGATTATAAGCTTTTGGATGAGATTCACCCGAATAGGATCAAGACCGCTGAAGAGTTCTTCCGTAGAGAAGAAGAGAAGCGTAAGGCGCAGGGGCTACCGGGTATTTTTGAGACAATTGAGAGTGGAAATCTCGGTATGATCCTCAAGTTGAGTGAGGACGGTAGAAAGGGCAAGTTGTAGGTGGTTTATTGCCTTCAAACATCACAGTTGGACATAACTATTACCATACGTATGGATTCTATAACAATATGTAGAATTCAACTGGGTGGTGACTCTGCGATACAATTAGGGCCACATATCGTATATCACTGCCTGTCTTGCAAATATCTAACGATGTTTCGTGTAAAGCCAATCCGTGCCGGGCCTCCTTTCTAATTCAATACCATGTGACTTCCGAGTCCTCCTTGTTCACCAGGGTAAGCCAATTCTAACATAAAAAGGAAATGCCATCACAGCTTGTGACTGACATTTATCGGTGAAGACTTCCGGCACGTTGCCGTGGCACTCCGCGCCGAGCCTCGCTCTCTCGCCTTTCTAGGCCCCAGTCCTCAACCTTTGAGTCCTCTGGCAGGATTGGCTTTCCACCAAGACTGGCCAAAACGGTTTTGTTAGTTGCAGTGAAGTCATCCAGAATCTGGAGCTCTTTTAGTGTGAACCATCGCGGAATGACGAGAATACGAAGAGGAATCATGAGAATGATTAGGACTGGAAATCCAATGGCTGCAATGGTATGTGATATAGCAACGCAGACTGCGACACCGATGAACTGCAATGCGATATACAAAGAAACCTTTCGTCGGCGTACTCGAATGATCGGTTCGTCGCGCTGAATAAAGCGTTGCTCTGACTGGAGATAGATGAACTTCTGGAGGATGCCATTTGATTCGATAGATCCCCACTGACAAGATTGTCAGTATCACTTGCGCGGACGATAGGGAACGAGTGGATAGCTGAAGAGCACTTACGCCAACAACAAAGAAGACACCAGCAAATACCGCGGCCGGCATGAGGTGCAGCACAACTAGTAGAGGCCCTGTCATAGTTCCTACCAACCCTAGCCCCATCAAGAAATGTGACACACGCTGTTCAACCACCGCCGTGGCTCGTACAATCGGGCGGCGTATTTCTTGATCCTCTCCTCCAGACGTTGGAATGATCTGAAGGTCAGTTTCGTAGATAGTCAAAGAGTCGGTATGAACGGGCGCCTGTCGCAGTTAGCGGAGAAAGCATAAAAATGTGCGAAAAGGTTTGCTGTACCTGTGGAACAAGACCATTGGGCATGGGTAGGCCGAGAATACCAGACAAGAAAGTCGTACAACCCAGAAGGAAAAAGTCCCAATGGAATCCACCAGGCTTCTTGAGGGGATACTGTCTAGCCTGGGCCGTGATGCTGCTGACATTCTGTAGAGGCTATCAGTAGGTCGAGAGAGTCCTGGAGGAGAACTACACTCACGTGGTCATAGTAGAACAAAAGCATTGTTAAAAAACCGAATGGCATGGCTACAAACACCCATCCGACTTCCAGGTTCCAGAAGTCAATGAGCCAACTTCTCGACTGAGTGGGATAGAAGGCTTTGGTGACAGGCACCCGCTCAATGTGCGTTGACTTGATATTGCCAGGGAAGTGAGAAAAGCCAACCCAGAATATAGTTCCGAACTGACTGTGTTAGCCATCCACATTCCGATCGTGTTCAGGGAAGAACTGACCACGTAAGCATAGTCTGCGAGTATTGTACGGAAACTTGGCTTCCAGATCGTGCTCGAGCCTATTTTCTCAAGACCGTAGACAGTGCCAAAGTAGAGAATGGCAATCAGGCAAGCCAAGTACCCTGCTCCCTGACCGCCTTTGTCAAACTCATTGACAAGCTCCTCGACACCCTTAACTACACGGATAATTAGCTTCCCCATACAACAAAGGGTGTGAAAAAACCTACTGATGTATATAATACCGACATACATGCCAAACGACTCGCTAGAAAAGTCCGTCACGTAGCGCATGTAATCGCACACGTTGAAGATAGCAGCTAGCCAGTGAAAGATGGCCGCCCAGATTCCCGTCCACGCCATGAACTGGGGGTATATGGAAATATCGTACATGCTGATAATGTCGTAGATAGTGAAGTTAAACAGTGAGATTAGACCAGTGACGCCGACGATGGTGAGCGGCTGGGCGCTGAATAGGCTGAAGACAATGGCTGCCATGGCGGAAGAGAACAGAGCTTCGTTGATGCCGAAGAATTGGCCTGTTCGGCGATACATATCGAGAGTATAGGCTATAGCAGGGAGGAGACTGTGAAAGGCGCAAGGGTTAGTAGAATGTGTACGCATATCGGGACGACATACTTGACAAAGTACATTCGGATTGTACTGGCGACTGTTCTGTAGGTAAAGGCGTCGGTGATATCACTCGGGTAGTAGGGAAGTCTTCGCTTAACATCATGGTACATTCCTCTACCGGGATGGAAGATTCGCCATCGCCTCCATCCGCGTCTGGCATCGCAGGAGTACGACAAGTTTGACTTTTCTTTGCTGAGTGCAGGCGATTCACCCTCCTCAATTTGGCTCGACATGTTGATAGACAGTAAGACTGACTGTGCAAGGGCCGCTGGGTCCGAAAACGAGAATGGGGAAGTTGTTCGGGGCTGGTAGGTTGGCCTCTTTATAAGACTCAGGGACTGGGTGCAGGATTTCCCTCTGGTTCTGGCTCAATGGGGGCAAGCAGAGATTGGCGCCCCTGCCAGTCCAAGACATCATCCAGTGGGGCGGCTCTTTGCCCGGCTTGGGCAGAACCTTTGCACAATTTCACAGGTATCAACGGTTACAGGCGATATATCCGCGGGAAGGCAAATCTAGAACGAGTGGCGAGAAGTAATTGCGTTACATTAGCAGAATGTCAACTGGCAATTGCAGTTTATGACCTTGAAGCTTGGTATATTGCTATGAGGGCGATAAATTCAGATTCTCCGGTCCGTTTCTCTTGACGATACTGTTATTATTTTGTCCATGATCACTGAGCGATGACGTCTTGGCCGGGCACTTTCTTACCCAATCACAATCGAGAACCAACCACCCTACCACCTTTAGTCAGTGGCGCTAGATGGATTATCTGCCCGGGCAGAATTCTCCTCCAACATTTACATGCGCCCATCATTTTCCCTACAGTGATATCGACAATGTTGGGTGACGAAACATACCATCTTCCAGAAATTGTCCAGTTGGATATCCTAGAGAAACTGAACACATCACTCTCAGGGATTCCATGGGCCAAGTTCGATAATCCGATACTATGCTTTGAAGCGTTCATCCAAGATAGGAATGATCGCGATCTAGAGGGCGGCACTTTTGATACCAGCGACCGGCCTCACCATGTTTTGTCGGTACGTCGCTTGTACTCATACAACTCGGAACCAAGACTGATGCCCCTAAGCATCAAATCTTACTCCGTCCCACCACATCATCACAAGCATCGTCTCACACTAATGTGAATGACGAGTCACACTCTCAAACAGAGGAATATCATCATTCTACCACAGCCTCAAACAACGGTGAAGCCCACCATCCTTCAGCGGCTCCGAGACCATCGCGTAAGCGTCGTCAAGGTGGTCTACGCCCTGCCATGGCCACTGCTCAAATTGACGAAAGCCTGGAAGTCCCGCGTCAAATGCAGATCCGCGCCGGGAATTTCCCAAAGAGGGTAAAGTTGAAACCAGACGGTGTTTTCCTCCCCCGAGACTCATCTCTGGGCAAATTCATCATTGGCGTATGGGAGCAGATACACTCGGGCCTTGTCCTGGAACCCCATATTCTCACCGAGCAGCTTCAGCTCACTGCCGCCCATACAAGCCCCACGAATGAACTGTCACCTGATCTTTCTGTAGCGGGGCTCTCAGAAGGCTCGTTCGATATGTTCACGCGAGGAAACATGTTTTGCCAAAGAGTCACCCAGGCCAGTCGGACATGTCGCTCCATCGAAGTCATCGTCCAAGCGCGGTGGATCGAGCTTTTCGATTCTTACGTTCTACATCTCACTACCGCAAGCCCTGGAATCTCGCCTACCAAAGCGCGCATGAAAGCGTTAGCTGAAGCATGTAGCGACTTTGGCTGGAGTGAAAAAGAGCTACGGAACAAAATGGCGATATGGCGAGGCTACAAAGAGATCAAGGATGTGCTGGGCTGGGTGGCTCTCGTCTTCTCTGGAATGGGCCTGTATCGTCTTTGCAAATACCGCATCGACTTTGATAAGGATAAATTCGTTCGAGCACGAGCTTTGAGGGGACGAATGGAAGTCGCGGCGGATACTTTGCACCGTAACTGGCGTCAACTCCTGGCCATTGTTGGGGAACCTACGGAGCGACGATTTACTGGGCATCCTCACGACTGGGTTGTCTACCAAGATGGATCTGATCCTGTCCCCCTCCGATCAACTTATCTGCAGTATGACCCAAATTTCAGCTTCGAACATGTTGACGAATGTGTTATTGACAGCACGTGGTGGGGAGCTGACGATCCTCGCTGGATGCCACCGACTTCTCGCGCTTCATCCATTGCAAATGGAAATAACTGCGTATTATGCGATCAAGTCCAATCGGATGACGCCGTACTCAACTCATGCAAATGCTTCTCAAGCCTATTCAGCGGACCGAGACTACCACCCGCTGTGCAAATCTTCAGAACCTCCAACGGTCGCAACAACGGCCTCCAAGCCCTCGTCCCCTTCGAGAGAGGCGTCGCCATTGGTGAGTTCACAGGGCTCGTAACGAAAGGCATCAAAGACCAAGACGTGCTGGATAGCAAGGTCGGTGACAGACGGTACCAGATATGGCAGGGGAGGCAAGGCAACTTTACAAGGTTTGTGAACCATAGCTGCAAGCCGAATGCGCAGTTCGAGAAGTTTACGTGGCTGGGGACAGAGCATATCTTGCTGGTGAGCAACGGCATCGAGGCTGGCCTGGAGATTACGGTAGACTACTCTGGAAGCTACTGGAGAGGGCTAGATAAGAAGTGTCTTTGTGGTGAAGTTTGCTGTAGGTATAAAGGAAGCGATAACAAGCGATAGAATAGGGCCCTCGATTACCAGATACTGGTAGGCTGGTAGGATCCACTGCCATGCCTCCCACCTTGTTTTCGAAGGGAAATAAGATTTAATGAGCGCTCCAAGACGCATGCAGTCAGTTAGGGCCCCTACATGGAATCATGAGTCTCCAGGGCGATGAGGTCCGCCTGCTTCGGCTAAACGTTGATTCAAACTTTTCATTCAAGCGTGTTCTACTTAGCGATTCAACCCGACCACCATTTGTCGCGCTATCCTATGTCTGGGCCGACTTGAATGACACTATGCAACTCCGTGTGTCGGGTCAGGCTATCACAGCGACTAGCAACCTTCATCATATCCTTGACAGTCTTTTGGCATCTCAGGTTGCGATGGTGGGAGACATTTACTCAGATGCAAAAAACGTGCTGGCCTTCCCATCGCCACAATCAGAACCCTTCAACTTGGGACTCGACTACATAGAAGCGACCGCTCGGGACTTAAAACGATATTAAGAAATGGCAAGAGATGGCTAAGACATACGCAAGAAAAACCCAAGTCCCCCTCAAGTAAATCCGTCAACTTATTCGCATTCCTCTTCAATCTTTCTCAGCTCAGACAACCAATATTCTATGGCCGATCCATAACGGGGTGTCTCTGTCTCTCCAGGTATTTCAGGTCCTACTTTATTCCATACCACTCCGATCTCCTCAGCTGCGAGCTTTTCATCCATTGATAAGTCGCTACCTTCAAGGTGACATAGAACGCCACTCATTCGTCCAGCCCAAGTCCGCTGCCAGAAGTTGATAATATCACGAACCCATTTGGTTGGATCTTGAAGGATGGCAGTCAAGCTTGCTTCGAACTCATGCAAGAGATCTTCTAGCAGCGCCAACGTATGCCATTGATCATCTTCAGGCCCATCCTCGCTACCATCATGATCCACGGCACAACAAGAATGCCGAAGTCCTAAAGCGGTGAAAGTGATGTACCGAAGAGCCTTATAGTGATGGCTTTCCCCAAGATAGCATGAGAAGTGCTTGAGATATGTGATAAAGCTATGAATCAGGTTCAATAGAGACTTTTCAAATAGGATAGTGCGTTCCAAGGGCTCATTGCCATCGAATGCGTGCTTCCCTAAGTCGGCAGTGTTTCTTAAAAAACTGGGTTCTGGAATTTGATATTGCCAAGGTTCAACTCCAAAGTTGGGTAATAGCCCTTGTAATAAGAACTTCATTAGACAGCAGCCCCCGGTAGAGCAAAGGCAAACGCATTCATCCGGAATACCAGCCGTAAATACCGCCACATGGGTTTCGTGGAGCCAGCCTATATTGGATTCCACTGAGCGTCCCGCTCCTGGCAACGGTAGATTACGCTTCTCGGACTCTGCAATGTAATGGCCCAAGGTCGCGAATATAAGACGAACCCCATGGATATCACTTGATGAGGATAGGGGGAGTTGACAGGTGATGCCGCCGTGGCTGGCCAACCAATGAAGATATGAGAGGTCTGGCCACGGAGGCGTATGCCAAGGCTCCATTTGAGCCTCGGAGTGCCATGACCGGGTGTCTCGGAAACCAACTCTAAAAAATAGATCGGCATCTTCGGGTAGATCAAGTTGTTGGTAGATGGTTCCTTGATCTGGGAACGATTCGTTTTCCAAAATGCCAAGGGCTGCAGGGATCTCGATATTGTTCGCTTGCAAGAGCAAAGAGACTTCGAAGGCATTAGAATCGAGAGCGCTTTCCGAGTCTAACCCTATATGTTGTATATCCATTGTGGATAGACTATCTGTAGCAAGCTGCTTCAGTCGATCCCGGCGGTCCTTCATATGACGCACGTAGCTCTGCTTGCACCTTTTGGAAGCGGAATCGAGTAGAGTCTGTAGCCCCCATGGTGTCACAACAGCGCAATCAGCTTCGAGGAGAACAAGAGCGCATTCGGCGCATGTGCAACGCTTACACATCCGGCTACTTTCTCTGCATTTCAATCCACTTAGGGAGACAGCAACTTCTAAGGCAGAACGACCCGATAGATCTCTCTGGTTGAGGAGGCCTGTGTCTGCAGCATCCACCAGAACTTGGAGAATCGAGGCCTTGTTTGCAGCCAAATGGAGGGGAGTCTGCCCGAAGAGAGTTCGCTCGGATAGGGCGCCGGGATGGTTTGCTATTAAAGATTTGACTTCTGCCAGGTTATTCGACAGAATAGCTAGACTCAGTGGTCCACAGCCATAAGCTACATATATAGAGAATATTAGTCAGAAATATAGGTATCGCTCACTAACAAGTATATGTATACCGACCTCTAGCGATTTCGGTTGAGTGAGATAGGAAGTATAACTGGACCGCTTCACCTTGTGCCACGATTTCCTGTCCCAACTCATTGACAATCATCGCTGGGCTTGCTGGATCTGCACTTGATAGATGAGCTAATGCATCCTCGTTGTTTGATCGCAGTATGAGATTTGTAGATGCAGCATACTGTGGGTGATCGACATTGCCATATACACCACCGTACGTAAACAGTATACTGAGAGGCGTTCTGAACAACGAATGTCAACCAACTTCTAGTCCACCAATTAAAGCTATAGACCATCAACATACCGGCCGTCTGTATTGTAGTCCATCGCTGGGGCCTTGTTCATGATCAAATATTCGAAAAGATCAATTAACGGGCTGGAGTGGTCAAGGTTTCTCCGTATTCGCCACAGGCTATCGCTATTATAGTGAGAACCTATCTGTTGACTTGGTTAGGATTTGCTGGACTACTCAGTAGATCAGATGTTACCCACAACTTCGGCCACATGGTAGACTAAAGACTGGTTAAAGTCATCGACTGCTCGAGGGGACGCCTGCTTAGATTGATACAAACTTAATATTGAGGACACCACAGAGGGTACCAGCTCTTCCTGGAACTCCTTGGCGTACAGTTTTATACCGTGCCCTGAGTGATACCGCTCACTGTGACAGCGTTTCAATAGAGAGATCATTCTAAAAGCTGGTGCAGATTTCGAGTCAACAATAGGATAGTAGGTGAAAGTAGGGCTGAGACTAGATCCTCCTGCCCCCGATCGAATCGTAAATAAGAGCTGGACAGCTACGTTTAGTAAAGACCGAAGCCCAACGTATGTCAAACCAAGATTCTCGCTCCGAATTACTTCTGGTACTGCTTGAGACGCTGGGCACCTGGATGCATGCTGTTCAGTCGTTGTCTCGTGAGAAAAACTCAGGGAGCCCCAGACAACAATTTGGCGCTGGAAGTGCCGATGGTGGCCACATAGACACGAGAAGCGACCTCTGGTATATCTTGACACAGAAGTGGTTTCTTCAGCCGCATTTCCATGCGGGACTGATGTTTTCTCTTTTGACTCACATCCCTCTTGAGTTTTGACAGTATCACACATTTCTTGTAATACTGCTGGCTTCCTGAGAAGCCGTTCAGTCACCATCACAGGAGTGATCTAGAATCTACGTCAGTATTTATTACTCAACAGCGTCAGTGTATACCGATGCTTACTTCTTGCAGCGTTCCGTTGATGGTAGAGCCTTGGACCAGGAGCTGTTGAAGCAGGTTCTCAAGACCGTCAAAGCGGGTCTCAAATTGGGATACGGTGCTTTGTATGCCTTGGATAGGAGTGCTGATGGCGGAGACCTCAGACCTCACCACCAGAAGATCGCTAGATATAGTGTGCGAAGTCGCTTGGAGCGTGGCTAACTTCTCAGACCCCAAATGTGATACAGAACTAGCAACTTCTCAGAAAAAGAATATTTATAAGGACCTGATTATGAGATATACTTACAGGCCTAGACTTTGCAATCCCAACTGGAGGGTTGCATTGATGTGATGTAATTTGGTCGCCATTTGCTCGAGCTTTGGGCGATGGAACGGATATAACAGCTTTTTGCCCTTGTTCCGAGCTTTGGTCCTTCGACCCGTTGTACCTTGATCGTCCGTAATGAGCGCAGCGTTCATACTCTCCAAAGCCTTCAGTTCCTCGTTGCATGAGTCTAAAAATTGTCGCAAAGCCTCGGTCGCTGTTCTATGGTCACTCTGAAACCGGGAGATTGACGATTCGATGATTCGAAGCGTCTTCCTCAGCGCGTCGTTCTGCTGTATTATGGAGGAGATGTCTTGGTCGCGAGATTTCAGCGAGTCAAGGTAATCTGTGATGCCCCCAGTGACTTGAAGGCCTAGTGATACGACGGCCAAGGCCAACCCGGTGACGGAAAGAGGGTCAGTCATGGCCAAATAGGTAATATTAGCCCAAAGAAGCTTTAGGACGACAAGGTTGCTAGATTGAAGATTATGGGGAAACGGGATCTTGGACCAAATCTAGGACTTTGCTGACTGCATATTGGTGCCTGATCAGGCTCTCATCGCACCCTGTACGTACTCATTTAATTAACCATGTTAATAAGCAGGTTACACAAATTACATAAACTTATAAGATACGCTGCCCTATGTTGTCTGAAAGTCTAACGTAACGATCTAGAGTAGATATAAGGTAAATTGGAGTCACTCATCTGACGAAAAACGCTTCACGAAAGCCTATGTAATAACAGCGCTGTCCCAACTTTGACTTTAAATATTGGCAGTCCAAAGCCCATATGGTAGACAGCTATGCCTCATCTCAAGTTGATTCTAACGGTTTTGAGTTGATATATGCCTTCTATGGACCCAGAGCAATTCAAGGTACTAATTCGTAGGCTATTTGCCTTTTGTGGCGCTATCTCATGTCTGGGGCGATTGGAGTGACATTGTGTGTACTATGGACTTTTGGAGTGTGTAGCCCGATATGTGTGCCCTAGAACTTGGGTATTTGCGCCCGGAGCATGAATATCTAAATCGTAATAAAATCATCCCTTTTCTATCTGATGTTTTAACGGTCGCTTTTTTGCTCGATCCTTTCTTGCATAATTATAATACTAGCTAGATTAAAAAGATAAATAGAAATAGCACTATGGTAGACCACGATCGTCAACTGTCTGCACTAACCGGGTCCCTCTGGTGCTATATGTTACTGTTTCTCTGAGCCCGCCTATAGTTGCGGTCACCGGGTTACGTACCAGCCTGTGGCTAGTGATAGGTATAGGCATGGAACCTGGGAGCTGGGACATCCAAGATGAAAACATAGCACGTGAGCTATCGTCGAAGTGGCTTCGTAGCGTTCGACTAGATCGTGCAATCGCTCGCGTTGCCGCATCGACCATGGCAGCTTCTTCAAGCAGAAGAAGAATGACTTCTCTGAGCTCATCAGACTCCAACCCAACCCGTCTTCGATAGCCCGTGTATAGCCTGACGGCTGCATCCAGGGGGGTGACATTTCCAAGAGAGGCGCAGGTTGCGTTCATTTCAATGGTCCCTTTCGTTGAGTCCAAACGTATCAAGGTCTCGATCGCTGGGATTCTTGGAGTGACATAACGCTTCTTACTAAGTCCCCATATAGCTGCCAGAAGCGGTGTTCCCAAAGACGAATCATTTGAGATATACCTCAAGTTTGCGCCGAATTCGTGCAGTGCCTCGATGACCTCATCCAGGCCATGAAATGCAGCATAGTGTAGTGGCGTTGGGAGATCCATTCTCCCAATTATTTGTGACTGATCTGACGATGTGTCAATCCTGAGAGCTTCGCAAATTCCTTCTGAGTCTGGATGTAGTGCCAAAGAACAATCTAAATCTGAGTGAATAGATATGGCTTGACCATGATCTCCTTCTTATGACCACTGATACCATCAAGGCCTGCTGACGGACTGCGTCTGAAGTCAATGGGGTTATAGAATGTTGCAATGCCGGTGGCAGGGTCGAGAAATGCTCGAATCCAGTCATTGTTGTCCCCAATTTCAATCTGTTCCTGTTGAAACACTGCATCTGGGCAATCGACCTTACAAGTTATCCGCGCCACCTTAGCCGTGAGGATTTTGCCAACATGGAAGGAAACAAGATATCCCGGTGCAAACTTTGCTGAAACGATAAAGTCAAGATCTTGCTTCTTCCATTCTCCGAAACCTGATAGTGGAACCTGTAGTACTTCTGACGTAAGATCCAGTATCTCTACGTTCTGGGGGGTAAAGATACTGAGAGGTATGACTGATAGGAATAAAAACGCCAATGTCGTAGTGATAGGGCTACTTTGTAGCCTCTCCGGTGAATGGTGGTCCCAGTGTTGAGCAAGATGCATTCTTTGCCAGTGCGCAGTATACTTATTGCGGACAGAAATTTTTGAGAGTTCATCACAAAATAACCCCTTACTTACACAGTAGCTTAGATGATGCAACCAATGTTGGATCGAGTAGCTTCTCAATTCTCGAAGCCTATAACCGACCCTCTCGATTAGCTTTGGCATATGTCTAGTCCCTTTTGGCAGATCAAATGATTCCAACAGGAGTATGCATGCCTGTCCGAGCACAAGGCAGCCTTTGAGGAGATGGATGGAGTACATCGGGTCGTCCAATAGAGTTCGAATGGAGCTCGAAACAGTTTTGTGAGCAAACGCAACACGGCCGTTCCGATATTCAAGTAGCCCCCCTGTTATTGCGTCGCATTGACGACGCAGAGAGTTGATCTCCTTTTCGGTTAGGAAGCCTTCTCCAGGGTTGAGTATGAAAGCGAACTCGCGGAGTGTGAAGCTCCTCTTTCCAAACTCTACCACGCCAAGCAAGCGTAAGGCCAATTCACGGTGTTTCTTTTGTTTCTTCAATATCTCGAGATAAAGCTCTGTTATCTCGTCGGGTAGATTATCCAGACAACAGAGGAGTTTATCGGCATCATCTCCCACTCCAGATATGTAGGTTTGAACAACATCACGGCTGGCCAACTTGACCCACGGGAAAAGTCCATTAGCCCTCGCCGATATGCTTTTTATTAACCTTGCTCTACTAGAGCCGTCCAGAAGGTTGGAGAGCCTGGATATCTCCGCTGTAGCAAACATGGTAATGTCGTTTTGAGTACGATCCTCGAGCTTTAGGATAGCCTCTTCTAAGGCAAGGGTTGCGCCAAACGAGCATAAGAATTCCTGCTCTGCGCGGCTAGAGATACATATGCGGACCTTTTTGCTGGCGGTCCCAGCAAGCTTCTGACACACGTCGGCCAGCTCAAGTAAGTCGCCAGGGTAACCGTCAAGGCCGTCCAAGAAGATCCATAACGGGCGGCTATGGTTTTGCGCCAATACCTGAAGCAGGATGTCGTATAGAACACTCGGCTTCCAGTCCAATGTTGATCGGGACTGCTTCATGTCTTGAAAGTGATGCAGCACTGAGTCGAAATATCGATGTTCTTTTCGAAGTATCTGCCAAAGCAAAGCTCGAGCGATCCCCTCCAGTGTAGATCCAGTCGGATTTTGGGCTTGCCGTCCGAGGAAATATGACGCGACGATGGGGTTCTTTCTCAGGCCTTTTTTCCTGATTTCTTCCGGTGGCGTGTTGGTGATGTACTTCAACAGCGTCGACTTCCCAGATAAGGCTCGCCCAGTTATCCAATACGGACCACTCCCGCTTTTCAACCAGTCGACAAATTTGCACCGCTCGCTGTTCCAGATCCATGAAAAAGTCCCCGCGAGGGGTGGACCAATGCTTTCTTCGCGGGATTCCAAGCTATCGAAATAGAGGCAGCGGAGACACTCTGATGTACAGTATTGTGTGAGTTGAATCTCTGTGAATTACTCGATCCGGGTCGTACCTTGCTCCAGCTCCCCCAGCTGTGAAACCGTCGCTCTCGTGTCTTTCGCCCAACGGATCAGCTCTCCTGCCACCGCTTCGTATCTCTTGTCATGGCAGCTAGTGTATTTAGTCATGCCCTAGTATGTAAGCCAGAGACAACATGGACAAGAGGAATTCCCCACCTTATGATCAGCGTGAATACCGTAGCTAGGGTACCCGGGAAGTATGGCAGAGCTACACTCTACAATCTGATAAGAGTTTTAATGTCGAATCTTACAAGCAGATTCCAGTTCTGGACTCACCATATCAATGCTGGGTGATGCAAGCTCCTCGTAGAAGCACGTAATGCTTATCGGTCGATTCTTGGCCTGTCTAAGTCTCAAGATCTCGTGGAAATGTGTTGGATTGTAGCCAACATTTCTGAATCGCGCTCGAGGACCTCTATAATGTTCTTGTTGGGACTGGACATTAGGCTTACTACAGCCGTGCAATAGCCACCCCAGCGAGCTTTGTTTGATCCGAAGTGTGGTGTACCCATGAATAGTAACCCGACTGTGCTTGATTCCAGACTGTTAAGATGTACGTCTGGGCTTGAACGTGATAGATCCAGTGCATTCTGAACCACTAGCCCTCCAAGGCCGTGCATGACGAATACCAAGGCTAGGCCTTCTGTGTTGGTCTTCTCTCGCAGGCGCACGACTGATCCCAAGAGATTCTGGGCGTGGTTGCCAATGCTGTTTCGTGATGCTGGACTCCACCAATGCAGGACAGCTGCATCATAACCGAAACTTAGTATTCGCGCATCAGGGATGTCGACTTTGAGAAGGTCGCTAGGCTAATGAAGTCCACTATCCTGGCCGTAGTGCCATGTGCCAAAGGAATTGCCTCTCAACCCATGAACGAAAACAATGTCGACAATCGGCGCTAAGCCTGACGGAGGCTCATACAAAACATTCACCCCCAGATTGGATCCTTTTTGGATTTTCCTCTCATTCAAATACTTTTCTGACTCAAGCAAGTTATCTTCCAGAACGGTGTTGGGTAGACTTTGGGCACTCGTGATAGCCGTTGGGCGCTGAAACGGGACGCTCTGGGTCGGGACATGTCTGTCATCTGCCCCCTGATTTTCATTCTGTGAGCTTGCCTGATTCGTGTTTTTAAAACGGTGGATTTTTCGAAAAGCCTTGCGAAGCATTCTTTCAATCTGCTTAATAATTAGGACTATATTACGGCCAAGAACACTTCAGGAGAGGGGAAGAGTGAATGGTGCAGATTGCGATAATCTCAACACTTGCACATAAGGCATAGTCCTGTGCGGGGGTGGTGGCTTACCAGATGCAGAAGGGCGTTCTTAAATCTGTAGTCGCCATCCTCCTCGCGCCAAGGCGCCACAGGCTACATACAAGCTGGGACAAACCACAAAGAATTCTATTCTGTACTGTGATTATATAGAAATATATATGGCACTGAGATATGTCTTGGCGTAAGTAAGGCTTTTATCGCTAATTATCTAAACAGGCAAATGTCTGTATTTAGAGTCCTCAAATGCTAAGTCTTTTTCAAACCGTATGGCATTCACTTACGATTGTGTGTGAGTAAATGAGACAAATATTATGTCATTGGCTGAAAAGACGTATTGTATTGGCTGATAGTGGACCACTTGTAGCTCGCCACGACAGGTGCTGCGCCATGGCGCTGGTCATTTTTCCCTATGTTTAGTGGACTTCAATCTAAGTTATGCTAACTGCCGGGCGCGAGGAGCCTCGCCGTCAGCGACTTGCAAGTTCCAGCCCAGGCGACTGCTGTCTCATCGGTATGTAACATAGGCTTTCCGAATGGCCATCGGACATAAGCAGGTAGCTTCGAAGTCAGAGTTCAAAGCAGCCTATTATCATGATCAAGGCGGGACATCCTCATCCCACTTCAACCCAATTTTACAGCTACTGCCTTCATCTCAAAACGATTTTCGTACATCTATAGTCATCCATCTTAAATAGAGGCCGCTAGTCTTGTTATCGGCAGTGTGAGATTTGCTGGTCTCTTTGCAACTGTCTCAAATGCTTCGAATATGTCCAGCTTGGTCGAAATTTCGGCTGAGCGAGACTGGCTTGGCGCTGTCCTGAAGCGAAGCTTGGTCCCCTCAATCTGAGACTATTGGCCTTTGATGCTCGTGTCGGTGGTTGGTCCGAAGAGGACGTCAATAAATTGATTGAAACCGCTGAGACGGGTCATCTCCTCTTTGTGAGGGGGCTAAGCGGACATCGAAAGGATTCTGCAGCTCGCAGTAGGACTCCGAGATACAGAAAGCACGGACCTTAATAATGAGATCAGGTCCACTCACATGAAGATCATGGACCTGGTCTCAAACGGCGGAACCGGACCAGGCTTACGAAGAAGGCATTTTAACTGACTAACCGAAGACATAAGTTCTCCCACTAGAGAGCCGGTGAAGATTTTTCAAGCTGCCCAGGAGACCTAGAAGCAGCACAAGCTTGAAAAAGCAGAATATCTCAAGGGTGGGAAACGTACCGCTGCCTTGCAAGAGGCAAACAACGGTGAGGACAAGCCCATAAATGTATCGGTCGCACAATCCACGGCTAGTCAACCCACAGGCAACACTCAAGCCAGATATGGAGATGAAGTTAAAGGCAATAGCAATCCAGAAGGATCGGAAAGCGCTTATGGAGAAAAAATGTCAGAAGGGTGTGCTGTAGGATACTATGGAGATCGCTATGAAGCTTCCCGAGAGCATAACTCTATCTTTAACGCTGTACTTAAGTTCTAGTAAATGGCGATAGATGTTTCTGAATTGATGTATCAGAGTGCCATAGATATGTAACTCGCAGTTAATACTTGTGTTAGCGAGTTAATATGCTATGTAGAACTTACCGTATTTTTTATATATTTTCTTTGTATTCTTCTGCAGGTTTCGAGTTAATCTGACTAAATGTATTTCTAATACTGTGAAGGTGCCTCTGTAATAACTAAACTCTGTAGACTAATAACCATTCTTATCCCAATCCTTACTTTGTGTTATGTGTATCTGCGCCTGTCGAATAGCCATTTCGGCTATAACAGCGATAATAAAATGCCACCACACAATCGGCAAGCCAGCCACGCGATAATAAAATGCCACCACACAATCGGCAAGCCAGCCACGAGAGCTTGAAAAGATGGAGAAAACAACATAAGCGAGAATGAGTTTACTTCTATATAATTCGAAGCTAGTATTAGAGTATGTGCTATAAGATAAAGAGGAAATTTTAGTCGGTACTTATCCATCTACCTTCTTATGATCTTGAACTTAACCTAGAGCAGTGAAGAAGTGCCTCGGCTATACATATCCTTGATCGGGCCCATACATAGACAAGCGAGCCGCTCTCATTGGCATGCTCGCATTTTGAAACACCTAGCCCCCAAAGAGGTCAAGCTTACCCGTCGATCCCAACTGTCTTCACAATTGCCGAGCCTTCTGAGCAAGGATGCTATTCCTACCAGCGCCGAACCCGCCGAAAAACCTCAAGCGAAAACCGCATTCCTTAAAAGCAGGCCCAGAATCCTCCAACGCGTCTAGACCACCACATCATTGGCGTCCTCGTTTAACAATTCCCCGTTGTGCTTACGCCAAGCAAGCATCATCGGCTCGAAACATGCGACAAGTGCACTGCAAGGTAAAGACAGGCTGTCTAACATGCAAGTAAGCAGAATCTCAAATCTCTGAAACACTAGTTCCCGCCTCTAACGAGATTTCGTTCTAGAATTCGAAGAGTCAAATGTGATGAGAAAAAGCCCGCTTGTCATCGTTGCACAAGCACTGGTCGGAAATGCGACGGCTACGCGCTTATGCAGAAGATCAACCCGCGAGATGTGGCGAATGGTCGGATGCTTTTGCCGCGTGTGTCTACTATCGATTCGCAAGCCCTGCTCCCCGTCGAGGAACGGAGGGCGCTGGGGTATTTTCACAGTGTTATTTCGCCGCGGTTGTCGAGCGCTAGGGATGGCTACTTCTGGACCCATCTTGTGATGCAGCTCAGCGAGTCAGAGGCCGTCGTGAAACATACCATCTTATCGATAAGCTCGTTGTTTGAATCGTCCGAGGGGAAGAGTGTGGCGCCGTACACGGAGAGATTCGCGTTGCAGCATTACACACAGGCCATTCAGCGTCTCAAGACGATTCACAGTGAACCTCTTGTGTTACTCGTTTGCATCTTGTTCATCTGCGTCGAGTACCTTCTTGCCAATAACAAGATTGCACTACAACACTGCCAACATGGTCTTGCGATTATGGAAAAATGCAGCAATCCTTGGGCTAGACGGTATTTAATGCCTGTCTTCAGACGCATGACCGCTGTGCCCATGCTTTTTGGCCCCGAGGACATTGAGAGCGAAAGCATGCCAGCCTTGACATACATGATACCGACCAAATTCTATTGCATGGAAGACGCACAGTACGTGATGGACGATATCTTCAACCGAGTGGTGCGACTCTGCCACATGAGACATCGCGGGGTCGTCTTCGACATGACAGAGGAGTACAACACCGTCGGCACCCATCTTCAGACCTGGCAAACACTATTCGAAAGGCTCCAAGTCGATACGACCTCTCTATTATATCAAGCTCAAGAAAGATCACTATTTATGCGTCTCAAACTTTCTTACCTCGAGTTAAGTGCCGACTTCCGACATGAGGAGCACATGGGGACATTTCGCCAGGTGCTCCAACTAGCGAGCTGGCAGAGTGAAAGGTCTACTAAACAGTCTAGCTTTGAACTCGCATATACGCCAATGCTCTTCTTTACAATACTGAAGTGCCCCGATTTGAGTATTCGACTTCCTGCGGTGCGGTTGATGAAGAAATTGGGTTCGCCGACGGAGGGTATTTGCGAGAACCTACAGATGTTGACGACGAGTCGTGGGATAATTCGTCAAGAACATGGAGTGGAGATAGTAGACATTGGCAGTTGATTGGGTAGTTGAATGTTCTGCAATGATGATGAATATATTAATTTAATCGTTAATCAGGCCATACAGGCCGAGGCTATGTTGGATATCATTGGTCCGCCTACGAAGCACAGACATTGCTACCAACATCGGCACTTATAACCGTTGAGTTGAATTAAAATTTCGGGATATGGCTTGTAATATGAATGCGTCAAAACTCAATATCTCGTTCCCGAGACCACCCCCTACCTGTCAAGCCTTATAAGGTTCAACGGTCCCGCTGTCATCTTAAAAAAATACAACGTCTGAAAAGCTATTTATACCGCATCTGTCATTGTTTTCTCCCTATAGTATCACTTCTCACCCCATTAATTCTTTTCTACGGCTTACCCCAAGTCTCTCATTCAAAATGAAGTTCTTCACTCTTACCATTCTCGCCATGGTCTCAGGCGCCTTGGCAATGCCCGTTGCTGCTCCAGACATCAACTACGCAGGATTGGAGGGCGCCAAAAACACGCACGCTGGTCCCTTTAAACCTCGTCCTTGCTTGCCTAGTGAGCAATGTCGTGGAAAGAACTGAGATTGCAGCATTACGTTTCGAGTAAGTTTACTGTGAGGAATTGCGAGCATTTCTGATGCTGACTAAAGTGATTAGGCCGACAATACGATGGTCGTACCGTATCAGGACCTACCTATAGGCTATAAAAATGGATATAAAACATTCTTATCATAGTGTGACAGAAGGTGCCACAAAGTTTGTTTAGTTCTTGTCCACTTTTAGGTGTGACTACCATTCTCCTGTACTACTTATCTATATACACTCAATGGACTTTATCTCGTCCAATTTTGGTGATGCAAGATGTGCTTGAACTAGCAGCATGTAAATATAATTGCATTATATCGCTTTAGATTAATACCCTTCGAGTGATGACTATCATGGCCGTATATTTCCATGTATAGCCGACGTCTCACACTAATCACCTAAGCAGCAAGATATGTATAAAACAGCCTGGAGATTCCAGTTGCCCAAATATTATTCACACAGTCGTATTGATAAAATTTCCCGATAGCTGCCCAGACTCTTCTGCCTTGTTTGGTCCCACTTCCAAGTGATGAACCGATATCCTGCCCCTTGATATTTACTTGAGTGATGCCCAAAAGCCTCAAAAACTAATGACGGACCGTCCAACCGATTGCGGAGATCCCGCCATGGGACCGACTAGGCAAGAAGATCTAGACTCCTCTGATCTCGGAAACGATCCATTGCGCTTTGTCTTCCATGAGGCGGCTGGTCGTCAGCCCTAGACTGTTATATTGCGCTAAGAATTAGACTATTGGACGGCAGCGGGGGAATATCCCCAGATAGTCGGGATAGCGCCTGCGAGGAACTAAAACCAGCCATTCATGGCTAAGGAGACGCCATGCATGTCCTGTGTGGAGACCGATAGTGTGAAACTCTCAATCGCGCTATCTACGATCTCGCGAACAGGCCGTTCTCTTTGGGTACATGAATGTTGTCCATCGGTTAGTCGTTTATGGTACGCTGACGTGCTAATATTGCCCAAAGCGGTGCACCCGGGATTCTATTGACACATGCAGATTTTGTGGCTGGCTGCAAAGGATCTATTGAGCGTAAGGATATCAGCCGCACATCCCGTCCCATGATCTCCGGCGCATGCCGCCTATCTTCCCCCTCAATCCTCGTTGAAATCCGACTTTACAAACAACCGACCCGTCTCCGTATGATGAACCTGCACATTATCCAACTCCAAGACATTAAAGTCGATCAGACAACTCCTCGTCTCAAGGCCTTTCGGCGTAGGCGAGCGCACATCGTAATCCCCAACAGCAAGGTAGAAGCGGTTCAGCGGTTGGATCTGATACTCCGCCCCAGGCGCAGGTCTAAAGGTAGCAAATGGTCCGAAGTAGCGTGATAGCTTCTTGAACAGTGATACGCCGACGACAAAGTCCCCTAGCGCATGTTAGCAGGGGATGAATGAGGGGTTGGGATCTAGACTTGCCCGCACGTGCTTGACTATGCGTAAACTCGCTGCTGGTTCGAATACAGAAACATCCTTCGTGGCCGGTGGGCACAATATCAGGTCTGTTTGCGAAATTGGGTGTTCCTCTCTTGATGACTAGCTCCAGCGTCGTACCCGCTACCAACGTCTGATCATCTGCCTTATGCCCAACCTCAACCGGTCTCGAATCCAGTACTTCGACTGTAGTCTCGACTGTAGACTCACCACCGTAGCTTGTGCCACAGACGGCGTAGAAGGGAGACTTGGGAAGCGTAAAGTACGCTTGCCCAGAGGCACTAGCTACGCCTCGCAGGACTAGGATGATGTTGTTGCTGATCACTGGTATACCCGGGGTGATCTTTGGCGTATCAGCGAACAGGGCGTAGCTCTGAGTGCTCCCTGTGGAGTTTGTGATTGTTATGTTGCGCGGCTTGTCATTCGTGGACCATGACGAAGAGGGAGCCACGTGCGTGTCTAGAAGAGGTCTTTTCATATTGAGGGATTGCTGTAGATGGAAAGAGGAGATCCTGCAGATTGAGAGGAAACGAACCAAAGTTGACTAAATGAGGGGTTAGACTGCGGTTAATACGAGGCAGATAGTCTGTTCACTAGCTCAAGGGATATGCAGTTTTCAGCTTCGCGCTTAAAAATATTTGTCCTCCACTTTGGGTATAGTTAGCAATGGTTTGAACTAGTTTGCAACCAATTCCGCCAGCCACCTCTGATTTATTGTGTCTGGACCGCCTTCAGATCAATGATACCTTACACCAGTTCGGTCTCATAAGTCTCCGTAGATGGTCAGAAAGTAGTATAAAAGGGCATTTCCGTTTCCCACATTTAGGAATCTCCATATTCTGAGTTTCAGTCATAACTAAAGCTTCCTTCTTCATTATCACCCTGCTAAGCAACAGCAACAATGGGCAACAAATACACCATCCGCATTAATAACAACACGGGAAGTTCCCAAAACTACAACCTCGTAGCTGACAAGCCTGAGGTGACTGGCACCTCCAATAGCAACGTTTGGACAAACGTTTACCAGTCAAGTGAGGGCTGCCCCGACGGAGGCCAGACCGAGTTCGAGATCTGGAAGACCTACTATGGTATTGTCGGCTCCTGGAGGGGCAGCCCCAAAGAGGGCACTAAAGTTCAAATCGCCCAGGCAAAGCCAGTGACGCTTGGCTCACAGTCTGACGATGGCAGTCAGAACCCAGGCACGACTCTGAGCACCGTAGTTGTTGGTGGGCGGTCCATCTCGTTTGATAGATCGCAGCCACCGCAGTCTGCGTTCATCAATGCCTTTGAGATCGATACCGGCAACGACTTCACGCTTCAGACGGCCACTGAGAGTGAGTACTAAACCCCTCCCACCTCGAAATACAAGCAGCTGACTATGAACTTTAGATAACTTCTTGGTCGGCGTGGCTGGTTCGCCCGATGGCTCTAGCAGTGTTCCCATCGCTACTTTCAGACCTGAGCCCGGCAATCAGTACCAGATCAAGCCATCTAACGCCTTCTACATCTCCGTTGGTCAGAGCTTGCAAGTCGGTCAGCTGGTGGATGTCGCTAGGATGAGAAATTCGCTGCGCATCGACTTTGCCAACAGCGGACCCAACATCACCATCAACCATGCGCCAACTGGTCAGCTTGTTATTGCCAAGTAAAAAGTTTCCTTGGAAGATGGAGCGAGGAAAGTTAGACAGGATGAGATTCTAGACTTACCTTTACATATACTTATCTATCTATGCTAAGAACTGCAAATAGTGGTTTAGGCCAGACTATTACTAAAGTCTCTGTTATTATAGATATAAGCTTAAATACACTACTCAAGTACTATGTATAAGTACATCTTCACCTATAGTTGTATAATCACTGACCTCAACAATAGCAGTATCCCAGCGCCCCCAAGATGTCATACCTTTCGTGGCCTCCCTGGGAACAAGGCTGTCTAGGAACCCGCGGAATACCAGCTTTGGAATTGCATCACCAGGCCTACTCACAAGGAATCCAGAGATTCGAGGCTCTATTACATTCCAAAACCCAGAGATTCGAGGCTTTATTCCATTCCAGTACCATTTCTTGTCTTCAATATGCCATTCAGCCTCATCATCGCTCTGATCAGTTGATTGACATGTAGACCGATCCTTTCCAACGGTGCGTCGATGCATGGACGTTTGAAGAGTTCTTAGGCCTGCCCAACGAGCCTCTTTCTTGTTCACACAAGCGTGGTCCGATGTTGTGAAACACAGATCTGTTAACACAACAAACGAGGTTGACCACTCCTTGTCTTCAAGCACTTCGCACCAATTATGCTTAGACCGGTAAATTTTGACGCAAGTATCGTCTTCGCCTTTGTTAGGCCACAGGATTGAGAGCACATTACCGTCCTTGTCAAATCCAGTGTTTCTCAAACAGTTAAGGACGTAGGTGAACACCCGCTCAACACATGCCCTATCTTCAACTTCGTCGTCCAACGTCATCAGGTTCTTCACCCAGCTCATGAATGCTTCTTTAGATGCCATTGCCGTTCTAGCACGTGGTTTCAGCTTTTCCCATCCTTTAACGCCCAAGGTGTCAATGTATTCCATGAGATTTTCGAGGACAATCGTTCTGAGTGGAACTCTTCGGGCGACGCCAGTGCAGATGCTGACCTGAATACCCAATGGACACTCGAACACCAGAAGATTCCGCCGTCCGCTCCAACTATCCAAAATGATCCTCTTTAGAGGGACCCTTGGTTGCCTTTGCCACTCCATTCCGAATTGGAAAACCGCCTGGTATCCTGCTTGGAAGACTGCTTGCCTCGCTACCGGTTTCCAGGATGACGGAGACGTACCCAGGACTTCGCGATCATCTTGTGAGGCTTTACGGCTGCCTTCAATACTCCGGTGACAGTCAGAGTTAATCTTAATGGCCCCGGGTAGTTTCTCCTGTGGTTTAAGCTGAGACCCGGTCTGTGAACTTTCTCCCTGCAACGTCTCTTGGGTTCCCACATTCCAGTGTGTTTGCGTGATTTGTGCTGTATGTGCATTTACCAGTGTAGCATTGTTGCCTTCAATGGAAGTATGATGTGAACTCGCCGAATTGTTCTCGGCCAATGAGGTAGATTTGCCTTCACGGCTATCAAGGCGTCCAGGACCACCGAGCAGTGTTTTTGCAGTGCCCGTATTCGAACTAGCTCCAATCATGATCTCGGCGCGGTAGTCGAAGCTGGTTTGTGGAAATAATCTCTCGTATTCGCTCGCGTGTGTCCAATGGAAAACGCGAACAACATCTTCATTATCTTGCTGAGTTGAATGAACAACGCCTCCTCTTATAAAAAGTTCATACAACTCATCTTCACGAGGCTCCGTAGTTTTTGATCCGAAAGAGGCCGGACCCCAACAATCCACTATCTCTTCACAAGTGGCTCTGAGATACATTCCCGTAGGCTGGGCTTGGAAGACCTGAGTTGATAGCCGAAAAGCCCAAACCCTATCACCAACCATTTCGTGCATACAAGAAAGCTGAACTCGTTCTGCAACGATAAACGGAAGATCACAAGAGCTTCCTCGAAGTTCAATATGGGAAGGTGGTTTTGCTAGGTAAGCCGGCTCGAGACCACCTGTGTGGGCCTGAGCGTAAAAAGTGATGCCCAAGCAAAGAACCTGAAGAGTGAGAGAATACAAGTGTAACGTTTCCCCGGTTGTTGAAGGAAGGGGCAAAGGGTTATGAAACAAAGTCTCCATGATGTGTCGACATGTTGACTCTTCTTCAACTACCATAGTGTTCTTGGAATCGTCCAGGATAAGCCGACCGATTTCCTTTTCCAATTTATCAAGGACACTGAATGTCACGGTATTCATACGAACCACAGTGATTCCGTGGCCCTGGCGATTGAAATCTTCAGCGGTAAGTACAGTGAACCTGTCGCAACAGAAATGTGAGCGTTGAAGCGTAATGGCAGCATTCCGAAGGCCACGAATCGCTTTGTGGAGTTGCAACACCAGTTCTGAAGTCTCGGCGTTTCTGTCAGCATCCTCGATCTTGGTTTGTGAAGTACCACAATGTGCCTTGTCTTTGTATATGATTTTCATGAATGGCCGGCCATCTTCGGACTTGAAGAGATTGACCGTTCCTGGTTCTTTCGTTGAGTGAGTAATCTGTGGAATCACGCCACCCAGACCACATAAATGAGATATTTCAGTCTGCATGTCTTCCCGCAGAGCGTACTCCGTAAAGCGATCAGTGTTGATGTCGCTGTCGCTGTCTCGTACCTCTTGACATCTGTGTGCGCAGCGTGGCTGATGGAACGAAAAGGAAAGCGGTGCTTTTGGCTCTGCGATCTCGTTAAACTCAGAAGTTATCCAGGCACCGTCGTCGTCTGGGACTTCTGTGCTGGAGTCAGATGCTTTGAGAGCTTTAGACCGCACATTTTGAGCTGCCCGCATGGTTTCGCCAACTAAGAAATTTGGTTAGAAGCTATCGCACCAAACTAGTGATTCTTTTGACTGACTTTCAACTAGCCTAGGCACTTCTACGATTCCTTCAGGTCGAATGATGCTGACGATTTGTTTTGCATAAGCTGCTGCAGCCATAGCTGCGTAACCCTGCCATGCCTTATTTTTATGAGAGTCTGAGTAGTCGCAGATGCCTCGAATCACGAGGCAGGAGAAGCCTCCCATGAGCCCTGCGGCCTCCATTTCGAAACATAAAACGTCCCCCTGTGAGGCTAGGCTGTCGCGCAACGTCGCATCTTTCATCACATTGTTACTTGATGCGATAACACCATGATGAATCGAAGTTTTCTCAAACTCCCGGGGTTCGCGGCTGACAACATCACCTTCGTTCGTGCTGCAAATATCGCATGTGTCTCCTCCGACGTGCTGGACTGTAGGTTGGAACAGGATATCTGTTCCATCCGATGGTCGCCCATAGCCTCTCTGGAGTCTGGGATACTGCTTCAGAATCCTGGTAATTGCATCCTCAATACCATTGCCGTCAATTTCGTGGTTCACTTCCAGTGAAGACACTGCTGCACGTAACAGCCGAGGAGGTTTATCCAGTGCCCGGATGGGCTGGAATTCCTCATCCCGTATGTATTTCCCCAAGTCATACTGGAAAACGCCCGATTGTGGCCCGCCTGAGGAGCTGACCACAACGTCTCCAAGACGAATATCGTGCTTCAAAGTGGGTGCACCGCCCCCGATGCCAACCATGAGGCCAATGCGGACATTAGGAAAGCTCCGAATCAGGTTTTTGACCACGCTGTCAGCCGTCGCTCCATTTTCATCCATGGGAGGTGTCGCAATGACTACATTGTGCTCGTTGATCTTCCCGAATTTGTAGTTGTTGGTATCGTCCTTTGCTCGAGTTTTAGGACCATCAAGTCTTACATCCAGGAAAGCCGTGGCTGCAACTGCTTCAATCGGAAGAGCACAGATCCAACCAACAGTGTAGTCGCCGGGAGATGACATCGCGAAGTGAGATGGGATTTCTTAATCGTTAGGGTAGTAAATGCTTATTGAGGAAAAATAGGAACCAGAAGATGAGAGATTATAGAACTCAACCCCATAAGCTGCCACGGCGATGTTGGCGCTTGAAGGCAGCCCCTCTATGGAACAAGAAATCCTTCCCATTTGCTCAATTGTGTCACCCGAAAGTGTGGCGTGCATGGTGCGGGGAGAATCCGGATGTAGTGCATGATTGCCAAGCCTTTTTCAGGCCAACAGCGAGTGACGATTCGTATATCATCCACTGCTGGGAGGCCTCAAAATGCAGGCGCCTTTCTAGCTGCCTCATGGTTCGCACATACATGAGGCTCTGCACAACACAACGATTGCAATCAATAAAATTAACTCTAGAGATAGATATTACAAGTCAGCAAAGTGCTGGAATATATCACTATCCAAAAGCTCAAGTCGTTTAGGACTTTTCAATATATTAACTTCATACGTTTCATTGAGATACTATATGTTTCAAGTGTCGATTAATTGCACCCTGTCTAAGTTGTGAGCTAGATGTGTTATTTGCAGTTGAGGCTCGTGGCTGAGAGCTTATATCAGCGGACAGAACTTAGTCGATTAATTGTACCCTGGGAGGGACCCTTGAGCTAGGAAAAAGATTAATCCATGCAATCTGCGAAGTGGCTACAGGCGGCTGGCTATGATTCTAACGCCAGAGCTAATCTCAATCGTAAGACTTCTTTTTCACACCTCGTTCACTGTAAAACAGACTCAAACCCTTGGGCTCGACTATTCTAAATTGAAAAGGCTCTTTAAATCGAGCTTCGCGTCTCGATGACCTCTGCAACCCCAGCGATAGATGTACTGCCAATGATATCGAACACGGCCACCGTAGAGCTAAACTCCTTATTGATCCAATTCCTCAGCTCAACCGCCATCAGCGAGTCAACTCCATACGACGACAGTGGCTTGCTTGGCTCAACATCATCAGGCGAGATGGACATGGCTCGCGCAAGTTTAGCAGCTATGGCACGTATGACAACTTGCTGCCGCTCTCTAGCATCTGAAGACCCTTGGAAGGTATCTCTCGCGTTCTCGGCGTGGTCACCTGCTTGATCTGGAGTATTGTTGTTGCCGGCTAAGAATGAGAATGCGCTGAGGAGAGGTCGTTCGAGTAGAGCTGGTGGTTGGTGGCCTTCACTTAGGATATCCGCAGGTGTTCGCAGCCCGAAAAGGACTTGTCCCTCAGACAATGGCGGTAAGTCGAGTGGATTGTTCGGATCGCAACAGAGAGTGAGCAGAGCAAGTAACTCCTTGTCTTCGATAGGCTGCATATCATTCGACGTCTGTCTCTGACGCTGATACGCCTCTTTCTCAGCAATGATACCAATGTTGCTCATCCATCCAATATTAAGAGACAGTGCACTCTGGCCATTCATTCTGCGATGCTTCGCCAGTGCATCTTGATACGCACAACCACCAGCATAATTTGCACTAGCCATCTGGCCAACGACACCAGCCAGAGACGACAAGAGGATGAAGAAGTCGAGATCCTTGGGGAGTAGCTCATGCAAGTTCTTAGAGGTGTCGACCTTTGAGCGTATAGTGAGTTCCCACTGCTGGAATGTCATGTTGCTTTGGAATATGGCATCTTGCAGAACCATGGCGGCGTTGATGCAGCCCTTGATGGGGGGCATGGTACGGGAACATTCTTCCAGCATGACTGTCACATCTTCTCGGATGGACACGTCGCACATAGGAGCAGCAATATTAACGCCCTGGGATGTTAGCTGTGCTACCAAATGTGCAGCTGCTTCAGATGTTGCACCGGATCTAGAGGGAACAATCAGGTGTTTAGCTCCTCTGTCAGCCATCCATCTGATAATGGCTCGACCGAGACCTCCAGACCCACCAGCTACTAAATAGGTGGAATTACCATCGAACGTCCATTGACGACGGTCCTGAACAAATTGCTGTAAAGATGTGAGTTGGCTAGTCATTTGGCAGCTTGGCTGGATTGGCCTACCGGAACTGCATCCTCTTCTGCTGCTGTTACCACCACACGGTCGTTGGTATCCTCTTGCAGTTTCTTGAAGCTGTTTTTGATATCTGATATCTTGAAGGCCGGCAATAGTTGAGGCGGTGGTATTTTAACTTCAGCTAGGAGCTGCAGTGTTGTTTGTGCCAGTTGGCTAAAGACTTTGGGCTTTAGACGCATGATATCAATAGAAGAGAACGTGAGATTTCTTGACATGATCTCTGCAGCCATTGTAGAAGCCATTGAACTGTTCCGGCCACCAAGGCTGACGATACATCCCCCATCGGTCACGCATGACAGTGGTGTGTATCGTGTGTCCCGGGAACAGTCAAGCAATACATCCACACCTTCTTCCTCAGTGACTCTCATGACATCTTGAGTCAGGGATGGGGAGTTGCTGTCAAAGATGGAATCAGTATTCAGGCCAATGGTGTCGACTAAGAGTTGTTTCTCAGCAGCAGTCGACACTGTAGCAAAGACTCGAGCACTCATAGTCTGGGCGAGCCTGACTGCAATCTGACCCAAGATACTTGCAGCCGAGTGAATCAACACCTTGTTATTCTCTTGTACGCGCGCAACATTGAGAATTGAATGGCAGGCAGCCAAGCCAGGAGATGCGAGCTGAGCAGCATCTTCGATGCTGAGCGAGTCGGGAATCTTGAAGACGTGGGCTTCGTTGGCGCGAGCATACTTCCTCATGCAGCCATTAGATACCATAGCGACGCGATCTCCTATTCGAATGGTACTGCAGCTCTCACCAATTCGGGCGACAAAACCAACGCAATCACTGCCAAACTCTTCTATTCGCCTATCAGGGTGACCAAGGGCAATGTCGAGATCGCGAGAGGTGAAACCCCAGGCCCTTGCTTCGATCTCGACATCATAAGGACCGAGTTCCTCCGCGAGGGACTGGTCCTCAACAAACTGAAGCGAGTCGAGTGATCCTGGCTGGCTAATATCAAGCTTTAACCCTGGTCCCTCGCCCCACGGCTTCTGTTGTAGCTGTTTCGAGACAAGAGATCGTAGTGCCGTATCAGTGCTGAAGTCTCGAACAGCGCGGCCTGTAGTGATGACGCCATCTCGAACAACGTACTCGACTTCATTTGACGGCGTTTCAGTCTCGAATGTTGCCTCGTAGACCTCTGATATGAAGCATGCCTGTGAAGCTTGAGCCATCTCTCCGTCTATTGCTAGGGTGACAATGTGGGTATCGGGCTGCTCGGCACGGATGGAGCGGAAGAAGCCCTGAGCGACACTATAGTCTGGACACATTGAGTCGCTGATGCTGGCAGAAGTCACCCAGAGAAGGTTCGAGGCTCTGCTGATCAAGAACTGAAGGCAGCTGAACTGCCCTTCTGAGAGAGTTGACAGCAGAGGTTTGTCTCCAGCTTCAGCGAAGCAGATGAAAGCATCCTCGGCGGTCAACTTGGCGAGCTCCCTCTGAACTGGGGTTAGCGAGAATGTAATGACGGTTGCACGTCGCTCTAGGTTAGGATCGATTCGTGCCCGAACTTGATCTGCAAGCTCCCTCTCCTTCGTTGACGCGTCGTCACTGATGAGCATGACCAAGCGGCCTTTGCCCACCATTTCCTCAGACTTCGGCTCAGGTTCACTGGCGGTGGTGACGATGACACTCATAATATGACACTGATTATCTTGATAGTCCCGAATCACCAAGTCATTCCCTGAGAATCCATTGTCCTTGAGGCACTTATCCCAAAGATGCTCTGGTATAGCAGCAGAATGGGGTCTCCACTCCTCGCGAGCAACCCACCAGCCTGGCACAAGGCCAGCCATGAAATTGGTAGCGATATCATTGGGGTTGATAACCTCGAGGAGGATGAGACGACCACCTGGCTTCAGAGCCTTTCGCACATTGCGTATCGTGGCTTCTAGGTATGGAGTTGCGTGAAGCACACTGGCCGCGATGACTAAGTCATAAGAGCCTGGATCAAAGCCTTGACTATCGATTCTTCGGTCCAGATCAAGTGTCTTGAAGGTGATGCGTCCTTGGGACTTGAGGTCTGGCCATCTCTGGCTTGCCGTCTCAAAGAAGGCTGGGGATATATCAGTGTAGGTATACTCCGAGAACGCCAATCCTCCAGTGCGCATCTCACGTTCTTGCAGAGCTGAGATGACATGCCCCGTCATACCACCTGTGCCAGCACCGACTTCAAGGACCCTCAGAGCTGGGTTCTCATGCGATGCCAGGTCAAGTAGATAGTTCAATTGACCATCTGCGCAGAGATTCCGGAAGAGATCCGAGTAGAAGATATCGGCCTGGTCAGACTCAAAGACGACCTGTAGAGGGTCTAGCTCTCCGGATAGAATCTCAGGTAGCTTTCGTGCACAAGTCGTGTACAGCTTCCACGCTGGGAGGACAGAGTCAACCTCAGCTAGGCGAGACTCGAGCTCCTCGTCACTGATATTCGTTGCTTCTGCCTGATGCTCGGCTGACAACTTGCCGACATGGTGACCCATCCACTCGACATGACGCTGCAAGTATACTGGAATTCTGGACTTATCAACGTTTTTCAGTACACGAGCAGCTACGAGCTCCAGTGTATGACAGAGCCTCGAGTGGTTCTCCAGAACTGTGCTGTCGTCTTTCGGCACCGCATTAGCGGCGCATAACCGTGTGAGCTGACTGGACCCTAGCATGCTGAACTGTGGCTTCCACTCGACGGAGTACATCAGCTTCTTCTCCTTTTGGGTTATACCGCCCGAGACAGCAGATGTGACTGCACGCTCGATACAGCAAAGGACCTCTCCATCTTCACCAAGAGCCGTGACTTTGCCCTGTTCCCCGTAGCCATGGACAGTTGGAGTCGCTTCAGAAATCCACTGAATTGTAGGTGTCTTCCATGCTTTGGAAGAGAACCATGCATTTTCTAGTTTCACGGGGACATTGGCGGCGGTCTGTTGGCCCGAGCTGGCTCGAAGAACTTGGAAGGCTTGGTCGAGCACTGTTGGGTGAACCAAGCTCCTGATGTTGAACCTTGACTGTGACAGATCAACGCGTGCCACGGCTGAGGTCTTACCATCCCACTTGATGCTGCGCATCAGCCGGAACCAGTCCCCATATTGCAGTCCAACTGCTGCTGCATCATGGTAGAAGACACCAGAGTCGATAGGCAAAGTACATTCTTGACATTGACGCCGGATGTGTTCGTGGCTCACTCGTCGCTCCCCGTTGCTGTCGTTGTCCTGGAATTCGACCGAAATGTTCGCGGTAAAGCACTCAACCCACTCATTGTGCGAATAAGTGAAAATGCTGACATAGTACTTTGTAGCCAGCTGTTTATCGACCACTCGCAGGCAGACTTGCGTCTCAAGGCGATCTTCCCAAGTCCCTGGCACAATTATGGGGTTCATAAACTCAGCTTTCTCAATATTGTAACCAAAGACAGCACGGTCTGAGGGAACCACGTCTTGGGCGGCCTCAATGGCCATGAGAAGCATACCAGATGCTGGAAACAGGACAGTATCACTGATCTGTGATCTGCGTTAGTAGTGTCTCGGCATTGTCGTCACTGGACTTACCTTGTGATCTCCAGTCCAGGCAGAGGAGTCAATGCTCCAGAAGTTCCTCCATCGAGGCTCCAACGGATTCCAATCGGATACCCTCACTCCAAGCAGCTCGCCCTTGACAGCCTCCCGCAGCCTGAAGTCTCTGCTTAGACGTGACTCAGCCCAGTATCGCTGTGATCTGTCGAACGGATACTTGGGGCAGTTAACCAGAAACTTCGCCTTCGTCCTTTGTTGGTTGACTGCCGAGACTGAAACGGGATAGCCTTGGCAGAACAGTTGTCCGGCGAGTTCCAGAGTGGTCTGGATTGCCGGGTGGAATCTATGCAAGACATAGCTGTATCTTACTCCCTTTGCCGCACTCGACATCTCATCCAGTGTTTCTTTCACGGGCCTTCGAAGAGCTGGGTGAGGGCCAATCTCAATCAGGTCAGTGATGTTACCCAAGCCAAGTTTACGTGCTGAGTTCTTGTTTGCAATGGCCTGCACTGCTTCGGCGAATCGGACAGGTGACAGCATATTGTAAACCCAGTATTGACCAGTTGATAGTGTCTCTGGAGAAATACTTTTGCCAGTAACAGATGAGACCATTGGGATGCTAGTCCCATCCTTTCTCTTGGTGAGCCCTTCAAGTGCAGCAAGGTACTCGCTCGCGATGGCTTTCATGGATGGCGAGTGATACGCGACTCCGGTCTTGAGCTTCTGCGCAAAGATGCCATCTTGGTCAGCCTGAGATTTGATCTTGTCAATGGCCTCTTCAGGCCCCGAGAGTGTGACGTTGAGAGGACTGTTGATGCATGCAACGTTGATTGCAAGAACACCTGTTTTCTCTAGATACTCCGAGACGTGATGCGGCGCTAGGTTAATCGACAGCATGGCACCGGGAGTTGAAGCGTTGGTCTCTCTTAGCTTCCCAGCCAAGACACCACGGAAGTAGGACACTCTGCAAGCGGACTCTAGAGACAGCACACCTGATGCATATCTAGGATAACTTAGCAAACTCATTCGGACTTCCGAACACCAGTGATACATACGCTGCAGCGATCTCACCGGAAGAATGGCCGACAACAATCTTGGGCGTAATCCTGAAGCTGGCGAGCAGATCGACCAAAGCAATCTGTACAGCGGTTGCAAGCGGCTGGCTGTACTGCGGCATGTTGATGTTGTCGCCGCAACTAAGCTCGTCTGATACTGTCCGTCAGCAAGCATTTGTGATGGAATTCACAGGATGTACTTGCCAAATAAGTTCCAAGAACACCCAAAGCTGGAGTAAATCTCGCTGATCTTCTCTAGAGTCTCCCGGTAGACAGCATAATGCTCAAGACCCGAGCCCATGTTAATAGACTGGGCGCCTTGACCTGTGAATACAAAAGCCAGGCCAAGATCTTCTGAGCTTCTAATTGGCTTCGAAGGCGACACTGCTTTCTTTTCCGATCCGTCAACCACAGAAAAAGCTCTCCAAAGCATGTTACTTCGGCGTGAACCCAGAGTAAATGCCAAAGAGTCGAGCTTCTTATGGTCCCCCGACATCGTCTCTTTGTGGAAGTTGTCATAAGCCTCCAGAGTGCGCTTAGCTGCCTTTTCGTCGGCAGTAGTCCATACTAGTAGCTTGTGAAGTTCGACGTCTGAGTAACCATTTACGGCACCATTAGTTCCATTGGCTCCGTTGATGTGAGCTGCGCCATGTCCATTGGTGACACCTGAGCCGTTCGTTACAGGCCTTGGGAAGAGGCTCGTGTTATGGATTCCGCTGAGGCTGCGATCCTGTAAGTAATGAAGTGCATCGTCGAGAACAATATGCGAGTTTGAGCCGCCGAACCCGAAAGAGTTGAGAGATACACGGCGAAGACCTTGAACTGGCCACTTGACCATCTGAGTTGGTACCTATAGTAGTCCGAGTTAGATAACTATATCAGAGCGACACAGATAGAACTTGCTTCAATGCTATATGAATTCGCGTTCAGTGCTGGATTTATGTTTTGAAGCAGCGCGTTGGGGGGTATAACTCCTTTCTCGAGGATCACTGTCAGTGTCAGCTTGGAACTTCCTTACGTGGATCAAATGGCGCGTCATATTACAGATGCATTTGACCAGACTTGCAAGTGCACTGGCTCCCTCAAGATGCCCTATGTTTGCTTTCACTGAGCCGCTGTCCATTCAATCAGTTAACACTCTTCTCTGGATATATGAGACGACTTACACATAGAGTGGTTCCGAGTGAGAGCGATGTTCTTGGAAGCATCTCCCAATAGCTTTAACCTCAATTGGATCACCGACAGGTGTACCGGTGCCTTGAACTCACGTTTAGCTCATTATCACGAGCGTTCTGATGTAACACTCACCGTGAGCTTCTACATAGCGAGTATCGCTCATAGGCAAACCTGCTTTTTTGTAAACATGACGGATCAGCTCCTCTTGAGACTGCGAGCTCGGCTGTGTCAGAATCGGGGTATGGCCGTCCTGGTTCGAGCCAATGGACCGAATCACGGCACGAATCATATCGCCATTCTCAATCGCTGCTTGTACAGGCTTCAGAACTACAGCGATGACTCCCTCGCCACGTGCATACCCGTTAGCCCGTTCATCAAAGCTGTAGCAAACGCCATCAGGCGAGAGAAATCCTTGGTTAGCTAGAACCTGGAAGATGCTCGGGTCGAGAAGAAGGTTTGCACCGGTCACGACAGCCTGTGAAAATTAGTCATCAATAGAGTATAGGTAAGCCATGTCTTACACATGAAGCATCGCCGCTCTTTAATGCTTTACAGGCCATATCGACAGCTGATAAGCTACTAGAACAAGCAGTATTGACGTGGATGCTTGGCCCACGAAGATCAAAGTACCAGCTGACACGGTTGGGAATAATACACGAGACAGTGCTTCCAGTTACAGCTGTTCGCTCCAAGTTATCTGGGTCTACGGCCGTCATTCTGCTGTAGTCTTCCAGCATAGAGGCTGAGAAGACAGCGGTGCGAGAGCCCTTGAGACTGTCAACCGGGAGACCCGCTACGAGACAAGCAGTTAGTACTCCTTCATCATCAACCGTTCTTGAGATTTTCTTACCATTCTCAAAAGCGTGGTAAGTAGATTCCAGCGTCCAGCGCTGCATCGGATCCATCGCCGAAGCTTCTTTCGCCGTGAGTGAGAAGAAAGGGGCGTCAAAGGCGGCGACATCGTCACTGAGGAAATGCCCTCCCTTTCCATTCCACTGCACCAGTATTAAAAACGGTCTGGGTGCTTGGTGAGAGAAATCACCTTTTGATGCTTGTTATTGGAAAATGAATCTGTCTTGACACGGCTTTCAGGCCAGCCTGTCATCAAGTTTCGTCGGTTCTGGAGAACATCCCAGAAAGCATCATCGTCCTCAACATCTTGCGGGAGTTTGAACGAGTATCCAATGATTGCAATGTCACTCATTTTGTCGTTTATGCCTTGGTGATTGTACATCGTTCCAAAAGGGCAAACTCTACAGAACTCTAGTAATTACTATGCCAAGACTCATACCAATGTAATTCAAGACCAACAACGTTACTACCCGGCCAATTATTCTATCGGTACCCTATCATGGCTTACCATCGTTCGATGATAAAGCCCTACGTGGTCTTCTCTCCACTGTATGTCCTCCGACGCATTTCATGAAACGGATGATTAGTCCTATCTAGTAGTAGTCTTTGAAGCTACTGCAGAGGAATCCTTCGAAGAACAGAGGTTAACCTCTGAAAAATGGTTCCGGGTGAAACTAATGCATCAGCAGAGTTTAGACGGTGGAGACTCGGTTCGCAAATATACGATAGAAATACGGAGTAGGATCTGTTAACGAAAACACCAGTCAACAACAAGGTGTTCTACATTGATGCCCCTTGAAATCTTTGGATAGAGGCTAGCTTTGGCGAACTAAAGCAAGGCAGCACGGGCCGGCTCGCCTTAAGATAGTGCCGAAACATAAACCCAAAGCTAAACCTAGCACCATCGACAAAATGTCCAGGCCGGGGCCATCTGCCACGTCGGCCGCTGTTGATGGTTCTCTGGTACGGTCTTGTCCTCTTCCATGGCCAATGTCCGAAAGTCGGTAGCTTACCCTGTACTCACCATCAGCTAAGAAACTACGCCGTAGTCCTGAAACTTGGAATCGCTGATCTGTCGGGTAAATTTGTGCTAAATCCTCCGAGGCGAGCAACGGGAGAGGACGCTAGGAGAACTTCCGGGAAATCAAGACAGGCCGAACCCCTGAAAGGATCAGCGCTCACCCCTGCCCATCACCCTGCCATTCGTATTTTTCCCTGCGTGGTGGAGACAATTCATGAGACTTTGCTCCTAGCGAGTGACCAACATCATATCATAACCGGTTTGCATTACGAATTTTTTCTCATTTCCTTGTCAAGGTTCGTTTTTCGCTCTTGGTCGAATAGGAATTTTTAGACGACGATCAGACATATCCTGCGTCTCAGTATAGGCGATGTAACATGGAATGGCCTCATTCTGACGGAATCTTAACACTTATTACTCATTGCCATGAGAGCTGGTGAACATACATAATTGAAGTTTTCATTCAAATCGGCCTCGAAGGGATACCTTCAGTGCTGGTGTAGAGCCGTGCTGCCCTGCTGGTGCTGTTGCTGAGTATCTGAAGATACAGTCTCTATTTTTAGAAATATACAGAAATCTCATATTAAATGTAGCATTTTACAGACTAACAATGCGACCAAACCGACCCTTTTAATAAAGTTCATGCAACATCGGCCAACTCTCAAGTGTTATACACCCCAGGGCTTTTGAGACGCCGGAAATGCAGCATGACCCTCCGAATCGCTTGTCGAGCGATTATCCTGTGTGATCTTGATCTGTGTCGTCCGGGTGATACCATGCCCATTATTGGCATTATCCCGCAGATACTCCGTCGACTCAGATCCCTTCAGCGTTCCCAGCGGCACACCATCCTCGTCTAGCTTGTAGTAAGACTTGGGCCCTGTAGACGAGAGCTGTGAACCCTTTGTCCCGCCTTTGGCATATCGGTCTGCAGTATTGGGGTTCGTGGGAGCGGTGCTCATGCCAAATGCGCGCTTAATGTTGCGGATGACGCCTGTTTCTTTGAGAATCTTGGGGATACACGGGACGCAGACGATGAAGAAGCCGCAGGTCATTTCGGCGGTGGCCCAGAAGACTAAAGGAGCGAGTGCGTATAAAGCATCGGCGGCTTTGCCGTACTTGACCGTGACAGCTAATCGGAAGGCTGCAGACACGCAAGCTCTGCATTTATGTATCAGTAATTGTATGATGGATGAGCTCGAGACGTGCACTTACAGAAGACCAAGCCCAAAGATAACAGACACACCCATCCTCTTCTTCCAAGACATCTTCAGCTTCCAGATAACCTGCTGGGGTAGCAAAAAGATGGCGATATCGCAGCACAAGTGGATCGTAGCAGACGCGACCTGGAGCTTATGCAAGTCCCAGCATTTGGCGTCTGGAATTCGAAAGTCCCAGATGGCCTCGTGAGGGGTGCATTGCATGTTCAGAGCAACAACAATAGCGGTGTTGGACGTGGCCTGGACAAAGCCAATGGCCATGCATCCCCACCAGAAGATGCTCTTTGTGCGTGTGCCTTTCGGCACGAACAGACGACACCATTCAACGAGGATAGCGATTTTGAGAAATGGGAGGACGAAAGAGTAGCAGACTCCAAAGATGAGAACCCACTGATATATGTCAGCTTTTGCAGTTGTGTAGTTTGGGTAGAGGGAAACTCACATAGTTCGTGGGAATTACATCCTTGAGACGGACATTCCATTGATGCACGAAATATCCAGGCGTGTCCACCATCTTGAACGTCGCATAGGCAGCACCCCAGTAATTACCCTTGGTTTTGTTAGAGATCATTTAAAGCACCTTCAAAGGAATCAACATACATATGCCAAGGTCGTGAGAACTTCAGAGTCCGTTAGCGATAACTCGGGAAGGGTCAGACACGCTACTCACTCTCTTCAGTTTGAAACTTCTTCAGCAGATAAACCCGCCCGTAAGCTCTGAGAAGGAAGCATATCGTGGTAATTACCGCACAGAGAATCAGAACAGTATAAGCCAGACCATTCTGGTTTGGAGGATCGTTCAGATTCGACACCTCGCCCTTTGGAGGCGCAAGGGCTGGTCCATCCAGATCAATGGTAGCCATGGTGGAAGCACAGGACAATAACAACGTTTCTTGATCTTCAGGCACGAGAGGTCCAGGAACAAGCTGTCTTTTAACGATCCTACGAGAAGACTTTGATCACCCATGTTAAGGAGAGTTTGGTACCAAACGTGGCGAGCCTCAACCCCGGTATTTCGGATTCGGGAGGGAGGCGAAACAGTAATTGCTTTTTGACCTGATCCTATAGCAGATAACTAACTATTTGCAAGGTCTTCTCCTACTGGAAAGTCTTGTCGGTGCAAGCCGTAATAAGTTCTTGATTGAAACCTCAGTTTGCGTTAATCTTCTCCTGGCGATCATATCCAAGACTAGCTGTCAGTTCCTAAAATCCCAGCCTATTCGTTACGGCGGGTAGACACTGAAAGTCACAGGGGCTAGTAACGGGAGCTTGTGATAGTTTTCTCTCAAGTTTCCTCGGGACGTTGGTGCCGCTTGGTTATCAACCCTGTCTAGGCTGAGAATGGACTCCATATGGTGGAACCTCGGCTACAAGCTCATGCCACTTTTTGTTCGGGCGAGCAATTAAGTTTGTGATCTGTTCCTGGCTAGGCTTGGCCCCAACTATGCGAGTTTCGTTACTGGCGTCAATTATAAGAGACTAGAGACTGAATTACAAAGGACTAGCAGCCCTACGGTATTGAAATGCTCGCGACTTGGGAGCAGCAAGAGAGACAATGTCTAGAGTGCGACTAATCATGGAAAACGACACCCGACCGAAGGATTCAAGTTCCCCACCTACCAAGAGAAAAGAGCGCAAACAGGGGTGAACCAACAACATGTGATCAGTCACTCCAATTTGCATCCTTCAGCGAATACCTTCGAACCTGTTCCAGCAGGGCAGATCATTAACAAATCTAAATAGATGCATACGCTGACAACCGGGATGCCGGAAATGCTACACCCGTCTGCAGGCCAAGACAGGTGCTCCCAAATATCGCCCCCCCCCATCTCATCCCACTGCCATGAATCTGTTGACGAGACTCTGTTGCTAGTTAATAATACTCAAGCTAAGACTCTTGATGTCTGATCTCTCGCATAGCGTGATGACCACAAAGCGCGGACTTTTTATTAGCTCCCGTCAACGTCCCGCTCCAGAGTTTAAAGTTCCTTAACCCCTGGTTCCCTACTGGCGTTGCATGAACTTGGCCGACTTGGCACTGTTGGTAACATCTTCATCAGAAATCTGCAGATGATCGGCACTTCATATCCTTGGATAATTGTCGGAAGACCAGGTCCCTGGTATCCGTAACTCTGCGTTGGTTCAAGAGCAGTTAATGTCTTGGCTGCATTGAAGAATCAGGCCACTTCCTTACGTACCGCTGTTGGTTCTTCCCAAGAGCATTATTCTAATTTCTAACTTTTTCGTCAATTCCATGCAACCAACAACTCGGTGCCATTCCTTAGAACATCCAGCTAAGAAGAAAGGGGCCACCAAATCTCCTGCCAAGAACCTACTCTCGGCTACCAGGCTCATAAATCCAGCTCAATCTCACACCCATACTCCTCCCCATCACGCATACTTTCACACACACATCTCACCATATCCACAAAGCGCCCCACGCCAGCCATGCTCAAGCAACACGTCTACCATCTTCACCCACTAGGCTGGGAAAACGACCCCGAAGAGGAACGCTTCAAGGTCACTACCCTCGACTACCTCACCGTATGTAGCTACAACAACTACGCTCTGTTCTTCAAGCTAGAGGACTCGGAGAAAGAAAGAGCCGCTGAGATCCTCAAGGCTGGGCTGGAGAGGACGCTGGCGCAGGCAAGACACTACTGTGGGACCATTGAGAAGGATCCTGGCGGTGGTCACTCGTTTACCAAGAATAGGGATAGTACTGTGCGGTTCTTCGTGCAGTGGCTTGATGCGCCTGAGGATGCGGATAAGTACCCTTCGTTTGAGGATCTTGAGAAGACAAACTTTAGTGCAGTGACGCTGGGGGATCTTGAGCAATGGAGTGTGCCGCCCATGACATATGGCGAGAAGCCTGAAGCGCATCCTGACAATAGCCCTGTCGTGTCAGCCTTCAAGGCCAACTTCATCCGCGGTGGTCTTGTCTTCAACATTCATCATCATCACTACACCAACGATGTCATGGGCTGGGCAGGCTTCGTCCATCAGCTAGCCGAGAACTGCTACGCTGATGTGAACGGAACCAAGCATCCAAGCTGGGACCCTCTCAACCTCGACGTCTCGCGCCTCATCAAGCAAGAACCTCCAGAGGATCAAAAGATCGATGGCCCAGCTCCCCCAGAACGCCATCCTGCTCATCAAGTCGGCGTATCTCTGCTGTTCCACCTCCCCAAGAGCAAAGCAGCCGAGCTCAAAGCCAAGGCCACTCCCACCGATGGAACGTGGATATCGACATACGATGCCTTCTCAGCCTTTATCTGGCGCAACCTCACGCGTATCCGAGCACCCGTCTTCAACCCCGATCCGAAGTCGACTCTATACTGGTGCGAGGCGATTGATATGAGACGGCGAATGCACAGTCCAAAGGTGCCACCGCGTATCCAGCATAATGTCATGTTCGCTGTGACGTCTCCTACTGCACCCGTTACGCAACCAACTGTTGCTCAGATCATGTCGGAGTGGTCGCTGTCAGAGTTGGCGTCGTATATCCGCCGCTTGACCAACAGCGTCACGCAAGAGAACCTTGACAAGACGCTTGAAATGGTAGCTACCATTCGCGACAAGACCTCTTTAAACACACGAGTCGATGCTCAGCCACCTCTATCGATTCTCCAGACAGATCATCGCGATGCAAACATCACTTCAGCTGACTTTGGCTTCGCGAAGCCAGCTACATATCGTCATCTTCTCGATCGCATTACAGAAGGTGTAATCATTGTTTACCCACCTCGCGACCCATCACCGGAGTCAGATGAAGGATGCGAGTTTGCCATTTTCTATGAGAAGAGGCTTGCTCAGGACTTGATCAATGATTCTGAATGGAGTGAGTTCTTTGAGTATAGAGGCGTTGATGCCGAGGATGCCTCTGAGGCCAAAAAGGCAAATGGTACCAATGGCACAAATGGAGTGAATGGCTCTTCGTAGATGCAGATAGATATAGTCGTCTTGAATGCACCCACTAAACGCTCAATACCTTCCAGTAAAGCCTCTCCATCCTCAAGCTCTCCATGAACCAGTCATCACCAACCTTCTTCCACGTCTCGTGATAATGCCCACCTCCAGTACCATGAACACCACCTTCATGTTCCTTCGTCCCAGCATGATACGTAACAGCCCAGATAGCTTTAATCTCATCAGGTCCAATCTGCTCCATCTCAGCAGGCCCGACAATGTGACTCGTTTGCATCGTCTTGAACTCATTCTCGAAAAACGCCACCCAGTCCTTCGTCGAAGACCACGAATACTCAATGTCTCCCTTGGTGATCACACTACCATCTGGGTTGTGGAAGAGAAAAGTCGCGTTGGGGAGCATGATGCTATCGAAGCGGTTCCATTGATTAGAGTCTGCGAAACGACAGTATTGCGCCTTCTTGCGCTGGATAATCGCAGCGGCTTCGGGGGAGACCGCCATTTCGATAAAGTGAAATTTGTGATGGACTGCCTACAGGGTGTATAAGTGAGTAGGCGCTGTTTATGTTCCAGCTCGATCGAGTGTATCCCTACCGGACAAAAAGTCTTGTACAAGGCTGTAATAAATAAGGTTGAAGTTCAAAAGGCTTGGCTGTCACCCAAAAAGTCATCTTATAGTGGCATTAATTACATAATGATACCATTACCGCAGCAGGGATACACTAGCATCGGGAGCACCTAGAGCGAACCATGCGTCTTTTGCAATGGTGAAGTGCATACATGGAAAGGCTTCTACCATATGTGGCTGTAATCGATTTCTTCTTGTCAGATCTTATCACTGATCCTGTCCATCTCTATTTCTTCACCTCTATTTTCAGCGCCTCAAACCCCTCTATCACTGTTGTTCTGTCCTTTTGGCGAGCCGCCTCATCACTCCTCTCAACCACATCCCTCCCCTCAATCTTCCTCGCCTCCATAATACTCTTCCCCGTCTTCCTCTTCACAAGCGCCCTCGCACTCAGATACGCACCCTGACTCGGCAACGAAAACAGCCCAATCGCACCAGAACCCATCTTCGTCCCCAAATTCAACAATCCGATACCAAAACCCTTTGCCGCACCAGCAGCGCCTTCTTTCTTCGCACCCCGCACAGGCTCCATGACTATACCGCCTATCCCTTCAACCATTCCGTGCGCAAAGTTCTTACCCGCTGCTATACCGCCTGACTTCCAGTCTGTCACGGCGCCTGGGTCGTATGCTTTGCCGCCGTAGAGCTTGGGGGCGTTGCGCATTCCTTCTGTTACTGCGTAGGGGAGGTCGAGAAGCATGCCCTTGGAGTAGTGCTTGAAGAAGCCACCGACGCCCGAAGCTGAACCCTTGACGGCTGCTAGTGCGCCGTGTTGGGGGTCTTTATCTTTGGTAACCGTTGGTGTTGGGGGCAAATCCATGCCTGCTGGTCTACCGAAGACATCCTCCTCCGAAGGGTGTTTTGAGTTGTCCCCCGATCGATCTCGACTTGCTGATCTGCTATGGCTTGGAGTCACAGGTCGCAGCGCTTGGATGGGCTTGACGACAATGTCAGAGGCCGACGAGACCATGCCAACTCCTGTCGTGGCGAGTGTCGCAAGTGTTGCAGTCAAAGGATCCCAACGTCTGTTCTCGATATGAACTGGGTGCGGTTGGTAACTATTCAACTGTCAGCAAACTCTTCACATGTTTATCGCTTTGTTACATACACCTTGAGGTTATTCCACGACACCTTTTCGCTCTCGACTAATATCTCAGCAGCCATCTTAGATAGCTTCATCTTCTTGCCCTTCTTGTCGTACAGCCATGCTGCGGAACGATTGGGTAGAAGGTCACATCGCATTTCGTTGAGAGGTAGGTTCGCATGGAATGATGCCACAGCTCGCCTGACTCCGGCTTCACTCGACATCTTATCGGCGATTTGTCGCGCAGCTGTGGAAGCTTCAGGTGTCAAGCAGAACTGAATAGCTTCGGCGAGGTTGTTGCTGTTCAGGGCCTTGAAGGGAATAGGAGCTGGACCTGCACCACCAGCATGGACCATGTTTCCCCAAAACGGTTGACTATTCACCAGGGTCAGCATGAGCAGTTAGTTGGGAAGACGACAACTTACTCTCCAAAGAAGGGAACGATGGTGGTAGGTTTCGCGTTGAGAAGTCCGCAAGCTGTGGTGCCTGCTCCGCCGTGATGTATCACCGCGGTAACTTGCTGAAATAGCCACTCATGCGGACAATCTCCCAGGAAGAAGACTTGATCGTCACCACTTGAGTCACCGCCAAGCTTGCTCCATCCCCGAGAAACAATTGCTCGTGTTCCTGTCGCACGAACAGCGTCCAGAATCGTCGCTGTTAACTTGTCTGGGTCGTCGATTACGATACTGCCAAAGCCGATGTATATCGGTGGCGGACCGCTGGCCAAGAACTGCTCCAAATCTGGCTTGGGTTGATATTTTGGCGCATCGCGGAAGAAGAAACCGCAGACATCTGTCACGGTTATTATCAGCGAACATCCAGTAAGGGTATGGATCGGGACACACCAATATTCTCAGGCCAGTCGGCTGGCTTGGGTACTAAAGCTGGGGACCAGCAGTATGTAACTGGAACCCCCAGGGTCTCCGTCAAACAAGGCCCTTCGCTGAAAGGAATCGCCTCCAGATCTATTGTGCCTCTCCACGCATTGATGATATCGCCGAGTCTGTCTGCGATTAGCACACCGTCACCTTCGGACAATTGATCAAAACTCACCCTTGCCAAGTCATCCACTCAACCAATGAGTAAGATACGTAATTCGCAGCCGTCGCCGACATGTCACTCCCATTGGCCTTGAGATTCGCAAGTGGGTGACAGAACTCTCTCGTACTTGTCCACGGCATCGTGAACATGAGATGTAGTGGGATACCAAGGGCTTGCGCGCAATGGATATGCGCAAAGCTGGGCGGGTTTGCAATGATGGCATCTGCAACGAAGGGTCGTCCTGTGAGCTCATCAGGCTCAATGCAGGAACTCCAGCACTTATGCAGCATTTCATCCACCATCTTTCGTTTTCGTTGGATTTCGCCTCCGCGTAGTGTCTTCATGCTAGGGAAGAGACCAGGGTTTTTAACCATGTAGGCCATCAGTCTTTAAAGAGCCGTTAGCTGCGTCGACAATTGAGTCTAAAGGAACTTACTCAGCGGGGTCACCGCCGATGGAAAAGAACTCAAGACCAGACTCTCTCACGAATTTGTCGAATTGGCCGTGTGTCGCAAGTCGTACCCGATGACCGTGGCGCTGCAATTCTGCGCCCAGCGCGACGAAAGGTTGAACGTCGCCTCGACTACCAACGACCTGGATAACGATATTGATACGAATGCTCTTCTCGCTTGCCTCGGTGTACGCAGGCGGTTGATTCTGTCCGTAAGAAATGGGAGGTTTCCCCGTCGGAACCAGTTTGGACAGTCGCCGAGCGATTCTCGAACTAAGATCGATTTCAATTCGTCCATCTTCGAGACTTGTGGCCGTGGCTTGTAGTTCCGCCAGCGCTTGGTAGGGCGGAAGCTCGTCTGGTAGTGAGGCGCTATTCTCTCCATTTGCTGGGAGCTCAAAATATCTCGTCTGTCGGTTAGACTGGTCGTCATCTGGTATTGGAGACATGGTTGCTAGATGCGATGAAGATAGAGGAGATTGGAACTAATTGAGAATATTCTCAGCTGCCGGGCGGCGAGACGCCATATTATAAGAGATCCGACCGTGAAACAATGCAGCTAATCAACTGATTGCGAAAAGCGGAATGGCCGAAAAGCCTATTGTCAAATACGCGTATCACAAGAAACACTCGTACACGAAAACCCGACTCATGGCTCCAACGTAGGGGTCAGAGCCATAAACATGATATATTTCTCGGGTGCAAGGGTGATTTGATAAAGTCAATATACGAGAAATATTTAATTTAAATCTCCGACCGGATATACGTACCTGTTTTTCGATCAATCGGAAAAGAATCCCATTGACAGGTGTAGAGTTACGTGAGCCAAGCTCCCTAACCAACAATGACAATGAATACGCGTATTAAGAATGTCTTTGCTGAGACGTAAGCCGCCCAGGCCGCCCTTGATTCGGTTCACGCTACCGCTAGACTGTATTAGCAATGGCTTTATGTGTGGGGCTCGCGTCACGAAGATATCTGAAAACATTTTCTAGCTAAGTTTAGGGTAGCAAATCATAGTACTTCTAAGTCTTGTAGGGAAATTAAAACATAACTAGGTAGCATTAAGGGCTGTTGTTATCATTAAAATCCAGCGTTTTATAGTAAACTAAGTTCTGTCTGCTGATTTAAGCTCTTAGCCACGTTCTATGGTAAAGGTATATCTTAAAGCTTTGTCATGAGAGTACTATTACTAGCTCCAGTATACAAATTTATTCAGACACATATTTACGTAGTTGTCACATTGCATGCCTCTCCGGCAAACTCTACGTAAAGTACTCGGGGGATTCATATCCATACTTCATTTAGTGTCTATCACGTATCACATTTTCCATTTCTCTCAAGATGTTAAGCCGTTCTTCTTTCCATCGCACACGTCACCCGCCAAACAAGGCCAAAAATGAACCTTTCTATAGTCTCAACAGCACCAAGCGAACGCGTATTTGCGTCACCAAAATAAGGATCATCCACCTGGACTAAGCGCCTTATTTCTCACCATGGCCACGCCGAACGCCATTGAGCTTGAAGTACTTGTGATCCTTCCAAGCAATAACAGCCGCCCAAAAGTTGACGAGTCTGTGCAGTGTCAGCCAGTTTCTTGACGAGCATGAGGCAAAGCAACTCACGTAACGACCAGCGCCACCAGGCCAACCAAGATACCAAGTGCGCAATTCGCACCGATGCAGACTCGAGTGGCCATGTTGAAGGCCAACCCCATCACCACCGCCCAGAAGACGATGTCCATGGTGTTGAGAATCGCATTTGCCTTGAGACTTCCGAATCTTTTGAACTTGTCGACCTTTTGGGTGATGTATTCGTAGGCCAGGAAAGCGTATGATTTAAGACTCTGTGAACCTGTGAGCTTGTTTCATGTTGTGTTGGTTGAAGACCGAAGGTAGCCTACCATCGTGATGGCCATGATGTCTGACCTGGTCATCGGGTATCCCGATGGTTTTGTCGCAACTTTGGCGATACCGAGGATGAAGGCGATAGTGATGGTGACGACCTGGAGGATAAATACTTTGTTCTTCCAGCTGTGCTCGAAGAAGCGGCTGTCGAAAAAGTCTCTGATGCCCATGTTGTTGGCTGTTTGATTTGGAGGTGGAGATTGAATGGACGAGTGTGCACGGCGAAAGGAGGAAGCAGGTTATCGAAAGAAAATAATAACGAGATAGCAGGGCGCAGGTGCGTCAGGCTTGAAGATTGAAAATGGGCAAAGAGATTGATCAAAATCTCTGCTGGATCTGATGTTGATATATATAGGTCGCTTGATTGTTGTTTTGATATGGGCCAAGCTGGCAAGCTCTCTCTATACGCGTATACGATCTTGGCGTTTCGGGGTAAGCCGTAACTTACGCGTAGATCAGATCGTAGATAAGCTCAGCCACGAAGATCAGCTGGAATGGTTGGTGGCCGATTCAATCGCGAAAAATATTTTCCCTGAGAGACATGACATATAGGCACTATGACCTACTAGGAGGGGAGATTTGATTACCACGCCTTGACGGTCGAGACTGATTATGTCAGTGCTCGCCACTGGTAACTCTTTTCAGTTGACGCTACCCCATTTCTATGTAGTCTCTTTTACCCATTTTCCGGTCCGATGGCCATTCTAGAGGTATCAACCTGCAGGAATTCGATATTTATAGTTGTGTGTTGGTGATGATCCGTGATGAAAAAGAAGCCGCAGGGCTTTGAAACAGAGATCTACAGTCTTGGCAAGAAAGTCAGCCTGTCATTGGTTGCGCAACCGCCAACAGCATTGATGGACTGATGCCTACATGCCAATGCGCGTGAGTGGAAGAGTCAGATAAAGTCGACTACGCCGCACAGAACCTGACATTTGTACCAAGGTCTACTCATTTCAATATTGACTTCTCACCTTCCGATCAACAGTCATCAACGACCCTGCCGTTTATCTCCAGGCTATCATCCTCAGAATGACCTTCATGGCCATAAGATCAGTTGCGCTGCTGCTCCTCGCGACTCAGTCTCTATCACAGACTGTCAATCACCAAACAGTCAATATCTTCCGCAAGATCCCAAGCGACGTCGACCAATGCATCCGACCATGTCTCTTCCGCCCCAACAACGCAAACGCCGACGTCGGCAGCGCTCTAAACTGCGGCGCACCATACCAGGAAAAGTGCTACTGCGCGACCGACAGCGATAATGCGAAAGCCGTCAGCAAGCATATCGACAGCTGCGCGCAGGCGAGTTGCTCAAATGGACAAGAGTCGCAGGATGCTGAGACCATGAGGCATTACTACGCTTCTTACTGTATGGAGAATGGATACTCGGCGGAGGCAATGGGGGAATGGTATACAGGTACTGAGGCTCATGTCACGGGGACAGGTACGGCTACGGTAAAGGACATGTGGGGTTGGAGTACGGGGACAAGCATCAGAGCACATGTTTTTCCTGACGCGACAGCTCCATCTTGGGCGGACGACGAGGATAATGGTGGTGCGTCTCTAACGAGCTTCAAGTTGCTCTCCATAGGGATTCCGATACTTGTGGCTCTTTCTCAGTGGATGTAGGGTTTAAGGATTTATCTGAGATACTACTTCAAATAATAATCTATAGTTTGAGAAAAAAGAGTTCAAATACATAAAAGCCAAATCAAATTTAACAAGAGGTCATGCTTTCAAGTGCAGCATAAAAGTCAGCTAAATCTGGCTTCTTATCTCGTACTGGAATGCACAGAGCAAGCATCTTCATAAAACCAACCCCGAGTCGAAATCCTGCGAATCCTTCAGTTATATATCGATCATACATCCACTGTGACAGTGATGCAATATCAGCTAATGTTACGCCACTGTTGTCGCTGATATCAATGCGCTTCTTGACAATCTTTCGGAGGGGTGCCCATTCTGCGATCTCTATCAGAACGCAGCCGAGAGAATATGCATCCATGTAGCGTTCAAAACTGTCCGAAGGCTCTCCTAGAGCCTTGGGATGTCGATAAATATCCCGTGAGAGATCCTCAGATGGCTGTTCGCTGATTTCTGTCGGCGATCCTTGTCGTGCGAACGAGAAACCGCAGAGATAGGGTCGACGTAGCTGGTCAATTGACGGCCTAGAGGTTGGAGAGACGAGAAGGATGTTTTCAGATCGCATGTCTTTATGGAGCCAGCCCGCTGTGTGGAAGCTTAGGAGCGTCTGGCACACCTGCGCAGCCAGACGAAGTCGCATGCCAACATCTGGCAGTGGCCCGCTGGATTTCGATAATGCACTGAGCAGGGAGGGAGGTTTCTCGGTGCCAGATGGGAAACGGAAGACCAGCCGGAAGCCTCCTTGCTCTTCAGTGTACCCCTGGCAAGGGAACGTCTGAAAGGATGGCGCGGGAGGCTGTGAGAGTAGACGCACGAGAGCTTCAACACGTGGTTTAAGCTTCGCTTTCATCCTCGGCTGTACACGCTTCTCTTCTATCAGCACGGTGTTCCCCTGGTAAAGGGCAGATCCAATAGTTGATGTCATCATATGAATATCAGACAGCTTCGAAGGGTCCAGAACCGTTGGGACTTCTGCTCGTAGCACGCGGCTGGTTCCATCATCGGGCCGCGTTTGTTGTTGGGCATCACCTGATGCGAGCAAAATATGCTGTGCCTTCAGGCCTGCTGAGGCAGCGAGGCAGTCTTTAACACCAGCATCTGTGAATGAGTCTTGTAGAGATTTCTGGAGATCCCGAAGGCCACTTATATCTTGACTCGTTTGGATCGCGAGCTGTAGCGTCTGGTTGACCGCGCGAGACGTCTGGATTCGGCGGGGAATGTCCAGGAGAGACCAAAGCCCATCGACTAGACCGGTTACATCCTGCACAAGCTCCGCATACTTTTTCTTGTCAACAGCGGCCCAATAAAGACGCCGTGGGAGCCGATTCGCGGTGTTTAGTGTAGATGCGCGCTTGAGGATGCCCTGGCGAATCTCGGATGACACAATATGCGAAAGGATCGACGAAGCCGAGTTATCCGAGGCGACGGCCGGTTGAGAAGGGACCAAATCGTCAGCACCATCAGGCGCAGACAAGAGTTCCAGTTTGTACCGCTTTTTTAAGACGTCCGTTGAGGAGAGGAGCTGCTCTAGCTGGAACAAAATGAGAGCGGCAGGATGTTTGTGTATCTCGAGTGATCCATCGTCCCTGGGAGGGTTGAGGCCGATCGCCCTAGCCCATTCAATGAGTCGATGCTCTTGGAGCACGAGTTTTGTTCGTTCGATGGCTGCATCCTTTCCGATATTTCGAGCGTCAGATATCAAGGTGAAACCCCTAACACAGCTGGCAAAAAGATCGAAAGAGAGCGACACCACGGCTAGAGCTGTTCCCGGGTCCATGGTAAATTTACAATCGAAATTTGTCCCTTATAAATAACTATTAGGTCTTGGTCTCGGTTGATCGCCCACGGGGTTTGTGAGCGCGTGGTTGTGAATGATGCCTAACCAGCCTAGCAAGATCCTAGTCTACCTTGTAAATGAGGCTTATGCAAGTGCAATTATCCGATATTCAGATCCCCGAGCACTGAACTACTTCACTGGCGCATCCGACCTTTTAGGCTCTTTTCAGTCGCGATGGATATATCTCTTCGCTAAAATATGGTTAACTCCTTCGACCACGGAGTGACTTATTTTGAGCCCACTCCTCCACTTTTTGGTCCACTCCACTTGGTATCTTTCGCAATAGTCCTCTAGTCGCTCTAACAATATCGCCAATGGCAAAGCAGGCTGAGGCAGGCTGAAGTACCTCAGCCGCAAATCAGTAATTACATAACAAACAACTAGTTTATGTGCTTACCAGCAACGCAGGGGCCTTGAAAGAAGCTAAGGCGTCCCCCGCCTGGTAAACGCCCAGGCCAACGTTCCTCCTTCATGCTTTGAGTTGAGCAGCTTGGACCTCTATCACCCAATTACTGATTCCCTAAAACGAAATGGATTCCTCATCGGGAAGAAATCTGACTTCTTTCAGGGGAGAAACCTCCGATCCTACGACGTTCAAACCATATGATCCTGAAACCCTAGACGATGCACGCTTCATCCCCAACGCCTTGGACTTTGCCTACCGAGCGTTCTTGGCCGACAATGCCGTGACATTATCGGTCCCTCCAGTTTTTTCAAATGCGCAAGCCGTGGACAGCGCCTCATTCGCTGGCCGGGGCGCAAGCTTCACCGTCTATCGACGTCGCATCCCGCCCCAAAAGACCGTAACGTCGCGTACAAACATGGATGGCCTCTTGATTGAGATGAGGGATAAGCGCAAGCTGCCGGAGGTAGTCGCCTACAAAGTAGCCGTCATCGAGTTTTCGGACAAAGGTGAAGCCACTCACACGTCCCGGTACGCCATAGATGCGGCGATCATGGAGCTCTATCTCTCGACGCACCGCCCAATCCTGCAACACCCGAATCTCGTCGACTTTCTAGGATTGGCATGGGGCTCAAATCCGTTTAATTCTTCGCAGAAACTACCAGTGCTCATGGTGGAGTTTGCAGAATACGGGAGCCTCTCGCAGCTGCAACAGAGGGAATATCTCGGCGTAGAGACCCGGCGTAAGCTTTGCCTTGATGTCTGCAAAGGTCTGCATATGCTTCATTCATGCGGCATAGTTCATGGCGATATCAAGGCACAGAATGTCTTGATATTTACAGATGCGGAGCACAAGTACAGAGCCAAAGTGAGCGACTTTGGCTACTCGCAGGTGATAAATGCTGAAAGGGACAGCCTCTTCCTAGGAGGAACCCGGCCATGGAAGGCCCCCGAAGCGAAGATAGCAGTCAAAGTATCAGAGGCAATGTATACCGACATATACTCATTGTCGCTCTTCATCTGGTGTACATTTGCACATGGTCAAAACATCTTCAAACTCTTCGTGGATCCCTCCAAGAAAGGCGATGAATTCTACGCGGAAGCTGAGAAGCTGAAGGAAAGTGGAGAACTAGCTGCCCAGAACGATATTTCTGCATGGTACTGGCAAGCTATTGCGGCTACTACTCACGGCGACACCGGCCAGTTCCCCCAGCACTTCCAGTCTCTCCAGCAGCAATTGGAGCAACTGCAGCAGAATACAGCACAGGCCAACCGCCTGGCAGTTGGCATTGACGACATAGAAAAGATTCTTTGTGCCATCCCACCCGTGTTTTTCCAAGCCTTGGAGCCACTGAAGCAACAGTTGATCACAACTGTTCAACATTTGGGTTTATACGATGCGATGGAAAGAGCTGTGACAATAGGATTATCGAATTCGCCACAACAAAGGGACCTCGAACAAATCATGGTCGCCCTGGGCCACAGTGGTTCGTTCACTCAAGACAGGTACTCAAATTACCAACAGGCGATATACGATAAAAGACTAACCGGACCAGTGCGGAGCCGAATCAAGTGTTGAAATCGAACCTGAATGTAGGTCATAATAGGCTTGCCCGTCGAATACATTGAAAACTCATCTCGCATAGCAGCATTTCTTCACGTGGCGCCACTGGTCGAAGATGAAACCTTCTGTTCAGAGGTACCTGACAACAACATACGTCGAAAGAGGCGAGGGGGAGGCCAAGAAAGGTATGATAAACCCACCGGAGGCTTTCCTTCTCACCGCTCTGTACATCAACGGATACGGTGTAGACAAGGATACATCGCAAGCATTCAGATGGCTCTTCAACGCCTGGGGAGTGAAGCATCCACTGGCGTCGGCATACGGGTACCGCATCGCGCGTGCCATTGGGCTCACGTTCGATAACACAGACGGCGTAATCGGAACCCTGGAACTAATGGCCCTGCATGGTTCAAGAACTGCCCTCGAGGATCTCGCCATGATCTCCAAGGATACCTACGAGGTAACAAAGAAAAGGATCCGTGACATCCTCGCAGGCACAGGCGCGAATTTCTTTTCCAAGACAGAAATGCTTCACGGATTTACTTACGATATGTGGATGAGAACTTTCGGAAACATTCCCATCTTGCTTGAAAACTTTTCTCATCTCGATTCCATCGCCGACTACACAGCCAACAAGAGAGGTGACCGCATTCTTCATGTGGCCGCAAGTTGCGGCCAAACGGAAGCCATCCGGGCCCTCCTGAATCGCTTTCCCTCACTTGAAGTTAATCAACTCAACGACCAAGGCGAGACGCCGCTTCTGTGTGCTTGCCGCGCAGGCCATCATGATACGGTCTTGTGGCTCACTTCGAATGGAGCAACCGCATCGGCGGCACGGAATGGAGAGTCTCCGCTTCACTGGCTGATATCCTTTGATGACCAAGAGATCGAAAGCGTTGGCCCAGCAGTGATCCAAGCCGGCGCGGATGTAAATGCCAAGACTACTACATTCATCGCCTACCAAGCCGAGTTTCCGGCATCTCTAGATATTGATCGGCTACCGGAGGGTCATCCAATCGGATGGGGTGAGTGTTTTCTATTCTAAGTCCATCCTCACGTCTTTCATAAACTCAAAGACTCAGCTTTTGGGTGCATTAGAGGGGCTGACGTGTGAACTAGCGACTCACTGCGACCGTCCCAAAATTGTCAAATTCTTGCTATCCAACACGGCCGATCCGAGAATGTGCAATACATCGTGGCCTGGTGCAAGAAGTGCGTTGGAAATTGCAGCATCGCAGCTTCGTTCAGAGTGCCTGGAGCTGATGATCCATGCCATCGAGCAATTCAACCTCGAACACGGGGCAGAGAAACACGGCGGCTTCTTGGTGACAGGCCTCCTTCAGCAGGCTGTCTACGGCAGCAGCCTATTCGACATGATACTCTACCATGGTCCGAGATACCAACAGGCGATGGAATCAACATTCCAGTGTCTATTGCCAAGGGCGAGCAGGGTTGCCTCCGCCAACGGCTACGGCGGCTTCAACCAAACGCTTCTCTATTCGGCCATATCACTAGCCCGAGATGAGTTGGTTGAATACCTCCTCAAGCACGGAGCTGACGTCATGAAAGCTGGAGAAAACTATGATGAAGAAGTGCTTCAATCCCAAGACGTTGGTGCGTTCAAAACGGCTGACATCAACCGCGCATGCGGCGTTGACCTTCGAACGCCGCTCCTAGAGGCAGTTCGATGGAATCGTCCCACGATGGTCAATCTTCTCCTTGAGCATGGAGCAGACGCCACGGGAGCTTCTAAAAATCCCTTCAGTGGACAAGATTCAACGTGGACCGCTCTCCATGTCCTAGCGTACGCAGGACAAAATGATACGAGACTGGTCCAAACCCTTCTTGACCACGGCACGCCCCTGGACGGATTCCCGGACGAATCGAGCAGAACCGAATCCCCTCTACTCGTCGCCATGCAGAACGACCAATTCCAACTCGCTGAATGCTTTGTATCGCATGGCGCCGATATCAACTTGACCAGCATGAGCAGCGGCCACCTGAGCTTCACAAACCCCACAACTATCTTCGGCCATGTCATCGCCTCCAACGCGCGAAATTCAATCACACGTCTGCGCTACCTCCTTGGCAGCGCAGACTGCTTGAATTTTATCGTCGAGCCAACCCGGCAGTGGACGGCGCTCCACCGCGCCGCAGCCGCCCACGGCGACGTCCAGTTCCGCGGGACAGATGCAACCGAGGCGGCTGAGCTGGACTGGACCGATATCGATTGGAGTGCAAACCGCGAGATTATGAATGAGCTTCTATTGCAGTTTAATGATCCGGAACAGCTTGATGCTGTTGAGAAAAGCTTGGGGTTCACGGCGATGCACCTGGCAGTTTTCGCGGGCAATGATGCCGCAGTGAAATTGCTTCTTGACAAGGGTGCCCGCAGAGATGTGCCGAGTGCAGGTGGCCAGGGACCGACAGCCGCTGATTTGGCACTTGGAATACAGATGGGGAGGCTGTCTATGAACGAAGAAGGTGCACGTCCTGGCAAGGAGGAGGTGGCGGCTCGTAAGAGGTGTAATGATCTTCTAAATCCGCGAGCCCAGCGTACAGCATGAGCGAGCAAGCATATCAACATAATTAATGCCAGAAAGAGCCGCTTCAAAGATAATATAAACTATAAATCGGACTTTAGGCATCTAAAGAAAAAGAAAAAAACCAACTTAGAGACTAAGGAGGATTACAGTTTTCTGGTTTGTAGAGTCTATTAGTAAAGTCTTAGGATCTATCGGTCAGATGCTTCTAGGTATTAGTCTGCGACGTAATAGAAAGGACTTGTCTTTGTTATGTGTTCACTATATACAGTAAACAAGTTAACAGAGTAACTAAGTTCTGTTTACTAATTTAAGCTCTTAGCTATAAGCCTTAACTATAAATAATATATCTAGCTAATAACTTAAACATTATACTATAATAACTAACTAATTACTATAGCTAAAAGCTAAAAAAAAGAAAAACCTAAATTATAACTCTTTAGCTAGTCTTAAAGGTATATAAAATACTTTAATTTATTAGCTAAAAAAGGTTAGTTTAATAATATAAATACTTTAAATTTTTAAGATAATAACTTTAATAAAAGAAATCTTTACTTAATATTTACTTACTTTAATAGTAGCTATTAATAACTATATTAATAAAGCTATAGTTATACTATAAGCTATAATTTAGTATAAAAGTACTTTTAAAAACATAAGTAATTATAAGGCTATTAAAATATAGTTTAAAGAAGCTATATTATCTATTTATATAAAGGACTTTTATTAGCTTAGTAATAACTTTCTTATAAACCTTACTTTCTTTAACTATAAGACTATTATCTATATAGTAGCTTATAGTAAATTCCTTATAAAGGTTATTTAAGTTACTTAGTAAAAAAAGGATATACTATTTACCTTTAAGAAAAAAAGAAAGAAAAAAAGAAAAAGGCTATATAGCTATTATAGTAAAATCTAGCTTAGATTATATCTATATTTAAGGTATAGATAGTAATTTAGCTAAGAAGGACTTCTAGATATAGTATATAGCTATTAGATTTATTAAGAAATACTAATATATAAGAAAAGCTTAACCTAAAAAAAGTTTTATAATTAAGGTTTAGGGCAATTAGAAGGTAATAGCAGAGTTAAGTTTATAAGTTAATTATAAGGTTAGAAAATACACTTTGACTTTAACATAATAGGTCGACGGGGTAACAAACGCCAAGGTGGAGAAAGACCGAGGTGAGTAGAACGAGATATAAACGAGGTAAACAATGCGGTAAACGAGGTCATACTTACACCCAACCTTTGCTTCTCGGGAAAACAGACATAACATAACATGAATAGCCCCTGAAGTGAGTTGTGAATTGAAAGCGATGCGCCATGTAATGCTGGAAAATTTAAGAATAGACGAGTGAATAAAACAAAGTCACACCAAGAAGGGGAACGAGATAGTTAATAAGCTACAATGTACGGAGTAGTGCATCCAATTTCAGGAACGAGCCTAACCCACCAAGGCGCCTATCATTCATGGGACCTTATTTCCCCACAGGGTAGTCCCCTGAGAATGGGCTGTCAATGGATGTGGCGCTGGGTGCTAGCCAGGGTCAGGGTGTACCATCCAAGCCGCTTACTCCTGGTCTTGCTGTACAGCTTGTGTATGGAAAGGTATCTGTCAAAGGAGGGGAGAAGTTCGACGGAGCGTTGCCAGCTGCTGATATCAACTGGAATGAGAATTTGGGATATATTCACCTCCAGGAGAAGTTTGGTGGTAACCGTCTTATCGGAGTTTCCGCCGCTGCCGTTGCATCTAGGAAGTCACCCGCCCCATGCACTCACGTCTCCTATTACTGATGCCTATTCAAGAGAACGCCTCCGACGAGAGCAACACCTTCGTCTCCCTTCATGAGAAGTCCCTCGTCGATCTCTCCAACAACGTCAAGAATGGCAAGCTCACATGGACAGCACCGAAGGATTGCAAAGAGTACGTTTTATTCGCGCACTACGAGCGTTACACCAACCAGCGATCGTGTGATGGCGTGCCCACCGATGTCATCGCCAACGGCTCCTGGGTGACGGACCATTTCAGCGCCACTGGGGCAAAGCTAGCTTCCCAGTTCTGGAAGAAGAACCTACAAGACCTTGATGCTGACAGGCTGTCATCCTAGGCAAGGCAAATGCCTCCGCCTAGCTTAACCCCACGGTCTTCTTGCTGTGCCTCTTCTTGCTATGCCTCTTCTTGCTATGCCTCTTCTTACTATGCCTCTTCTTACTATACCTCTTCTTACTATGCCTCTTCTTAAAGCTATCTTCAGTGCCAAAAGAGGGAATTTTCTTCTAATAGAGAAGGTTTTCTTTAATCTTTATAGAGGGGATTTTATAACTACCCTCTAGAAGGGCCTGCAGCCAGCTTTTACCTTTAGTAACCCTTCGAGGACCCTACCGGGGGCCTCCTTAAGCAAAGGGCAACCCAATCCGTCGCCTACAGCTCCAGAAGGACCTTCTTTTAACTAACTAACTAACTAACTAACTAACTAACTAACTAACTAACTAACTAACTAACTAACTAACTAACTAACTAACTAACTAACTAACTAACTAACTAACTAACTAACTAACTAACTAACTAACTAACTAACTAACTAACTAACTAACTAACTAACTAACTAACTAACTAACTAACTAACTAACTAACTAACTAACTAACTAACTAACTAACTAACTAACTAACTAACTAACTAACTAACTAACTAACTAACTAACTAACTAACTAACTAACTAACTAACTAACTAACTAACTAACTAACTAACTAACTAACTAACTAACTAACTAACTAACTAACTAACTAACTAACTAACTAACTAACTAACTAACTAACTAACTAACTAACTAACTAACTAACTAACTAACTAACTAACTAACTAACTAACTAACTAACTAACTAACTAACTAACTAACTAACTAACTAACTAACTAACTAACTAACTAACTAACTAACTAACTAACTAACTAACTAACTAACTAACTAACTAACTAACTAACTAACTAACTAACTAACTAACTAACTAACTAACTAACTAACTAACTAACTAACTAACTAACTAACTAACTAACTAACTAACTAACTAACTAATTAGTACTTTAACCTTTTCCCTCTTACCTCTAATCTTATAATAGCTTTACTTTTAGGAAAGACCCTATAAGGCTATAATTAGCTAATAGCTAGTTTAATTAACTAAATCTAACTAATAGCTAAAAAGCAGATTCCTTAGTAAACCTTAAATACCTTACTTTAAAGAGGCAAAGCCAGAAGGTCCCCTTCTTACTACGTTCAAAAGTTACTCTTTAGTTCGGCTTTGCCTAATTAAGTACCCAGATCTGCCAATTGCTTAAGGATGTTGGCAAGCATAGTAAGTTCAATCTCGTAGCCATTGGTATTGACCTTTCTTACTTATGAATAGCTTGGGAGGACAGCATGGAAATCCAAGCTTCACTTTACTGGTCTCCTGGGTTCCCTGATCGCTTCAAGTCTAAGCGCGGCTACAACGTCATCAAGTATCTTCCACTGCTGTTCCATAAGTCGACTTCCTTTACAGCCGCCCAGGCTCCATACAACACTGCATTCTACCTCGATGGAACTCCGGATGATGGACAGAGCAAGTACCTCCAGGACTACCGGCTGACCTTGAACAACGGTTACCAGGAGTATCTGCAGACCTTTGAAGACTGGGCTGAATCTCTGGGCCTTTCCCACTCGTGTCAAGTTGGGTATAACATTCCCTTGGACATTGTAGGTCTCTGTAATTCCAGTGCTATGAACTGTTTCTATCACGTTGATAGCTCGCCGACGTACCGCTTGTCTCCACTCCCGAACTCGAGTCTCTGGCATTCAAAACACCAGATCAAATGTCACAATTCGTCGGCCCTGCCCACCTCGGACGTCGCAACGTCATCTCCACAGAGATCGGCGCTGTCTTACAAGGAGCATACAGTCTGACCATCCCCTCGCTCGTCAACCTCTTCCACGACGCATTCGCAGGAGGCTTCAATGCTATGATGATCCATGGGATGACTTACACTGGTGAGCAACTTAGATCTACATGGCCTGGATTCACTCCGTTTCAGTATATCTACACTGAGCTATGGAGCCCAAAGCAGCCGGCGTGGAAGTATATGGGTAAGATGATGGACTATACTGCCAGAAACCAGTTTATATTGCAGCAAGGAGTGGCTAAGAAAGACCTGGCCTTTTACCTGTACAAAGATCCTCTTGGCATATCTAATGCAAGACTCTCCGCAAGGTCAGCTTGTAACATGCTAGTCACATGTTTAGGTTAGACAGAAGGGGAAGGTTTAGAAGTAACTGATAGTGCTTAATGTAGTGAGTAGTTCATATGTAATAGGACTAGATTGTCGTAAATGTTTTAATTATTGTGAGTACATCGCTCTTTACACATATAGAGTCCCCCTGGTGGCCCAGTAAATCGTTTCAAGAGACCCAATAGCCAAGATAAGACAATAAAGATCAGACCAACGGCGAAAATAACAATAAGATAATTTATAGAACTTCCAGTAACAGGCTAAGCTACAGGGAATGCAAACACGACACTGAAGAAGAGCACGAAGATGGTTGCCAGCACATTGATAACGTATCCATATCTACCTAACGAGAAAGCCCGTTTTGGCAGTGAATCGCTGCCGGTAAACAACAAGACAGTTTATGGCAGTACAACTATGATGTTGAGTGCGAACAGGGTCAGGTTGATGAAGCTGCTATATGCCGTTTTCGAAGCGATGTAGAGGATACCGATGATGATTTGGAGGACGAGCATGATGGCTGTTGCGCGCACTGGGTTGGACCATCTCGGGCGAGAGACGTAAGAAGAGTAGGGAACACCGCCGTCTCGGGCAAAGGGCCACAAAATCCTAGAAGAAAACACAAAGAGGTTAAGAATGATATGATAGAAGACGAGAATGTAGTAAATCGCCCAGATCGTCGTTACGGTCTTTGACCCCAGAGCCTGATTATACACTTCCATGATTGGAGCCTCGGAGGCAATAAGTCCATGAACGTCTTTGATGACATACATAAGACCAATGTTCCAGGCAATCACTGTGATAATACCGAGTATAATTGTAGTACCGATGGCGATGGGGATATTCCGGGTCGGGTTGTCGACCTCTTCCGATAGATAACTCGGCGCGTCAATACCGCTAAGTTCTGTATACTGGTTTAAGCTCTTAGCTACAAGCCTTAACTATAAATAATACATCTAGCTAATAACTTAGATATTATACTATAATAACTAACTAATTACTATAGCTAAAGGCTAATATTATAAAAACTTAAAAAATAACTTATTTACTTACTATTATAGGTTATAAAAAGCTTTAATTTATTTTCTAAAATAATTAAATATAAAATAATAAATAAAATAGTAGTATTTAAATAAAGGCTTAAATAAAAACTTAAATAAAAGCTTAAATAAAAGCTTATCTATATAGTATATTTAAATAAATTCTAATAGTAGTATATTAATATACTTTCTCTTAACCTTACTAATATTAAAGATTACTAAAAAACTTTTAAAAAAGAAAATAGCTTTAAGAAGGTTAAAGCTATAAAAAAAAGTCTTTAAGATTATTAATATTAAGGAATATAAAAAGGTTTTTAATAACCTAATTAAGTAACTAGCTATTTTTAGTACTTATGCTTTTATTTATACTATTAAAAGACTTTCTTAA